TAAATATATTATCATGTATCTTTTTTTTTTGTCAAAATCAAGTCTGAATACATAGAGCTGTTGATCGGGAATGGAGAAATATATTATCATGTATCTAAGTATTATTTAATTGATACTGTTAAGAAAAGTATTATTTAATTGATTTTGAGTAAGATTTAAGTAGTTTTTCTCTGGTTTTCGAAAGCAGCCGCATATCTCTACTATAGTTTTTAATTTAGTGAATTAATATTTCCAAAAATTATATTAACAGAATAATTTTCTGATTTTTTTTTGATAAAAATGATAAATACACGAGCTATTTATTACATTTTAAAAATGTACCAGTCGCTTTATTTTCGATATATATATATATATTACATAAAATATATGAAAAATTCTTAAACATAGCAAACAATTTGGAAACTAGTACAAAATAACTACATTAAATAATTCAAGTTCCCACAAAAATTTATGAAGACTTAATTTTTTTTATATAGATTTATAAAAATAGATTCTGAAAGAGAGTAAAATTTTAAATATTTTTCATTAATTTTTTATGTTTTGTATATTTTTTTGAAAATATATACGAGTTATCTAAAATTAAACGTTACCAACAATGTTTCACCAAAACATGATAAACCACATGAATTATATAGGCACTTTATCCAATATGTAACTTTTTTGCAGCAAATTAAAAACCTAAGAGGTATTTCTTTTGCAAATGCCCTTTTTATGGTGGTTAACATGTTTTTTTAAAAAAAGGTAATATGGTTAAATTTCTGAATCAATTTTTTTTCATTAAATTTCGTAAAACAAATATGAGATATCTAAGAAAACAATATAATTATTCAAATTTTCTTGTTTCGACATCCTTTTATACTTGTTATTTTCTTAAGAGATCTACTGTTTACTCGAATATAGTTTAGACTTTAGAGAGATCCACACGAAAGAGTTACTGAACCAATAAATTTTTTTTAAAAAAGCGCGGTGAGGATTTGATCTGACGTGGCAACAGGTATGTGGGCCTCTGTCAAGTGGAATCCTACCTGGCATAGACTCACGTGTCAGCGATCAGACACAGGCACAATGAAATTAATCGAAGTAACTTGTCGCCACGTCATTATCAGTCAAGACATGAGGCCCACATATCTGACTTTTTCGGGTCCCACCCACCGGCCTAAACTTGTCGTCAACAGTCCACGTAGATTAACAAGACAAGATAAGGAAAAAAAAGAAACAGTAAAAAACAATAGCAAGAATGCCAAGTATATAAATAACGTTGAGTAAAAAAGAAAAAGCGAGAAGAAAATAATGCATCGGATAATAATATCATTCAATATTAATAATCATTGTGACATGTAAAAGTTCATCATACGTAAGTATTTTTTAACACGCCTATAACTCGATTAGGAAGTCGATTTGCGAAGGAACAAGTTTTAACATAGAATCGTAGATATTAGCTAACAAAGTTTTATAAATGGCTGGGCAAAAATCATAATTGTGAATGATTTTCAGTAAAACAGAAAATCCATTTAGAAAATAAATGATTTTGAATTTACTACGAAAAGTTCCAAAGTGCATATCCACTAAAATGTCAGTTTCATTCTAAAGTAACTGATTCAATATATTCCCTTGTGAAGAAAATAACCATATTAGTTTTTTAAGTCGTATATTTCACTCCATTTTGTCCCAAATTTATATACATGCATCCCGTATTATGAATATATATATATATATATATTGAGGTCAAATTCAAATAATATTCACAAGATATAAACATATTCACAGGATATAAACATATATGTACTATTCGACACTTGTGCTTTTACATTCCATGTGATATCTTATCTGAATCAGTAAATAATTTTCTTTGTACAATGTTAAGCAAACGCAAAAATCCAAATACTAGAGTTTATAATGAGGATCCCTTTTCTTGACATCGCATAATTTTGTTACTTGTTACTATGGTTTTATCATCTATGATCTTATGAGAAAATTTTAAAATAATTTGACTTTTAGGTCACTCATATATATTATATCTCAATTCAAACAAAAGAATTAGCTTCTAATTTTGAAACGATCTCTATAACAATCTACGAAAAGCTTTCATCAGTTACATCAACTTTTTTAACAACACTATCAATCTTATAAATAATCATCTAATTTAATAAAAATTATCAACCACCTCTTTCACTAAATTTATGTTTTCGGAGGGACAAGCTTTTCTAAATGACAACTGCGATGATTTAAAAATAGTTATATAAACAGAATTAACGGGGACTCTCTTAATTACAGTTGTAGTGTCTTGTTTGGATTCTCTGACCCTTAAGGTCACAAGGAACTATTAAAAGAAAGAAAACCTTAGAAAAAAATAAAAGAAACTAAGTTTTTTTGAACTTTCAAGAGCACACAATTAATATAATTTTGTACATTAATTAGTAACGCTCAGATAATGCCATTCGTTGTAAGAAAAGCCTTCAGATTCCTTTGTTTATTTACGCTGCCTTTGAATTATCTTACAATCGCTGTGAAAAACCTTTGACCATTAAAGAGTTTTAAACTTTGTTCAATAGTGTAATCATTGGATTGGTCATCTAACAGTGACTATATATATTTTCCGTATTTATATCATTATATGCCATCACTACCTATGAATGATCAGTATCCGACATCAAGCATTACGGTATTTTATGCTTTTAATAATTTAATTTTTTTAGATTTTATGGTATAGAAAATTGTAATTCACGGTTCACTTAACTGTTAAACTAATGATGATTCCATATAATTTATATTACAATATTGTATCTCAGTATCTGCCATCTATCTTGACTATCATCACTCTTTCTTTAAAAAATTATTTTAACTGTGTATTTAAACTGAAACTTAGATTGATTTGTATATAAAAAAAAACAAATCCTATGTTACTAAAATAAAGATTCTTAAAAATGATTTAAAATTTCATGTTAACTAGTGATTTGAAAATATACATTTAAATATATTATTATTGAAAATATTTAAATAGTGGATTTAAGAAATTTTTTATTAGTTTTAAATGATTTTGGTGAAATTTGTTAGTAAAAAATATAAAAAACTAAATTTCACAGTTTTAGTTGTGATTTCATAAATTTTTAATATAAATCATAATAACTTTCTTTATTCATCCAAAATTATCTTAAAAACTTATAAAAACTCAAATCATTCTAAATCTTCTATCTCACATTATATACTTAATACACCTTTTAATTATTTGAATCTTCTACTTATTAATTGACAATGTAGTTTAATAAAATATGCTGATTTGTTTTAATTTCATTGGCTAAAAACATTAATTAACCTAATTAAATATGACATGGAATGATGATGTGTAATAATGATGTAATTATGACATGATATTTACTAACACATGTGAATTATGACATGACAAAAAATTTTATATGTTTAATATATTGTAGTTCTAATAATTATTTTATGAAAACTAAAATATAAAATATTTAATTATTAATCTTCTACCTATTAATTGACAATGTAGTTTAATGAAATATGTTGATTTGTTTTAATTTTATTGGTTAAAAATATCAATCTAACCTAACTAAATGTGACATGGAAATGATGATGTGTAATGATGATGTAATTGTGACATGACATTTGCTAACACATGTGGATTATGACATGGTAAAAAAAATTTATGTGTTTAATTTATTTTAGTTCAAATAATTATTTTATGAAAACTAAAAATAAGTATAAAATATTTAATTATTAATATAAATTGTAAACCATCATTACAAAACATATGTTATATTTTTTTATTACATGCACAGATTTATACACGTTAAATTGTATAAAAATTATATATTTATCACATGCACCGACTATATAATCTAAAGTAACATTAATCTAACAATGTTTAACTAAAGAATCCATTTTTGTTGTTTACACAAAACATAAGCTAAAAGAATATACAAAGAGAAGTTAGAGTATACCACGTTTTGTTAACGGAAGTATAATTATCTACTTTTAACAGTCTTATTGAGATTGCCTTTTCCGCAATATAATCGAAAGCAACATTAACTGTATCATCAAATTGTATAAAAATTATGAGAATTGTCTTCATCACATACACCGACTATATAATCCAAAGTAATATTAAACTAACAATGTTTAACTAAATAGCCCATTTTTGTTGTCCACACGTAACATAAGCTAAACAAATATACAAAGAGAAGTTGGAATATATTTAAGTTCAAATAATTTTCTGTGTTTAATTTATTTTAGTTCAAATATTTGTTTTATGTAAAGAAGTCTTCGAGAATTTAGAGGCTAAATAAATGGATAAACTGAGGAAGATTAATTGAAAGCAGAAAAGATGATGAAATTTGCAGGTATGTACGCCTGACCCGCAAATCTGCAGCAAGTAACCCGCTTAACCAGCTATTCACGGGTCTGACCCATTTGGCCCTTTAACATAATAAAATGGATCTTTTGTTATAATGAAATGTTTAGTTAAAATTATACCACATTTTGCTATTAAATCTTATAATTTAATCGCCGTACCTAATTTTTTATATATTACAAAAAATAAAATATTTATAATTATTTAGATATTATATTTATGTAATTAAATTTTTAAAATTGTTTATGCCTGCACATGCGTACGGACTAAACTCCTACTGTAATTTCTAATACAATGATGATTATTTTAAACAAAAAACCAGTTTCCTTGTTTACGAAAAAATATATTTAAATAAATATTTACAAATCGATGTTAATTGGAAATAATATGTACGATCAGTATATGATATGTTTTTTTTTTCTTTCTCTCAAACAACTAACTATACAAGAAAAACTTCTTTAATACAGATCATTGTTCGAATATGAATTCACATAGTGATTGTGTATTTACGCATAGTATTTTGAAAATGATTTAAAAAATGATTTTCAAGTAATTCTTTTTTTCTTTCTTAATTTAGGAATACAGTACTTGGCTTCTCTCCTATAAATTAGACACATTCTCGACCAAACTCATCACTCATCAAAGCATATCACACACACATACACTTTCTCTTCTCTTCTTTTCTTTGGTATCATTTTCCTCTTTTCTAAACATTCAAATGGCCACAGTGGAGGTATGTTCTTAAAAATTAAAAGCAATTTTCTCATTAGTCTAAAGTTTGATTAACGATCCAATTCTCTATATGAAGCGTGATAAATCAAGAATTCGATTATTTGTTTTCACTTGTCCTAATCCACACATATGCTAAAGTTTACACATCTATATATCATTTGTTCTGTAATAACTTTTAGCAAAACCAAATAACAAAAAAAGACTACTTGCCGTTTATACCCAAAAAAACATCGCGCAGTTTTGAATTGATTTATGTGACAATGTTTTGCAGGTTGAACAAGCGACTCCAGCAGCAGCTGAGAACGTCGAGATGCCACCACCAAAGGCGGTGGAGCCGGTGGAAGTCGCCGTCGCCGTCGTTGAAGCAGAGTCTGCTCCATCTCCGGTAGCTGAATCTGAAGCTCCCGTCGAAGTAACAACTAAAGACGTGGAAGAACCAGAGAAACCAACAGAAGAAACAGAGGAAAACAAAACAGAAACAGAGGAAAACAAAACAGAAACTGAGGAGATCAAGAAAGAGGAAGAAGCTCCGGTGGAAACTCCGGCGGTTGTGGAGGAAGAGAGCAAAACAGAGGAAGTTGTAGAGCCTAAGAAAGACGAAGAAGAAGAAAAGAAGACAGAGGAAACTCCTGCGGTTGTGGAGGAGGAGAAGAAGCCAGAAGCAGAGGAAGAGAAACCCGCTGAAGTAGCCGCCGTTGTGGAAGCTCCGGTGGAAAAGGCTGATGAGTAAATTGAAGAAGAAGCTAGCAAGTAATAACTTGCTACTTTTAAGTACGTTGCGTCTTGGTTTTGTTGTTTGAGTCTGTGACTCTTGCTTCTGCTATTGCATCACTCTCTTTTGTTTTTGTTTTTGTTAAAAAAAAGTATTTTCAATGCTTATTATAATCATGTAATGAATCGCCTTTGAATAAGATAATACATTATTTATATATATAACTGTGCTTGATCATGAAACAAAATTCAAAATCTTATCACAGAAACTCCAACAATTCACATCAAGAGAATCAATGAGATCAAAAATTACATCTTTGTGTGGATCCAATTGTTTACACTAACACCATCAAATTTAGATGTCTGACATGGTTGCTTCAGTAATATTCAAACTAAGTTTTATCTGTTTTCCTCTTAATTCCAGTGAAGATAGCCATTAACTCAGCCACAAGCTCATCGTCATCAAGCTTCCTCACATACCTTTTTAAGAAGGTCTCATCAGTACATACCAAGACAGACGACAATGAAGGGAGTTCACTTCCGATCAATCCTTTGGACATGAGAGCTTTGACCACGTTACACCTTGGCACCATCCTCTTCTCCATACTACTTCCAAGTACCGAAGGGTTTGAAACCAAAGCCTTTAGTGGCCAATTCATCTTCTTCACCAGAAACTCGGTCTTCTTCTTCAACGTCTCTCCGGATAAATGAAGACACGGAGGAAAGCACTTGACCATCATCAAAAACTCTTCTCTTGTGAATCCAAGGGCAAGGCATGTTTCAATGGAGTTCTCTATCCTCTGCTCCGAAACTCCAATGCAGTGCGGAGATCTCTTTAGCACCGAGAGGACCTCGTCATCGAGTAGTCCACACTTCTTCAAAGTTTCAAACTTTTGAGTTACTTTCTTCTCCGAGTATGTCAGAGACCCTGGGCACTTCTTGAACATTTCCCATACGTCTCCCGCGGAAAATCCCAACCTTTTAAAGAAACTGACTTTCTCTTCTATTGTCCTGTCGCTGAGATCGTAAACAACTTGCAGAGCTTGAACAAACTTTGAGGATGTTGGATCAAAACCCATGTCAACGATCTTCTTGAGAGACTCTTCAAACCTTTCTTTACCGCAGACATGTGCGCACTTGGAGATGAGCAAAGGGAACAACAAACGCTGAGGCACGCCAAGCTCTCTCAAAACCGATACATTTCTGATTTTGTTCACCAGAGAGCCCCGTGGCGAAGCAGAAGATTGACATAGCTTTCCGAAACTGGAACTCTTATCCGCTTCTATAATCTCTTTGACGAAATCGTAGTATCTGCTTCTGGTTATGTCCCCTTTCTTCCCCAAGATCTCGGGAACTTTAGAGACAATCTCGGTGAGCTCAGAGATCGAAGCTCCTCTGGACTGCAGAAACTGAAGCTTGGGCCCGAGTGATCTCTCGGCATCTGCTATAAGCAACTGTGGGTAATCCGCAACGATGCTCGAGATCTGAGAATCTGTGAAACCATGGCTTCTCAACAGATTCAGAACGGAATCAGGATTATCCTTGTCCCCGAAGCTGATTTTTCTCGAGATTGATGCTGCGAGTTTTCTACTTAAACCCAGTGAATCAACGAGGTAAGAGACAGTAAAGTTCTGATCTTTTCGACCATCTCTAGCGCTCACATTAGCAGCAGTAGCAGAGGAGAACGAACTGGGAAAAACAGGGAGGTTCACTGAAGATCTCAAACTACGACATTTCTGCAAATCGACCAATCTTCTTCCATGGAGTATCAGAGAATACATGAGACAGAGCCAGCAAATGTCAAACCGTAGAATCGATTCGAGAAAAGGAATCGCCCAGATACCTCACTCATCGATCATAACGAGTGGGAGAAGAAAGCAAAAACCGAATTTTGAAAGGGGGGTTTTAGATGATAAACCCTAGTTTTGATTCCGATTCTGACATGACCTGAATATCATAATGGGCCGTATTTATATGTCTTTTTGAACTTTGAAGCCCACTAGCCCAGAGCTTGACATTTGAGTTCGAACTGATTGGCTGTTTGCTCAAGCGAATGACTTGGAGAGATGATTGATATGAGATCATCGTTTAGAACTAAAACATCTGAGATTAGGGTTTAAGTGGAAACTTTACAGAACGTCAAGGCTTTATATAGTCTACAAAACCCTCCACTTCATTCAGAAGCTTTATCTCTCTGTTCTCGTCTCTCTAGTGACCATCATCACAAACTCATCTCTGGTGAATCCTAGGCCGAGAAATGTCTCAACGGAGTCGAATATCTTCTGATCTGAAGAGCCAATGCATCTCCGAGATCTCTTTAACACAGAGAGGACCTCTTCTTGGAGTAGTCCACACCTCTTCAAGGTTTCAAACTTCTGAGTTACCTTCTTCTCTGAGCAAAGATAACAAAATCCTCTATGGCACACCCAAATCTCTCAGAACCAATACGTTTCTGATTTTGTTCTCAAGATTACTACCTTGTGGCAAAGAATGACACAACTTTTCCAACTTAGGACTCTTATCCGCTTCTATAATCTCTTTGACGAAATCATAGTATACACTGATAGTTTTGTCCTCTTTCATTCCCAAGATTTTAGGAACTTTTGAAAGAATCTCAGTGAGCTCAGAGCTTGAAGCTGCTCTGGACTGCAGAAACTGAAGCTTGGGACCAAGAGAGTTCTCAGCATCTAATGTAAGCAACTGTGGATAATACGTAATGATGGTGGAATTTCCTCTCTCTTCGAAACTTACATACCTTGAGATCGATTCTGCGAGTTTTTTTAGTTAAACCCAATGAATCAACAAGGTAAGAGACGATAAAAGTCTTGCCTTTTCGAAGATCTTGAGGAGGGCTCACATCAGAACCATCGGCAATAACAGAGGAAGACGAACTGGAAAAAGCAGAGGCATTTTGAAAAAGCTTCACTAGAATTCTCGAATTACGACATTTCAGCAACTCGACCAATCTTATTCCATGGAGTATCAGAGAATACATAAAAATGCAATACGATTACGGAAAGGATCAGAGGAGGAGAACCAGAAATTTCCACATTCGAGGAGCGATTGAGACCGAACTATTTACTTCATTTCACATTGTAGAAGAAGAAATCGAAATTTGCGGGGTTCTTAGATGATAAACCCTAATTTCGATTACGGGTTTTACATGACCCAAATTTAAGAGTTTTGAGCCTTACGAAGCCTATTGATTTGTAGGTCGTTGGAGAGGATATTTAAGTAGATTAATATTTTTTTTTTTAACATACATACTAACAAAAAAATTACGTTTTAAAAATATGGCAATTTTTTTTTAAAATCTTAGGCAAATCTATCAGTAAAAAGCAAAGAGAAAGTTCAACATTAGTTTTGCCTTTCTTACCAGGGAGCTGACAAAAGTCTCAAACTCAAACTCCACATTTTCAAGCTTTATGCCAAAATAGAGTTTTCAAGCTTTATGCCAAAATAGAGTTTTGATATGTGGAATGTACTTCAGCATTGCTAGTTGCATTTCACGAACGAATTCTTGTATAACAAGCGTCTTTTAACACAAATCTTTAACTCTTTTTGCTTTAATAATTTTCATGGCCAGTGAAAATATTTCTCTTCCCCACGGATAATCAATGAATTTCTTGACATCACAAACGAGTTCAACATGCACTTTAGATATCTTTCTGTCTTCATTCCTGTCAATAATTGCATACGCAAACAATAAAAACCAACTACATAGTGATTTTGTGTGATTGAATGATATAGTAACTCTATAAATAAATTATATGGGATGCTACGTTTTACTTGAGATACAGAAGAGCATCGACAAGGAGTAAGCAACAAATCTGTGTTCTTTTCTAAATGTTATTAAACTTCTTAGACTCCAACTTCTGTTCGATCCAGTCAGTATCCATCTCCTCTACATCATTTCGATCAATTCGTCCAAATTTGTAGTGACATCTCAGGAATTTATTTTAGAAAAATCTTATAACGGGATAATATAATTTTAAAAAGTTTTGACTAGAGTTTTATTTGATAGTTTTAAAACTGAGTTTGAATGATTTTTATTTATTTATCATCGTTTTTTTTCTTTAGGCTATCAATTGAGTCAATGGAGTGAGGAGAGGTTTTGATGAATTGACAATGGAAAGTCACATAAAGAAATGCAATTCAATATTATCAGTTGAAATGAAATTCTTCAACTACAACATGTTGTATTTCAATTCTTTAATTTTATTTATTTCACAAAAAAGGTCCAAATTCTCTTCAAAATAAAGCACTTTAACACAAGTCTAATAAGATAACAAGTCTTAATCTTGATGTTATATCAGTAATACATATCTTAAAACTACACAGCACCAAGATCAGATTAGTAACGAAACAAAAGGTTTTAAAATAATCATCCTGTAAGACTAAGACCCCTACTTAGTTGACAAATCTCAACCAATGTCTTATTGTTCCTTCTTTGTTTTGGCATTCACCTGAAATCCAAGAGAATATATAGTTAAGATATGGCTTAAAACTTAGATACAAATGCTTAGAAAAATTAAGGAATCGCCAAAAGTATTGTGCCACTTAATTACTAACTAAGTCAAGTGGTTGGTCTAAGATCATCATCAACTATAAATCTCAGAAAAAAATCTTTTAGTCAAAAACAAAGAGAGTTCATCAATAGTTTTGCGTTTCTTATCTTACCAGGGAGCTGACAAAATAGTCTCAAACTCAAACTCCACATTTTCAAGCTCTACACCAAGATCTCTTGCACACGACTCCATCTGAGATATCTTTTTGTAGGCTGAATCCTTCCTTTCTTTTGCTGCCTCTATATCCTCTCGCAGAGCCACTTCTTGAATCTGCAGTTCAAGAATCTTATGCTCCACCTCAAGCTTCTTGCGTTCCATTTCACTCACCTCTTGTTCAGCCTTGTGCTTTTTGCTAGATTCACTCGTCATCTCTTCGTAGAAACTTTCTTGCGTCTCCAATATACGTACTTGTCTATCTTTGAAGGCTAACAATTTGTTGATCCGCGACAAAGGCGCTGCGACGTTGAATCCATGCTTCTCTAGCTCGGTAAAGGAGTCTTTGAGGCTATCTAGTTGGCTCTTGAGAACGTCTTTCTCCAAAGCTTTCAAATCCTCTAATAACCCTGAAAAAGTCACCATCATCCCTAACGCATACCCTTCACGGAAAGCCTCTCTAACCTCAAACATTGGGCTGAAATGAGGACTTTGTGGTAATCTTTTGAAGACCTCCATTGATTCATATGTCTTCCATATCGGTGATTTCTTTGCAAATGGTAATACCATTGTTGTATCCTTTGCTTCATCAGCAGCAACATAATTAGAGGCCAGGTTAGAGGATAGCACTGGACAGAGTAAAGAAAACGAAACTCGCTTCAGTACCATTGCAAGCAGATCATATTATTCTAAAAAAGGTCTATTGAGAGTTAAATACACACCAGTCTCATGGAGGTCTGATGAATTGTGCTCTAGCTCTTTTCTTTTCCTCTTGCGACTGTTATCTTCACTATCATGCTCCTCAGGCACCTGTTCATAAAAAGTGTTAAAACATAAAAGAATAACCATCCCAATTCCCAAAGATACATAACCATTCATGAAGATTTTAACGATACCTTCTCTCGAGTTGGTTGTTTACCCAAGCCGTTCTGATTAGTAGGCTCAAGTGTCTTTGTGTTGGATGTCTTTCCTTGAGCAGTTATCTCTGCAGAAAAACAGAGAGATGTGTTAGATCAGTTTCATGACGCATAAATAGACAAAGACTAAGAGAATCCACTTACCTATTGACTTACTTCCTGATCCTTGAGCTAATGGCGATTCCCTTGTCTGCAACAACAAACAAAACGGAGTTCAAGAACCACAGCACCAAAAGATTAAACACAAACATTCCTCAAGTGTGAAATGGTGTCACTAAGTCAGTGAAAAACGTTTTACCTTCCAAATCCCATCTTCCCACTCCATTGGAGGCCTAAGATCCGAGCAATCCAATATCTGCTGCTTATCTGTGTCCTTGAAACTCACCAGATACCTTTTCCGAGAGAGGATTCCTTCCACTACACCTTTACGCCACTTGGAACCACCAAACGCCTCCATAGCTTTTGATCCATGGCGATCCATGGCGATCCTCATGCTTTACTCACGATTTTGATGACTGTGAAGGGAAAAGTTTCAACATTTCTTCCTCGATAACTCAGGAATCCCAAAAACTACTTCTCTTCCTTTGTTCTTTTCCCAAAAAAAAATTTGAGCTTTTTATTTTCTTGGACGTTTGGTTTCTGGGTATTTTGTTTTTGGTTTTCTGGTTGATAATTAAACATCTGAGTTAGCTAATATAGACTTTACAAGAACATTTATAATACAAACTTAATCTCTTAATGTGACTAAATACATGATTTTATATAGAAATTTTTGAACTTGGTAAAAGATCGATTCAGAGGTCAAATGTTGTCAATAGCTTTATTATTCAGATCAAATGTTGTCAATAGCTTTATTATTCAGATCAAATGTTGTTGTCTTACAAATGGTTGGTTCTGATGAGACTTCACATGCTTGAATAGAATAGTCATCAAGACTGCAACAAATTCACTCGTTTCTCACAAGCTGAAACTAGAATAAATGACAGATTGAAGCAAAACAACCACTTGAAGAAGAAGAGCACTGAATACTTTAACATTTCGAATTGACTTTTGTCTTAATTCATGGTTCTCACAGTCACACAACAGCCAAGAATTACACCTTCCGTTCACACTTTTGTCTGGATCCAAATGTATACGAACTTAGTTCTCACAGCCAGTAGACTCATCATCACTAACCAGATATTTCATGAATTACAAGGAGACGGGATGAATCATTGGCTTTTCAACAAGGAAAAAAAACAGAATCATTTGCACTTTTTAAACTAATGTTAGGATTCAGTGTTATAAGCGACAACTTTACAGGAGACTTTTCAGGCATTGGATCGTCACGTTGTCTATACAGATTCTTTTATCTGTTTTTCTCTGCTCTCCAGTTTAAAATAGACATCAACTCAGCCACAAGCTGATCGTCATCAAGATTCCTCACATACCTTTTTAAGAAATCCTCATCAGTACATACCAAGACGGACTGCATTCTAGGGAGTTCACTTCCTTCTTCTCCTAGTAATCCTTTGGACATGAGAGCTTTGATTACGTTACACCTTGGGACAGTCCTCTTCTCCATGCTCAATCCAAGTACCGCAGGGTTCGAAATCAGGGACTTTACTGGCCAGTTCATCTTCTTCACCAGAAACTCAGTCTTGTTCTTCACATTCTCTGCAGACAATCCAATGCACGGAGGATAGCGTTTGAATACAGAGCAGATCTCGTCTTCGACTAGTCCACACTTCTTCAAGGTTTCAAACTTTTGAGTTATCTTCTTCTCCGAGAATGTCAGAGAGACTGGGAACTTCTTGAACATTTCCCATACATCTCCCACGGACAAGCCGATCTCTCTATAGACATTGACCTTCTCTTCTATTGTCTCCTCCTTCAACGCGTAAACAGTGCGCAGAGCGTCGACAAACCTTGAGGTGGTCGGATCAAAACCCATCTCAACAACCTTCTTGAGTGACTCTTCGAATTTTTCTCTTCCACAGACAAGCTGAGCATCGGATGTAAGTAAGGAGAACAAGAGCTTCTGAGGCATACCCGCTTCTCTCAAAACCAATATGTTTCTGATTTTGTTCTCCTGCTTACTACCTTGTGGCCAAGAATGACATAACTTTTCCAACTTGGAGTTCTTATCGGCTGATACGATCTCTTTGACGAAATCGTAGTATACGCTAATAGCTTTATTCTTTTTGATTCCCAAGATTTTAGGAACTTTTGAAAGAATCTCAGTGAGCTCAGAGCTCGAAGCTCCTCTCGACTGCAGAAACTGAAGTTTGGGAGCAAGTGATTTCTCAGCATCTAGTACAAGCAATCGTGGATAGTTCTTAATGATGGTGGAGATCTGAGAATCTGTGAACCTAAAGCTTTTAAGAAGACTCAGAACAGAATCTGGGTTCCCCTTTCCCTCTGAAATAACTTTCCTTGAGATCGATTCTGCGAGTTTTGTAGTGAAACCCAGTGAATCAACGAGGTAAGAGACTGTAAAAGTCTTGCCTTTTAGAAGATCTTGAGGAGGGCTCACATGGGCAATAACAGAGGAGGACGAACTGGAAAAATCCGATGATGCATTTTGAAAGAGCTTCACTAGAATTCTCGAATTACGCCATTTCTGCAACTCGATAGACTTCTTCCCATGGAGTATCAGAGAGAACATGACAATGCAATGCGATTACCAAAAGGTACAGAAGAGAAAACCAGAAAAATTCCACAGTGAAAGAAGCGAGTGAGTGAAGACTGGACTATCTATTTCATCTCACAGATAGAAGAAATCGAAACTTGGGGGTTTTAGATGATAAACCCTAATTTCGTTACATGACCCCACAGTTTTTTTTTTTTTGTAACTGTTTTCAGTTTTCTATAATTTATTTTTATAGATGGTTTGATTTTGTCTTCTATTTTTTTTCTATTTATAAAAGAATTCACAGAGAACCCCTAATCTAATTTTATCAAAGATCTCTAAACACACATCACATTATAATTTATCGTCAGATTTTTCCATATATATTCAATTGTATATTTCCAAAGTATTATCACAACATGAAAATAATTAATAAATAAATAAAATATATGATAAGATAGTAAAGATACCAGCGAACCTAATCCAAAATAGAATATACACAAAAACAATTTCGAGTTCGTTTACTTCTAAGGGTTTTCATGAGAGAGGAGATGGCTGCGAAGATCTAGGAGTACTGCTACACGACGTCTACATGACTTCCATGGAGGCTAAAAAAGAGCCTTGTGTTATCTGTTTCGACGCCATTGATTCTGATCTCATGTTTTCAGTCGATAAATGCTCTCATCGGTTTTGCTCCGACTGTGTGAAACATCACATAGAGGCGAAGCTTCTCGATGGAACGACACCGAACTGTCCTCAGCATCGCTGCAAGTCTCAGCTATCTATTGAAAGATGTGGCAAGCTTTTGACTCGAAAGACGAGTCTTATGTGGAAACAGAGGATCAAAGAGGACTTGACTCTTTTTACAGAGAGGGTGAAAGTAGAAGCAGAAGCTGCAGTGGAGGAGAGGGGATGAATAAATTTGAAGAAAGAAACTGGCTTCAACGAGATCCACAGTTACAACTTTTTGGAGATACAAAATGAAATATTATCCAAATTAGATGGCTGAATCAATTGTTTCAAAAACAATCACTTGATTTCATGAACTATTTGGTTTCATGGATCATTGCTTAGAACGAATATCTGAGATTCTTGATTAAGGGAAACCTTAACAAAAAGTCAAAAACTTTATAGACTATAAACGAAACCCTCTCTGTTTCTTTCTTCACGTCTCTGCATTGAAGATATCCATCAACTCATCAACCAGCTCCTCGTGACATTGCTTCCTCACGTACCTGTTTAAGAAACTACTATCTGTACATACCAAAACAGACCACAAAGGAGGGAGTTCACTTCCGTTCCCAAGCAATCTTTTAGACATGAGAGCTTTGATTACATTACACCTCGGCACAATCCTCTTCTCCAAGCTGTATCCAAGTACATGCGGGTACGAAACCACGGCCTTTAGCGGCCAATTCATCTGCTTCACCACAAACTCAGTCTTCTTCTTCACCGTCTCCACTGAATATCCAATGCAAGCAGGAACACGCTTGACCATCATCGCGATCTCGTCTCTGCTGAATCCTAAGCCAAGAAACGTTTCAATGGAGTTCAATATGTTCTTCTCCGAGACGCCAATGCACTGCGGAAACTTCTTCACAACTGAACGGACCTCGTCTTCGAGCAGTCCACACTTCTTCATGGTCTCGAAATTCTGAGTGATCTTCTTCTCCGAGAGCGTCAAGAAGATCGGGAACTTCTTGAATATCGCCCATATGTCTCCCACGTCAAAGCCTAAACCTTTGTAGACATCGACTTTCTCTTCTATCGTCTCGATCTTCAGTCCCTGAACAATGCGGAGAGCTTCGAGGAACTTCGAGGTCGTGGGATCGAAACCCATCTCAACCACTTTCTTGAGAGACTCTTCGAATTTCTCTTTACCACAGACATGGGGAGAATTCGAGATGAGCAAAGGGAATAACAGTTGCCTAGGCATACCCAATTCTCTCAGAACCAATATGTTCCTGATCTTGTTCTCCTGTCTACCTTGCGGAGAAGAAGACTGACATAGCTTCCCGAACTTGGAGCTCTTATCAGCTTCCATGACCTCCTTGACGAAATCATAGTAAACGCTTAAAGATCTGTCCTTCCCCAAGATCTTTGGAACATTCGAAATAGTCTCAGTGAGCTCAGAGGTTGAAGCTCCTCTGGACTGTAAAGCCTGAAGCTTTGGACCAAGAGACTTCTCAGCATCTGAAACAAGCAAACTTGGATAATCCGTAATGATGGTGGAGATCTGAGAATCTGTGAAGCCATAGCTTCTGAAAAGATTCAGAATTGTATCAGGATTCTTCTTGTTCTGAAAACTGACTTTCCTGGATATCGATTCGGCGAGCTTTGCAGTGAAACCCAATGAATCAACGAGGTAAGAGACTGTAAATTTATGACCTTTTCGAGCAGAGCTCACATCAGTAGCATAAGCAGAGGAGAAGGGATTGGAGAAAGAAGAAGCATTTTGCAAAGGGTTCACTGAGAATCTCAAGCTACGACATTTCTGCAATTCGACTAACCTTCTTCCATGGAGTATCAGAGAATACATGATAGAACCCAGCAAATTGCCAACAGCGTAAAGTCGGTTTCTGATTCGATTCGAGGGAAAATCTCAAAATCTTAAGAACTCTGAACTATCGGTATTTCGATTTGAGAAGAGCTAGGAAGTCACACATCGATTTCCCGGTTTAAGATTTCCTTGTTTAAATAAAGAACACAAAAATGAAATTTGGGGTTTTAGTCAGATGGTAAACCCTAATTTACAAATTGGGCCATACTTGGGCCAACAAGTTTGGACTTTTAAGGTCGTTAGACCAATGTGAAACTATATACAATTTATGAAAATAAAGTTTTCACGGTAAGCATGTTTGTAACTGTGTCTTTATAGTTGAACATTGTCGTTTTTTACCAAGGTAAAACAGAATCGGTTATGCATATATCGAACCATATTATAATTTTTTTTGTTGGATAGATCAGGAGCAGAGAATAATAGAGACTAGATGATATGGAGTAGATAACCAAATATTTTCATGCTCATCTCCTCTAAGAACTTTCTAACTGGATTTGCCACTAGCATTGGAAAATTGTTATTCTTTTGCAAAAGTTTTGGTGAACTTGTCAGATGTGCCTATTATTTACACAATATTCATATAAATGAAAGAGAATTTCTCATTTCATTGTTTTTTGTATACTAATTGACAATCACAAATGATAAGAATAAATACAGAAAGATAAAGAAAAACTTAAGAAATAGATTATCATGTTTGTGTAAGATACTTTTTTGAAACTAAAAAATACGTAGGATCATGTACCACTTATGCACAAATTTGAAGTTATAGCTTGAAGAGCAACTAAATACTATTTTAACCACAAATAGTTTATAAATAAATAAGAAAATTTTGAAACTATGTGTAATTTTTGCTTCATTTTTAATAAATTTGTATAATAAGGTTTGAAGGACACAATTGGCAATTAGAAAATGTTAAAGTTATTGACTTTATAATCTGGCTATTAGTTTACTTTACCTTTTATAATTTAAAATAGTGTCATTTCATAATGTGAAAGAACTATGAAAAACAATTTTTATTCTCCTATAAGCATTCAAGTTTTTTGAATTTGAAGGGAACAAAATTATGTGTTTTAAAAATACTTTATGACCAATAAATAGAATAATTTTCTAGAAAATGTTAATAACCATTAATAATGAAAAATTATGATAATATTAATATACAATTAATATAATTATCTTTAAAAATCACGATTATACTTAAAAATAATTTGGGTAACTTGGTATTAATGATTTTATTAGCGGTGTAGCTGAAACTAGAAATTGAAAACAGTGATAGATTTAGTAGTGGAGTTGGAATAGCGAATTTGATGATAGATTTGGACCATTTGGTGATAGAGCCATTATCGGTGACATAGTAGATGCTCGTTAGAGAATACATTATGATTTTTTATAGTAATGAGTTGAAAAATAACAATATTTGAATTATTATGTTTTTGGATATAATTTTTTAAAAATATTATTCAAAAATTAGTAATTTAAAATTTTTGAAATTAGATTCACAATGGTATACTTGTAATTAATAGTTATGGATTTGGATATTTTTCTTTTCTTAAAACATGTGTGTCATTTTAATAAATTTTATGTAGAGAACGTTACTTTAGTAAAAAGAAAACACGTTGCTAGTTTAGTAATAAACATATGATTTTTTTTTCTTTTTCAAAAACATATGAATCTTTTCTTTTTGATAGCATAAACATATGAATCAAAATCGTGAAATGACACTATTTAAAGTAAAGTTTTCTAAAAAAAAGTTACAAAAAGTAAAGTAAACTAACGGCCAAATTATAAAGTCAATGCCTTTAACATTTTCTAATTGCCAATTAGCAATTTGTAGTTGTGAGTGTGCCCATCAAATCTAGAAATTCCTTTTTAAAAAGAAAAAAAAATACACATTGTTTCAAAAATTAAACAAAATTATACATTGTTCGAAAGTAAAGTTACATATTTTTGTATAGTGAGTAGACAGAATCTTTAATAAGCAAATCCTCAAAATTACCGAGGAAGTTAAACAGTTCAAAATTATGTAAAAACAAAAAACAAATTAACCAAATTGAATTAAATATTTGGCAAGCACTAATGAATTATGATATTAATCTGCCATAGTCCTCACGAGTAAAACAAAACTAGCTCATGAGCTTTCTATTTGATAAACTGTAATGAAAGGGTGAACAACTAAACAATAACATCGCGAGACTCGGAATTTGGCAAAGCTACATGATTACTCCCATTTCTTAAAAAAAAAATGATAGCAATTAATGAAATCATCAAAACCTTATGACAGTCGCAGAGTCAATGAGATCCACAGTGTTGCTTCTTTTTCAAGCTTCAGTTTCATATATTACAACTACAGCATTTGGAGATCCCCACCGTACAATCGAAACGTTAGTCTCTTTTCAGAAATCTGAATCTGTCGCAAAGAACAAAACTAGAAACAGAGTTACAGGAGAAAACACTTCGTAGTAACCATAAAAAGCCAATGCACAAGCAACTGATAACAATCTCATTCAACAAAGCTTTATTTGTTCTCTCTTCTTTCCAGTGAAAATAGCCATCAACTCAGCCACAAGCTCCTCCTTGTCTTCGTGCTTCATCACATACATTCTTGAAAACGACGTATCGGTACTCGACAAAACCGACGACATTGAAGGGAGTTCAGTTCCCTTTCCGAGCAATCCTTTGTCCATGAGAGCTTTGACCACGTTACACCTCGGCACAATCCTCTTCTCCATGCTGTATGAAATCACCTGAGGCCTCAAAACCAAGGCCTCTAGTGACCAATACATCTCCTTCACCAGAAACTCAGTCTTCTTCTTCACCGACTCTGCAGAATACTTTATGCACGCGGGATGGCGCTTAATCATCACCGCGATCTCATCTCTGCTGAATCCTAGGCCAAGAAACGTTTCAACGCAGTTTTCAATCTTCTCCTCTGAGGCACTAATGCATTGCGGAAACTTCTTGAGCACAGAGCAGATCTCGTTTTCGAGTAGTCCACAGTTCTTGAAGGTCTCAAACTTCTGAGTTATCTTCTTCTCCGAATGTGACAGAGTAGATGGCCACTTCTTGAACATTTCCCATACATCTTCCACTGAAAAGCCTAACCTTTTATACACATTGACTTTCTCTTCTATCGTCTCCTTCTTCAACGCGTAAACAATCCGCAGGGCTTTCACGAACTTTGAGTTTTTCGGATCAAAACCCATCTCAACGACCTTCTTGAGCGATTCTTCGAACTTGTCTTTCCCGAAAACAGGTAAGCCACAAGAGGAGCTGAGCAAGAGAGGTAGTAGCTCCTGAGGCACGCCTGATTCTCTCAAAGCCAACACATTTCTGTTTATATTCCCTGAAAGTGAAGCATCTTCTTCGTCCCGTAAGATGTCTTTGACGAAATCGTAGTACGAGCTCAGAGATTTTCCTTCTTTCCTTCCCAAGATTTTAGGATACGTAGAGATAATCTCGGTGAGCTCGGAGGTTGAATCTACTCTGGACTGAAGAACCTGAAGCTTGCGACCAAGAGATTTCTCAGCATCTAGTGTAAGCAAACGTGGATAATCCGAAATCATGCTTGAGATCTGAGTTTCTGAGAACCCGTGACTTCTAAAGAGATTGAGAACGGAGTCGGGATTACCTTTGTCCTCGAAGCTGATTTTCGTCGAGATCGATTCTGCGAGTTTCGTAGCTAAACCCAATGAATCAACGAGGTAGGAGACTGTAAAGGTGTTCCCTTTTCGATCATCTCTAGGTCTCAGAGTTGCAGCAGTAGCAGAGGAGAAGGGATTTGAGTTTTGCAAAAGGTTCACTAAAATTCCCAAGTTTCGACATTTCTGTGAATCGATGATAGAACTTCTTCTTCCATGGAGTATCAGAGAAAACATGGTGACAATGCAATGCGATTACAGAGAGGAGCAGAGGAGAATCAAGGACAGAAATAAATTCCAGAGTAAAATCAATCGCCTAGAGCCCTTGCTCATCGATCAGTGACTCATAGTTTAGCATCAAATCGCCCAAAATCGCAATGACCAAAATTTGGAGAGGTAGAGAGAACGAATTTTGGGGTTTTACATGGTGGTAAACCCTAATTTTGACTGTAATTGTAGTGGACTTGATATGGGCCTATGGGTTTGAACATTTGAAAATCGTTATCAAGAGCGAGAGTGAAGCCCAGAATTGTCTAGAAAGATTAAAGTTTGTTAAATAGAATAATTTTTGAATACACAAAACTCTCTATAAATTTAAGAACTTTTTATAAATTCAAGAAAATTCTATGAAAATTTAATAATTTTTTTTTCAATTTTAAAATCTATCAACTCTATATAAACTCAACTCGTACTAGTCTTTATCTCCTAAAAATATTTTATAAAAACGACTGAATCCAAAATTAATTATATAAGTTTTGAAAGAAAAACATATACACATTAAATACAAATGATTTTTGGATTTGGGATTTAGGATTTTGGTTTTTGATTGTTTGGGATTTTAGATTATAAATAGCAAATATTTTCTTAAAAAAAATAAAAAAAAATATTAAACAAACCCTCTGGACCAGTGATGGCAAAAGAAAATAAGATTTCAGAACAAATAATCTTCTTCTTTTCTAATGAAGAAACCACTTAATTAACACCAACTCTTTCAAAACTCTTGGTTATGCTAACTTGGAGCTAAGAAAAAATATAACATGAAGGCTATAAACATGTAACGGAGATGGAGAAAGAAAACGAATGGGACAACGATAATAACTTCTAATACACTTTTGGAAAACACAATGGACAAATGATTTTTATCAATAAAAACGAAGATATATTTTTTTTTTGTGCGAATAAAAACGAAGATATATAAAATCAACAAAATGCTCTTATTACAACACAAAACAAGACCAATAATGAATTATATTTCCCTCCCCAGCACGTAAAACAAAGAATGGCCCCATTTTTGTAAACACTTCAATTGGTTCGTGAAGATTAGGATCTCTACAAAGAGGTAAACTACCAAAACATACAAAAGACCATTAACCAATGTACGAATTCACAAGATTTGAATATTGGTCCCTCAATTAAAGAGACTCATGGTTTTTCGAAGATTGGAAAATATCCAAGGTGATAATGTTCTCACTAAGAAGTTAACGTACGAGAAACACCATTGGATATTGAGGATTTGGTTGCAAATAAATTAATACGTACAGTATTACAAATCGATAAATAGTTCGTATGGGAAACCAATAAATGGAAACAATTTGTAGAAATACGACAGTGTCACCATATGAAAATCATCATTCACAAGTCCAAGACTGTTTATAACGATGGTCTCACCACACCGTTCTAGCTCTTATATAAAATTATAAATAGTAAGATAAACACTCTCCATCCTTCACCCCACCCAAATCAATAAATGCCAGGACCCATGAACAAACATGGAGCTTTGTTACCAAATGTGCAAATAATGAAAATTTTCCTTTGTATTTCATAATTTTGAACGATTATAGAATAGGACTAACGCAACTAGTCCTCTCACTTTCTTGGCTCCACTCCAACTTTTTTCTGAGCGCAGAAGAAAAGTCAAGATTGGTGGTTTATTCCATTCTATTGGCTAGTAGAGTTCGATTAAAGTTATTTGTTAAACATCAATCTAATTATTTACTTTACAATTTTCTATATTTATATTTATATTTTTCATTTTATATATATATATATTTTTTTAAATGTTATTTTAGTTTGATTAGTATTTTAAAATATAGAAATTTATTGTGAAATATTATTTTTAATATACACTGTAATATGTTAACTGTTAAAAACCTTCTTTATATTTATAAAAGTTGCTTTAAATATTTATGTTACATTCAAATGAAATCAATAAATAAATTCGCCACCATCGATTATATTCAAATTTTTTCAATTCATAACAATATTTTAATTTTTATAAGGGGATTATATTATATGTAATTTGCAAAATAAATGTTTGTTTTTGTTACTTTTAACTAATCTATATTCTATACTATTAAAAAGAATCATTCTTAATAAATATTCAAAAGCTACCATGGTATTTACAATATATGTCATTACATTTACTAGACAAATTTCATTAATTCATTAAGGATAATTTAGTTATATCATTAAACTACTAAAAATATAAATTAAATTAAATTAGTTTGTTAACAGATAATACCAATAAATTATATCTGATATTAATAAAATTCAAATTAATTTAATTTTGAAATTATTTTGAAATCTTTCAAAATATCTTAACATAATTACCATAAATATATATATGGCATAAATAACTAATATAATTATATATATTATATTATAAATTATATATATTATATTATAATCAACTTTTTCTCTATACAATTAAAAGAAAATCACTACTTTAAAATGTCTAAAATCTAATATAAATTTTATTAAATGTGACAATTTATATTCAATGATGAATATGTAATCATTATTTTTTTATTACATATATACATATTATAAAAAAAATATTATGTAAGTAATTTTTTTCTGGTTTGTTAATGATTTTTTTTGCCGGAAATCATGGGTTTGCGGATTTGACAAATACAAATTTGTAGATATTATGGGTTTTACAAGTTTTAACGGGTTTTATATGTTTTAGCAGAAAATATACTTTTACGAGAAAATGCTGGTTTGACAAGAAATGTGCTTTTGTAGATTTAGCAGAAACACATGATTTTAGAATTTTTATCGTAAATCATGATTTTGCAGATTTTATGGGGTTTTGGGGAAAACACGGGTTTACGGAATGTAAATAAAACAGTTTTGCGGATTTTATGGATTTTACAGGTTTTGGCGAGAAAATAGAGTCACACTGGAAAATGCGGGTTTGTGGGTTTGAAAACTCGATTTTGCAGGTTTTACAAAAACACATGAGTTTAGAAATTTGGTCGTAAAACATGATTTTACCGATTATACAATTTTACGGAAAATATGGGTTTGTGGATTTGGCCAGAAACGTGATTTTGCGGATTTAATGAGGTTTACATATTTTGGCGGGTTTATAGGTTTTGATGAAAAATGCAGGTTTGCGGGTTTGATGAGAAACGCAATCTTGGAAGTTTAACAAAAACACGTAATCTTATAAATTTGGCTATAGAATACGGTTTTATGGTGTTGGGAAAAACATAAATTTTAGTTTTGTTAAAAATGTGGGTTTACAGTTTTGGAAAGAAAATACAGTTTGATGAAAAATGCTATTTTTACAGTTTTTATGGGAATTCCTGATTTTGGTACAACAATATGATTTTAGTAATTTTTTTATTGTGTTAGAAAATGTGGGTTTACAGTTTTGGCAGGAAAATACTGTTTGATGGAAAATGATATCTTTACAATTTCTATGGGAATTTCCAATTTTGGTACAACAACGTGATTTTAGTATTTTGCGGGAAAATGCAGCTTTTTCGATAGAAAACTTTGATTTTATGGTTTTGACAAAGAAAAAACTTGATTTTATAGTTTAAATTAAAAGGTATTTTGGTCTTTTAATTTTTGAGAATCAAATACTGCAACCAAACTTAATTTTTTAGCATTTTAAATATTCAAATTTTGAGATATTACAAGTTTTTATATCCAGATATTTAAAAGAACGATATTTGACATTTACATCCAAATAAGTATCTGAATGCAAAAACAAACAAAATCTAAGTAAATATAAAATCTCTCTTGCATTATAAAACATAATATTTTGAAAATATTTGTTATAAAATTTAACTGAAAATTCGCTAATCAAAATATTTTTTTTTAGAAAATCAAGCTTAAATAATTTTAAGAACATAAAATCATAATATAAAAATAGTTTATATAATCTAATAAAAAATTGTTTGGATCATAATTTTAGATTTAATAATATAAGATAATTTTTTTGAACAAAAGTTTAATATAAACTGATTTTTGGTATAATTTAAAACATTTTATGAAAAGAAACCCGCGCGGATCTAAAATCTAGTATCATATAAAAAGCTAAAAAATCTGCATATGCAAAATATATAAAAATTCGTACAAAAATAAATATTTATTGATGTGGACAAATTATATATATATATAATTTATTAATTAGGGAATTCAATAAATCCACCAAACGTTGTTACTTCCACCACAAAAAGAATCTATCTTCGCAAGAATTATTTTCTCAAAGGAACAACGACTAAAAGACTTAAATAATTTACCTAAAAATCTTTCAAAGAGAAACCAAAAAACATTAAAAAAAAAAAACACAATGGACAAGTGGAACCTGTTATGGTGGTTGCAATGAACATAATTCGTCGTTTAGTTCTCCTTCTGCTTACAATCTCTTGCTTCTCTCACAGACTCTGTTACGGCGAAGACAGAATCACGTTCTCAACTCCGATCAAAGACTCAGAGTCCCTTCTCTGCAAAAATGGTATTTTCAGGTTCGGTTTCTTCACTCCTGTTAATTCCACTACTCGGTTACGCTATGTTGGGATTTGGTACGACAAGATTCCAATTCAAACTGTGGTTTGGGTTGCTAACAAAGACACTCCGATCAACGACACTTCCGGTGTTGTCTCGATCTCCAACGACGGAAATCTCGTGGTTACCGATGGTCGAAACCGCCTTCTATGGTCGACGAATGTCACTGTAACTATGGCTCCAAATGCTACTTGGGTTCAGCTTATGGATAGTGGGAACCTTAGGTTACAAGATAACAGTAACAGTGGTGAGATTCTGTGGGAGAGTTTCAAGCATCCTTATAACTCTTTCTTGCCAAGAATGAGTCTTGGGACCAACAATAGAACCGGAGAGACTCTAAAGCTTACTTCTTGGAGAAGCTACGAAGATCCTTCACCTGGGAACTATACAGCTGGTCTTGCTGGTTTAACAATACCTGAGCTCGTAGTTTGGAAGAACAGTGTCCCAATCTGGCGTAGCGGACCGTGGAACGGTCAGGTTTTCATCGGTTTACCGGTTGTAAAATCACTTCAGTTTCTTGATGGGTTAAATATCAATACCGACATGGAAGGAACATTTTCACTGTCTTACGCTAATGATTCTTTCATGTACCATTTTGACTTGGATCCTGATGGAGCTATAACCCAAAGAGATTGGAGTACTTCCACGAGAAGTTGGAGGGTTGGTGTAAGTATTCCGTCGACAACTTGTGATGCATACAGTAGATGCGGTCCGTTCGCGAGCTGCTGCTCTCGGGAAGTTCCACCTTGTAACTGCGTTAAAGGGTTTGTGCCGAGGAATAACACAGAGTGGAATGGAGGCAGTTGGAGTAATGAATGTGTGAGAAGAGCTCCGTTGCAGTGCGAGAGGCAGAGCAATGTAAGTGGAAAAGGAGATGTGTTTTTCAAACTTGAGAAGATGAAAGTACCAATCAATGCGGAACAGTCTCTAGCTGATGAGCAGGACTGTCCTAAACAGTGTTTAGGTAACTGTACTTGCACGGCTTATGCTTACGATCGAGGAATCGGATGCATGATTTGGAGTGGTGGCTTAGTTGATATGCAATCATATTTGGAAACTGGCATTGATCTTTATATTAGGGTTGCGCATTCCGAACTCAGTAAGTAAAAATCTCACTAGGGTTTTGTTTTGTTTTCACCACTCCTTCATTGCCTTACGTCTTCTCACCAATTCTTGTAGAAACACATAGCAATGGAGCAACTATTATCGCAGCACCCATGATAGGCCTTGCGCTTATTACTGCGGTCTGCCTTCTTATAGCATGCCGGGAATCAAAAACCCGTCCAGGTTAGAGTTTTGCTTACTCATTGATGATAAAGCTTCAGATTCTTTCTTGTGTCATAATTTGTTTGCCTTTAGCAGCACGAGACAGAGCAAGAAGTGCAGGGCTATTGTTAGAAAGAATGGAAGCACTTTCAAGTGGTAATGAGTCTGCTTCTAACCAAGTCAAGCTCAAAGATCTTCCCTTTTTTGAGTTTCAAGTGTTAGCTACATCAACTGATAACTTCTCTCTGAGAAACAAGCTCGGGCAAGGCGGATTTGGTCCTGTTTACAAGGTAAAGCATTAAAACAAGATTCCTTCTTGATAAGAGACATGTGTATAACTGATCTTTTTATTCAGGGGAATTTACCAGAAGGGCAAGAAATTGCAGTGAAGAGGCTCTCACGTTCATCAGGACAAGGGCTAGAGGAACTTATGAACGAGGTGGTTGTGATTTCGAAGTTGCAGCATCGCAATTTGGTGAAGTTACTTGGCTGTTGCATTGAAGGTGAAGAAAGGTTGTTGGTCTATGAATACATGCCAAACAAAAGCTTGGATGCGTATCTATTTGGTAAAATGATCACCTCTGTTTTTCAACTCTGTTTTTTCAACTCTGTTCTTAACTCTGTTTTTTTCAACTCTGTATTTACCATTTGTGTCGGAATGATTGAAGAGAAAGCTAATATTTTTGTTAGCTTTTTCTCAGACTCATTAAAGCAAAAGATTCTTGATTGGAAGACTCGGTTCAACATAATGGAAGGAATTTGTAGAGGTCTTTTGTACCTTCACAGAGATTCAAGACTAAAGATCATACACAGAGATCTAAAAGCCAGCAACATTTTGTTAGATGAGAATCTGAATCCGAAGATATCTGATTTCGGGCTTGCAAGGGTTTTCCGAGCGAATGAAGATGAAGCTAACACAAGAAGGGTTGTTGGAACATAGTAAGTATCCATTCCCAAAAACATTGTGAAATTCAGTTTAATCATAACCAACATGAATTTTTTTTTTTTGCAGCGGCTATATGTCACCTGAATATGCAATGGAAGGTTTCTTTTCAGAAAAATCAGACATTTTCAGCCTGGGGGTTTTGTTTCTAGAGATCATAAGTGGGAGAAAAAACTCTCACAAGGAAGAGAATAATCTCAACCTTTTAGCTTATGTAAGTGTACTAATCGATGTTTTAGTAACTTATGATTAAGCTTTGAAACTTACGTTTGTTTATTTAAAGGCGTGGAAGCTATGGAATGACGGTGAGGCTGCTTCTCTAGCAGATCCAGTCGTCTTTGACAAGTGTTTTGAGAAAGAGATAACAAAATGTGTTCAGATTGGTTTGTTATGTGTGCAAGAAGCTGCAAACGATAGACCGAATGTTTCAACCGTGATTTGGATGCTAACTACCGACAACACGAACCTCCCTGAGCCGAATCAGCCTGCGTTTATAGCAAGAAGAGGAGTTTCTGAGGCTGAATCTTCTGACCAGAGTTGTCAAAAGGTCTCTACCAACGATGTGAGCCTCACAGCTTTATCAGGACGTTAACCTCACAAACCCAATCTCTCTCTTTGTACAATACACTCTTTATACGTAAGGGTGAAAAGTGACAACTGTTTTCTTCAGTCCATCTTGCAGGTTTAAATTTATGATAGTTTATATGTTTTGAGATAATTCAAAAGTTTAAATGGATTCGGGGATAAGGTTTACATTGTCGGGATCAAAATTCGGGGACGAATTTTTGTTTAGTGGGGAAGAATTGTAATAACTCGGATCTGGCCATATGAATAAGTTTAAATGGATTAATTTGGCTATCAAAGTGCACTTATCTTTTCGGTCACTGGTCCCGACAGAACTTTACATTTAAGGATGCTTGAGCTGGAGAAGGACTATGATGAGTGATATTTCGAAAAGTGATTTCCGAAACCATATAAGTGAGATCAAAACACAGAAAAAGATCATGTAGTGATTGCAGAGTCAGTAAATAAGTCGGTTAGACTAAAAAAGAAAGTACCGGCCGTCGGATAGGGGGCACAAGCCCGACAGAGGGGTGACTCGCCAATAGGAACGGTCTGGGGCGTTACAGAACTCACTTCCCTTTCCGAGCAAAACTTTGGACAAGAGAGCTTTGATTACGTTAAAATGTTTTCGATGATAGACCCTAAATTCGATTGCGATTCTACTATCATGATCCGAGTGTAAGAGTATTGGGCTTTATTGGGCCTTTTTGGACCTACAAGAGGACCATCAAAAATTGACGATTACGAATGCAAAGGGCTTCATTATACGTTGGTTAAGCTTCGCTTATACGTACGGATCCGTATTGTACTCCCTTGACGATTACGAATGCAAGGGCTCATTATACGTACGGACGACGACGCCCTCTAACTTATTCAGATGTTTTCACTGTTTTGGTCTCTTCTTTTCATTGTTCAGCAAAATGTCCTCTTGAAAAATCATTACGGAAAATTGAAAAAAAAAAAATGAAATACATAAGAGAACAAGCAATTTCACGGACTCTCTAGTTCGGTGACAGTGATCATAATCTGTTTACAATTTAGTCACGGGCTTGGCCTTGAAGTTTGCATCGGACCAACAACGATCCAAAAAAATAAACATTTTGAGGTTTTTACTTCAAATTTATTCCACAATTTCTTAGTTGTAACGCAATATAAATGCTTGAAAATTTTCTCGAAGTTTGGAACTTTTCTTCTTTCTTCACTTTCATGTCATACACATGTTCGTACGTACCGAATCTACTATACATTACATAGTGGTTTCCACCCATACAAGAGTCACGGGTAACCTTAAGTTTCGCCTCTATATATTTACATGTTATTTGCCAAATGCAAACAATGCAATAGAAGTTTGATTCTTGAAAACTCAAGAACCCTAATTAAAAACAAACAATGATTTCTAGGGTTTCGGCTTCTTTCTTCATTTTCTTGATCTTTACGGTCATCACATTGCCACCGACGATCCAAGCTTGCGCTCCTTGCACTCACCCACACCCGCCTATTCCGAAACCTCCACACCACGGTGGCGGTGGAGGTGGTGGTGGGGGTGGTGGTGGTGGAGGTGGTGGTGGTGGTGGAGGCGGTGGAGGTGGAGGTGGAGGTGGAGGCGGAGGAGGAGGAGGCAAGCCACCACCACATCACGGAGGAAAAGGGGGTGGTAAACCACCACACCACGGTGGTGGAAAAGGTGGCGGTGGTGGGCCACCACATCACGGTGGAGGTGGTGGTGGAGGACCTCCGCATCACGGTGGAAAATCACCGCCGTTTGTTAGACCTCCTCCGGTTGTTTATCCACCACCAATTGTGAGGCCACCGCCGTTTGTTAGACCTCCTCCGGTGGTCTATCCACCACCAATGGTGAGGCCACCGCCGATCACAAGACCTCCCGGAGTTCTCCCTCCGATCATAGGCCCTCCAATTCAACCTCCGCCGGTTACAACTCCTCCGGGAATCCTACCTCCGATCTCAACTCCTCCAGGGCTTCTCCCTCCAATCATCAACCCACCTCCTGTCACAAATCCACCTCCATCCTCCGGTTATCCACCGTACTCCGGTGGTCCACCTTCCGGAGGAGGAGGCGGCGGCAAACAACCAACGTGTCCGATCAACGCATTGAAGCTTGGGGCTTGTGTTGACGTTTTGGGAGGTTTGATCCACATAGGACTTGGGAATCCAGTGGAGAATGTGTGTTGTCCAGTGTTACAAGGATTACTTGAGTTAGAAGCAGCCCTTTGTCTTTGCACTACCATAAGACTTAAGCTTCTCAACATAAACATCTTCATTCCTCTTGCACTTCAAGCTCTCATTACTTGTGGAATCAATCCTCCTCCTGGTTTTGTCTGCCCTCCTCTCACTTGATTTAACAAACGTGCGATATATCTCAAGGGTTTCGTGGCTTTTGTAATAATAATTAAGTGTGGTCTTTTTGATGATGATCATCAGGTTTGTTGATTATCTAGGGTTTTAACAAGTGTTCCTTTTTTTTCGTTGTTGTTATGATTAAGCTAGGGTTTTTGCATGGGACTTCTCTAGTCGTTAAATCTTTCGTTTTGTTTTGTTCCAGCTTCTCGCTGTCCATCTGTTTAATTGTCTATCTCTCACTCTTTAATTTCACTCTCTCCCATCACTACGTATATAGGGATGCATGCAGATATGGCAATGTGGGTTGTGTACGTTAGTACGTACGGAAAAATACTTTTGAGAAGCTAGAGAATGGAGCAACCCCAATAGAAAACTTTAAAAGGTCTTAGTAATAAAAATAAATAAACAAATAGTGAAGGGATCTAAAACATATACAGCCACCAGGCCACATAGACATTTGTGTTGTGAATTAGATTTTCTAGTAATGATCATCTATAATATAGTAAACGATCAAACCAAATTATTTTAACAAGCAAAATATAGTAAATGTTCAACAGCAAAAAACGATGAAGAAAAAACAATGTAGAGACGTGGATAAAAAAAAATCTGTGTTTGATAATATAGGGAATTAAGAGAAGAATAAAATTTTGTCACATGAAAAAAAAAAAACAAAAAGGAAACAAATTTGTATTTCCGAGAAAATATATATATATAAAAATACAAAGAGAATTTAATTGTTCCGAGTTGGTCCAGTCAGAATTTTCATTGGCCACATGCACACAGCACATAAATATACAACGTCGAATGCACATAGCTTCTATACTGTTCCACACTCTATGTACCTACACAGTACACGTAATAATTATATACCAATAAAAAAGATTTGTTCTTTCTTTCCACAAGTTGAGTAAGAAAAAAACAAATATAGTTCACGGGCTCCATATATAGATCCATCGAATTTTAATTTAATCATATGGATTATGGACCGACCCTCCAACTCGGAAATGACAGGCAACACGAACTTTTCACAAAACCACAGTCTCGCCTTTTTAGCACATAGAGTGAAATACTCAATTATTTTGACTTAGTCTAATTTTTCAGTCTGTGGACTGTGGAGCAGAGATACCGAAATAAAACAATGATTTTATTTTATTCATATATATATATTTGGATATAGAATTCTAAATGTTCGAAAAGTCTCAAGGCATAAAACATTTTATATATTTGGCGTAAAGCAAATTAATCGACGTTTGGAAGATGTCGCGCATAGCAAAGGTGTAACTTTTGTATTTTGTTCTGTCCAATATTTTCTATCTATTTTGTTTTTTGTTTTTTTAACTAATATTTTCTATCTATTTTGTTACATTAATTAATATACTAAATGGTCGTTTATGTTAAAATTTATTAGATATGATGAAATCTTATTTGTTTGAACGACTACAAACTATATACAGTCGGAAAAATTACATACATGTAACATGATTAGTACTGGTTCATCATCAATACGAAAGTTACATAAAAAGTTTGTTGCTATAAATTTCAGTGATATGATCAGATGGAGAGTTTTCTATTATTTTTTCAACAGTAGAAAAATTCTGCGCTAAAATAATAAAAAAAAAAGTTAGAATCGGAAATACCCAAACTACTCTTAATCGTAACTACTCAAACCTTTAATGTTTGCGCAGGGAGGTGATTACCACCTCCTTCCAACCCACATGTTAATCATCCAGAAACCTGTCGTAGAGTATCCACAACAAAATAGTCCAAAAATGAATTTGATTTTTGGTTTTTTAAAAGAAACCAAATTAACAAACAGAAGCTAGCTATATATATATATATATTAATCAAACTACTTTAAGTGAAATTCCGTGCCTAACCCAATCAACAATACAACATCAGTTTATAAACACAAAATGACGGAGCCAAAGCAATTAGCTCCGATTGGTAATACATTTTTTATATCGCGGAATGGTGGAAAAAATGAATTACGGAATAATTTATTGTAGAATTATGGAACTTTTTTTTTTAACACGATTGGATAAATTATGAAGAACGACGGAATGATGGAATTGCAGAATATGCTTATTTGAAAATATTTTATTTTTACTATATATTATAAAAAAATAAAATATTAATAATTCAATCAATTATTATAATAATATAATTTTAATTGTAACTTTTTAATAATTTTTTTTTCAAAATAAAAAAAATTAAAAAATATTGCAAATCTTAAATAATAGATATAACTTTATCATTAAATAATTTTTTGTAACACTAAATTATTTATTTGTATTTATTTAAATAATAAAATATAATTAGTTATATAATTGAATAATATAAATATTGATTCTGCAAATAATTTACCCCAAACATGCTTTACCGCTTAATAAAGATTTCTTTGTATTTTATGTTAGCAAAAACATAATTCCACGAAACTTACGTTTTTGCATTTTTCCGCAGGTTTTTTTTATTAACAAAATTCTTGCGTTTTTACGTTTTTCCACAGTTACATCATTTCAGAATTTCAGAAGTGTTACCAATCAGAGCCTATATGTCCTCTTCCTAAATTAATATGCATGCGCTTTGAGACCATACGTGGTCTTTGTATATTTTCAACTTTATGGTATGCCTATAATTGTCTTTTTGTTCGTTTTGTCACTCGATACTCTCCATACCGTGTACATGAGTTATACCAAAAGTCAAATTTTACTTACACGTAAATGCCCATTTACTACAACGAAATTGGCTATCAATTAGTAACGGATCCGTCGCTAATGACAAAGCCGGCCTGAATTCTATATATTTCTTATATATAACTAATATTCCAGTTGATCTAGATAAATGCTAAACATGTTTACGAAAGCATACCAAAAATCTGAACGCCTATGCTTCAAGCCGCTAATATATAATAAATATATACTTTTTGGACTTATATTTCTCTAATGAAACATTCACTTAAAAAAAAAAAAATTTCTCTAACGTGCTGTTATTTATGTGCTGTGCATGTGGCCAATGAAAAATCTGACAATAAAAGACAGATCATCTTCATTTAGCAAGAGAGAGTGTCTTAATACAAATTTTTGTTTGGTACTCGTGGGTCAAAAATAAATTGGTTCTCTTTTTTCATAACAGTTGTCGAATAAAATTATATATTAGCTAGCAATAAATCGAATAAAATTCATTAGCTATAAATAAAATTTGATAGGGGGAACACCTTATAATACCCTTGTTTTTGTTCTATAAAGTTGACCATTATATATACATTTTGTAAGTTTATATATCCTTGATTATTCCATATACACCTTTTTCATCAGTTGATTTAATCGAATCCATATCCATATGTCGGTGTCACTAAAATGATAAGAGGTTGACACAGTTTTATAAAGATCTACCATGATGCGTGACATGTTCCATATCTGTGTCGATGTGCTATTTCTCTTTAGAGTCCGGTATGCATTTTTGTTTTGTTTTTAGTTTTGACAAATTTTTATCGAAAATTTTGGGTAAAAATACGAATATCTCAGGTCTCGAAGTTTTAGCGACCACTCAAGAGTCACGAGACCAAAAAACACCTCAGGTCGGAAAAGGATTTGATCCTCATCTCTGAATAAATTTTGTTCCACGTCACTGATCTGTGACAATTAAATCCTCTTCGATCTGCAACCAATAACGATTCAAACCCATCCCCTAACCTAAAATAAAAACAATAAAAATCCATCTCTATCTTGTTCTGAATTTATTGTTTTGGTGTATTTCGCTTGGATGTAAACCATATAAGATTCTATTCTAGTTGTAATTGTACGATCAGAGAAATTATCAAGCATATGATTTATTAATCCATACAACAGCCAATACAACAGCACCACAATGAGTGTATAATTAAGAGAACGAAAGAAGAAAAAAACACATAACTGTGAAAGTTTATAGAATCATAGCAAGCATAGACACATACACAAGTAGACTACAAGAACACACAAAGACGAAAGGAACGAAGACAACAATATATAATCTATCTTATATTTATCATCTTGTCTATCTAAACAAGAAGATATATATATATATATATGTTGACATGTAGTGTGTTGTATAATTAGGTTCTTGATTAGCACTGGAAGCCAGGGGGGACTTTTTTGCTACAAACATTGAGAAGCAGACTGAGAGAGACGGGGACGTTCAGGTTGATCCCGAGGATGTTAGCCTTGAGGGCGGTGCAAAGACAAGCTGCGGCTTCAAGATCAGCGAGTCCTTTGATGAGGGTGCAACATGGCTCGACCGGTGGCTTGCCAAGGGTGATGTTGAGTAGCCCGTTGAGCACGTTGGCGCAGACTCCAAGTTTAAGGGCGTCTCTAGGGCATTTGGCTGTGGCAGGGCTAGGGCTTGGGGTTGGTTTGGGTTTAGGGTTAGGTTTTGGCTTGGGCGAGGGAGTAGGTTTTGGCTTGGGAGAAGGGCAACCACAGTTACCGCAGGCAGAGATTGTTGTGAAGAAGAGGATGTTGAGAATCAAGAAAAGGGCTAAAAAGCGTGTGCTTCTTGAAGCCATTGTTAAATTTCTCGTTTGTTTAGAGAGAAAAGAGACTTCAGAAGAAGCGTACTTCTTTACTATGGTGTGTGAATTGGGATGAGAAGAAAATGGAGGGTTCGAGGTGGCTTTTTATAGTAGTTTGAAGGACGGGCCGAAATGTTTTATGACCTCATATATATGATTTTTGTTAGAATAATCGCGAAGTTATCTTTGGTTTATAGTATACTTCTTTTTGGATACTTATAAAAATAGGTTTTTCTTAAACATAGCACATTGACTCTCGAATCTGGATTCGACAAGATTCCTAACAACATTTGCATTATACATATGTAGTTACAAGTGATAGATATATACTTCTATGGTGGCCCCATTGACGAATGAAAAACTTGAAATATTCCGATTTTTTTTTTTTGGTATATGTAAAGTTTTGCACAAAAAAAGCCTTATAGTTGATATAAACTTGGTGGGTAATTAGTTAAGTATTCAGCCATAATCTTTAAGCACGGAAAATTATAAAATCGATTTAAATGGCAAGTGATTTATATTTTACGAAAAAGTCGTACGTAAATAAATCTTATTAGAGGCATTATTCTTTTTTATAATGGTTAATATTTAAATATTGATGTTGAGGGAAAAGGCCAAGATTGAAAGCCATGCATGTGTGGTCCTTGGAACATTGATCTGGCAATCAACAGATGGATTTTCTGAAGGTGAATCTTTGGAGCTTTGTTATGCTCCACAGATTATGATGAAACTAATTATTCTTGAACTTATCCTTTAGGTAATCTTTTTTAATAACAAAATTGAATTATTTAATGTATGACAAAGTTTTTAATCCAGTTGCTCTAGAACCTAGGCAGGTCATCGAAAAGGAAACGTTTTGACTTATAGTTGTAGATTAATATATTTATATATAGAGTTTGATTAATATGTTAACTTAATAACAGAATAATAGAATATCTAAATAATAAATTAACATAATTAATAAAATAAACTTAAAATGCTAAAAAGCTAGTATTTATGAGATGAATGAATTTTTCTCTAAACCAGTTATAAATTTAAAATATGCAGGATAGTCTAAAAAATAGTGGGTTACTTTTCACTTTTTATCATTAAGTGTTTAATTGATGCAGCATGATATTTGAAATATTTCCAAATATCTTAAATATCTTTATTATTTACTTATTTGTGTATTTAGATAATTATTATTTATTATTTAGAGCTTTCTATAATATTTTAAGATTTTTATAATCTATTATAAATAAGTTGTTTATGTCTCATATTGTATTCAGACTTTGATTAATTATTGAAAAAAAGATTTTGATAAACCACTGTGAAGAGTATTCACAAACACTAGTTTCCGAGTATTCTTAGAATCAACGGATCTAAATCTATCGGTAGTAGCTTCCACTTCATCATTAATATTGTGAATGATATGTATTTAGTAGAATCACTTTTTCAAAACATGAAAATGTGAAAAAGCTACATATCATTCTAACTCCATAATATATTTCAAATGAATAATCTTTAAGCAATTTTTTTTTTGTATTCTTTCTCACTATATTTTTGGAAAATTAGTAATCATGAAGTAGAGAAAAACCCCTTGCGACTCGCACGAACAATAACTAGAAATACAACTACAGATTGCCCACTGAAATCGATAGATAATCCATGAATTGAGAATTCTTGCATCTTGCTAAACATGTGTTCCATATCCTAAGGGGGAGAGCAGAAGTTTTTGACTCCGGAGCTTTGAGCCATTGTGCGTAAAAGAATTTCGAAGATTAAATCATAGAAAAGGAAACAGTTTTGTTAATATAACCTAAAAAGTATATAAACAAAACCTTAAAAATATAGGATATACTTTGGAAATTAATAATCTGTAATATTCAACCTCCATACATTAATGTTTTCAAAGAACATTTCCAATCATGATACTCAACCTCCATCCATTGTTTAACATTCTCAGTCGTGATACTCAAGCTCCATACATTAATGTTTCAAGATATTAACATTTTCTTCAGCTTCTAGAAATAGGGAAATTGCTGATTCTCTTTTTGCTAGTAGCAAAACAATTGAAAACAAGATAAGATGATGAGAAACACATTTGGGATATCCTTCAGATAGATGGCTTATTTACAATTTGTACACGTGTCATATTGATGATAGAAGATTATCTATTTTACAGATTGTGTACTTGTGTCTCAAACACATTTATGATTTCTGTACACAAATATTTTATGTGGAAGTTGTTTTAAAATATTTCATTATTTATATATATTTATATGCGTAGTATATTTAAATAATTTATTTTCATTATACATATGTAAAAAAAAACTAGAAATGACGATAAAATTAAACTAACAAAAACAAAAAAAAAGGAGTTTCTTGGTGAGTATTCTCGTAGAATAAATATTTCGAGATTTTTCCTTAATTTTCAATCCATTAGTTACGAAATACATTCGAATGTATACAGAAAATAATGAAATACACTTTCTTTTTTAATGGTAGTAACTTGGTAGTATTATATTAACAAACTAGAGTGAAGAGATGTGAACCGAATTTGAAGAAATTCATCCATTTGTGTAGTACATATTGGGCTTTAAATCCATATAATTGGCACAATCTTAATTGTTACAGAAACCCATGGGCCTGTTTTAGCTACCCTATACAAATAGTCAATGAACCGTATAGAGAGAAGATAAATAAATGAATACAAATCATGAGAATCATAAATTTTCTTTGATAATATATTTGCTGCCTGATTCTTCTCCTGATTGACATGATCCAATGAACAATCTGGTAACTTCTCTATCCAATGACATATGTATATCATATAATGAAGATGTTTCCGATTTCTCAATTCTCCTCTCTTCCATAGTTCTTAGTGTCTCATCCCTCAAACCACACATTTCTCCATCTTTGAGTCCAAACAAGTTGAAGCACATATATAGGAAACCCATACCCATATATGTTTATCCTTTTTATTTATTCTCTTTTATATGTTAGCATTTAATATATATTTTATCGGTATCATGCATGTTTTCACGAAGATGTCTTTAAAATTATTTTATGGACAAATATATACTGAGATAAACCATGCAGAATAAAACTCTACCAGTAAATTAGATTTCTGTTCATTAGTTTCCATGTATGAATTGATTTGCAGGATTTCTAATGGCTTATATATTTATACTATTATTTAGGATTCAGACCACACATGCGTGACAATGAATGAATGAGTGCGATGCTAATTATGGTTATATTGTCCTTTTTATTAATTAGAAAGAGACGGATGGGAGATTATAACAGTATATGTATAAATGACAGATTGTAAATAATCAATAAAGATACCCTTTTTCGGTCAACCTGTGCGTATACAGCGTACGTTCTTGTCAGCGTTAAATTCTTGAACTATGGTGGGAAATGTAACCGGTACACTTAAGCTCTTGGATTGCGTCAAGTGTTTTTAAACTATCCGGTCGAAGGATTGTATATTTTTTTTTTTTTGACAACTCTTTCATTAATCACGGTAAGGTCCATATTTTTTCTAAATTTTGAAAACTATTTCAAAACGAAATCATTTTGGGAAATATACATGATAAACTAGAAGATAGATCATTAAAAAATAGTATATACAAGATACAAGCTTATTTTAATTAATGGTAAGAACATACAAGATAAAAACTGAATCAATTAATTAATTTATATGTACTGTTCTAGTGTGATTAATACGAATTGACAAAAAAAGGCACGAAAATTTTAAATAAAATGTTGGCGAGTCTGTAATCTGTTTTGATTAAAAAAAATTATGTTTTGGATGTTTATTAATATATATGTATATATATATATATATATATATGTTTGAAAACTCGTTTGGATATACCAGCAAATATAAATATAAATGAAATTTAGTTGGGGTGCTAATATTGACGCCCATTCTAAAATCATTTTCAATTTTAGGTACACACGGTTATATGTTTAGAGTGTGCAAAAAGATACCCATTTAAATAGACATGGTATCCAAAAATCGTAAAGTAAAAATCGAGATATTCAACCTGCCACCCCTAACTATAGTGTCACATTCAAACTTTGATGATGATGATTTGGCTCTTTTGGATTATATTTGTCATATTAAACTAGTTATTGAGGATAAAACTAAACTGAAAAGGATGTTAAAATTTGAACACCGTTCCCGGAGGAGACCAAGAAGATTCTTAGGGCCAAGCGTGAAGTAAAAAGGCTGTCGAAAATAAAACATTACAATTACAAACTTACATCTTTCACAAAACCCTAGTTTCTTCCCAACCAAACTTCTTACTTGGCTCACCTTTTTATTTCAATTCCAAACCCCCCATCCGTATTTGATTTCTTTATTGTGGATCTTATAATCATTACACACTTTATAATGTATATTACTATTACTATTCATGCAATTTGAATATGTAAGTGAGAATGGCCAACTAAGCCCTAGGAATTTTGTAGCTTGCACAAAATAGCCACTGAGCTTTTCCAAGCAACGACACAAATCATAAACTTTTGAAACTATCTACTTAGTCCAACTTCGGTTTGGTGTGTTTGTAATAACCACTTTCTACATAATCTGAATGATATGTTTTAACTTTGAAGTTTCAATGATATGATAATTTAGTTAATGAGTAATCTATAAGAAGCGGTATTTTTAAATCTAACTTATTTAAGTAATGGATTTTTCATTGTAAGTTTGTAACTTATATCGAAAGTATCCATGATTACTTTTTGGGTAGATTTTATATATGGTTCTGTACGATTACTATATTATGCTTCATAATACGTATTGGAATTGACCTGAAATTTGGTAAATTATATCTAATTTTCCAAAACAAATAGTAAGGGTCGTTTTGAATAGATTTGAAAAAATTAAGGATATTTAGTTGATGTTTAGTATTTAAATACCTTGAATAAAAGTATGGACATGAATTCAAACCATTTATGATTACGTGCGGAATGGGAGTGTGTATTATTCTAGTATTATTTTTGTTTTGCTTTAATGCATTTATTTAATAGAATTGCTTTAATTATGTGTTTACATATTTCAACGTTGTGGCCTCCTCATGTTACTACACGACCCACTCTCCCAAAAGTTTCTTCACTTAAAAAAAATTATTTTCACCATAAAAATTTAAGGATAGTATATTACAGTTTCTAACGCATGTGATCTGTTCTTTTCGACATACACATTAATTTGCTTATAAAACAATTAGCAATTCTTCATATTTCTCCTTTTCCAAATGATTATATATCCAACCCGATTAAGCTGGTATAACTCTGGCTTGATTGATGAGATTCAAATGTATAGTAGGTTATATACGTATAAAATGAGCAGTTGAACCAAATAGAAAATTAATTAAATTCGACTAGTGACAAGTGACAACCTAAAAACTAATTAATATATAATTTTATGTTTTATAAAAACAGTGTTCTAAGTTTCTCTCACACATATAAAAAGTATCTATGCATGTTACATTTTTTAAAAATCATTTTCAGTATGCGACTGTTTCCTCTTTCTAATTAATAAGCTTTAATTACTCAAAAATAAGATTAAATTTTTCTACAAATGAATTTGCATTTAAAATATGAAAATGAAAGTTTTCTTGACATAAAACTTATGTTAGGATAGAGGAATTATGCTATAAGATTTTAGTTCTGTAATAAATTTTTCTTATGATAAGATAAACTAGTATAATAAAAAGGCACAAAAAATTGAACAGCAACTTTAAACAGTCATTGATAGAAGTATGAAAACCAACAAGAAGGTATAAGCATTTATCGTTGATTAATTAAATGCTTTCATAGGTTATACTAGGTTAACTATTATGATTAGATTAATCAAATGCTTATTTAGGTTAGACAAGGTTCATATATGATTAGGGTAGATTATTATAAGTAATTAAAGAAGAAGAGAAAAGAGAGAGACGACAAAGAGAAGAATATGGGTGTCATTATGTGAGAATTTCAAAATTTTCAGTGCGATTTGTTTTATTTAGTCCTTCGTTGGCAGCTTCCATTCTCTTTCTATTCTTCTATTCTTCCATTTTGTTTTTGTAAATCTCTAAATTCCAAAAGATTCCATAACCACGATAGACACCTATTTTTTAACTAACATTATAATTTTATACTAGTAGGATGACAGGTGATTAATATCTATTTATATTATGCTGTAAAAAATATCAATTTCTATATCACATTTATATTATATATGTATATATATCTACTATCTAGAGTCTTACTTGGTTTAATTTAGAACTTATAATATTGTGTTAATTCGTGAACTCGTGAACATGAATTTATATGAGATTATTCGAGATGTCTGATCAAAATTATGTGGTAGATTTTTAGTGTTTTATTAAATTCAAACAAGGTACCACTGATGAATGATTGATTCAAAGACGACAACGAATTATGCTCACGGTGGGAATAATGGCATGTAAAACTGCAAATTTGTGTGATAAAATAAAATATACTACAAATAGATATATATATATATATATATATATATAGATAATGTAAATGCGTTCTCTCAAGAAAAGGTTTTTCCATCATCGATTATTTTGTCAAAAAAAGTGAGGATTTTCATTACTTTTAATAGTACTTGCTGAAAAAGATTATCAAAGGACTGGCTCATGATATAACTTCGGTTTTTTGGCCGAAAGAAAAGAAAGAAAAACACATTTCGGTTTTGAGATGGCAGTAACCGGATATATGCTGTTAATATAAAAGGAAAAATGTAACTATAATTTAATTTGTTGAAATGAAAACTATATATTTATTGAATATATTTGGCATGATGATAGCGTTGAAATCCACATTGATTTTGAAATATGCTTGTCATCGAGTAGAAGATCCAGATACCATAATTGACTTGAATAGACCTTACATGTGAAATTCTATTGATGAGATAAAAACAAATAGAGTTACAAACTTGACGTAATTTTGAAAAATGTTATTATATTTTCTTTTGTGATCCATTTATGATAGAAGGACAGGAATCACAAGACTGTACCAAAATAAAAACAACAAAACCCCACTGTCAAATTTTTCTTACATTTATTTCCGTCTTGTTCTTTTTATATTAACTTACATAAAATCAAAAGCAAAATTTCTGATCTTATAAAAATAAAATTGTTTTCTTTCATTTTTGAAACACAGCTAAGTAATAACACAAGGGAAAAAAAACACAAGACTGTAACAAACTAAAAACAATAAAATCCTGCTGTCAAATTTTCGTTACATTTTTTTGTCTTTTTGTAAATCTTACATAACATAAAAAAAAAACCAGAACTTAGTTTTTACAAAATAAAATTGTTTTTTTTCCTTTTTTGATACAATAAAGGCATAAGTAAAAAAAACAAAAAAATCGAAAAGACAAAACTACCCACTATAAAACGGAAACTTTCCTTTCTAAATAAAGGGCAATATCGTAGTTTAAACTATCAAGTTCCGACTTTCACTTTTAATATTCATCATCATCATCGCGCCATGTTGTTTTCTTCTTCTGCTTCAAAGTTTTCTTAAAGAGAGAGAGAGACAAATAGAGAGCTTCGGGCCCGGATCTTAGTTATGGCGAGTGGGTGGGTCAAATCGTTACAGTGCAAGTCGAAAGCTTTCGATGATGTTTACAATCCGATTAAAATCCCAAACCCGAATCAGAATCCGAAACAGCTGTTGTCAAGTTACAGCTGCAGGAGAAGCACACAGAATCTAAAAGACGTGATCGATACCAAAAAACAAAAACCTAAACCGAAAAAACCCAATCCAAAACCGGAGAAACAAGAACCCGAGCCGGTTCGAACTCATTCCACCCGTATTCGATTATCCGGCGATTCCGCGACTCGAGCTCGTGACCCGTTTTTACCGACACTGACGGAGCTTGCGGAAGGGCATCAGTCGCGGAATGTGGTGGAGATAATTTTTCAGACGAGCTGGGGCCCGAAACCGTTTTCGGGTCGGATCGATATGATCTTCAAAGTGCAAAACGGGTCAAAGACTTTGACCCGGTTCGAGGAGTATCGTGAAGCCGTGAAAATTAGGAGCGTGGGGAAAGCGCGTGAAGAGAACGCGCGTTCGGTTGCCGACGGAAACGAGACGATGAGGTTTTATTGTTTGGGTCCTAGTTACGGCGGCGGAGCGTGGGGAATTCTCGGAGGAAAAGACGGCGGCGCGTCGGTATATACCTTCGCCGGGAGTTGCACGGCGCACGATAAGGCAGGCGGAGGGAAAGGGAGGAAGGCAATGTTGGTTTGCCGGGTTATAGCGGGTCGGGTCTCTAAGCAAAACGAGTTACGGTACGACTCGGTCGACTCGGATATTCGATCTCGGTTTGACTCAGTGAGTGGTGACGACGGCGAGTTGCTCGTGTTCGATACACGTGCAGTATTGCCTTGTTTTCTCATAATCTACCGGCTGTAAAAAAAACCTTTTTTATTTTATTTTTATTTTTTAACTTTTGACATTGTAATTTCATTTATCAACGCAATTTTCCCCTATATGTGGTTTAGGGAATTTTTGTGTTCCAATGTATTGGTTGAAAATTGTGTTGATAAATGGTAATTAATTTTGTTGACAAAAAAAGAAAATAGTTAGTTCGTGAAAGAAATATGGTAACTGATCTCTTCTTCCTCCCCCACGGATAATCAATTTCTTAATTAATGCTGCAGTAAATACTGAATATTTTCGTGCGTTGGCTTTTACAATGTCATAAATAGATTTTATTACGGAGACAATTGTTTTATTTTTTTTATACTGTTGCGTTTGGATTCGTACATTCAATTCTTTACATCTATCTATAGTAAATCTTCTGATTCACGAAAAATCCCTATACGTTACTATCACAGTTACCTTCCTTAAAGTGAAAACTATAATGGGAAAAATTCAAATTTTGTAATTTTTGTTGATTTTTTCAAAATTTCACTGAGGGTAGTACTTTCACAAGAAAGAATAATCAGTGAAAAGTGATTCCGTTTAAAGAGCATTTGTAAAAGATGTAAAAGTGAATAATAAAAGAAAAGAAAAAAGAGTAAAAACTGAAAATGAAATCATGAAAGTTCATTAGAGAGGCACATGGAGAGAATATTAAGGGATGAAGAAAGATGAGAGGCCTCATCTAAATGATCCACAGGCCCATTGGGCCCATCACTGATTTATGGAATCACCTCTTAACGAGTCTCTTAAAGAAACGGGTCAAAGACTTTGGCAAATATATTCCAAAAGGTTTGATGATCAAACACTCAAAAAGTTCCTAGTTTCTCCTCTAACTTCAAAAGCTGTAACTCGAAACCGCTATGTTAAAGCTAAATCAATGGAGCTAGAGCAATGTCTACAAAACCACAAATTACATCATTCAGTTTATCTCCTTCTTCTACCTACATACCCTTGAGTCAAACCTTTGTTGTTTCTAGTCTTCCCCTGCATCTTCTTGTATTCTCTCGATCTCAAAACCGTCTCCAAGATGTTTATATCTTCACGGATCTCGTGTCTAGAAAGTGATAAGAGCCCCGGGAGTATCTCCTTTTGGAAATTCTTCATTCTCTTCCCTCTTCTCAGCTTCACTCCAACCTCTTTCTCGCTACTCATGACTTCATCTTTGCTCTTTGATGACACACAACAGACATCTTCAAGAACGGTTTCGCTAATTCCTAACGTGCGAAGCTCAAATGAATCGCAAGAACGACCCGGTTCTTCGTTAACTTTCTCGAGTTTATCTAAACGTTCTTGATCTTGAGATGAGCTGTTAGGCCTTGATCCAGGCTTGAGTGTAAAGTCTTTACTTTGACTGAGTGAAACCGCTGAGATGTGGAGTAAACATTCAGCTGCTATTTGAATTACTTCAGACGAATCTTCTTGTTCCGCAGTGCAGCATGAAGCTGGAGACGCTGTACTGTCTTTTTCATGGACATCATGTAAACCGCTCTTCTTGCTGATCGCTTCCTTCTCTTGAGTGTAAGGGAAGTTCAAATCTTGAAAGAAGCATTGATCATGATCGTAAACCGGTTCACTCACTGGGGTTTGGTTAAGATCCAGCAAACCTAAACCACCTGAGATAATCACTTTCTCACTTCTCTTGCCAAACCAATTTGTGTCGGATGCTTCAATCTTCGAGGGAAATCTCAAATCTATGGTATCTTGAGAGCCTTTTGCGGTATACACCTGAAATGAAATTTATTTTTCTTAATAACAAAAGCAACAATTAAGACTTGGAATAGTACAACGTTTTTGATTTTTTTTAAGAAAACAATAATGATTTATGAGTTTATAAACACAAAAAAGCCAATTAAAGTTGGAAACTGTACCTGCTGCCCGAAGAGAGTGACCATACTGATTTGATTTTGCTTAGAACTTTCTTCATATGATTCACAACGTTTCTTGGACAAACCGTGAAAATACATTATTTACTCCACGGCTCGTCTCTATCAAATGACAGAATGTTGTTGAACAGAGTAAATGTACAGAAGTCAAATCGAGTACCAAATTTGGAGAAGAAGCTTTTTTTGTTTCAGGTGATCTTAAAAGGAATCAAAACCATCAATCTCATGTCTTAAAAACTCAATTAAACACGAATTTTTGAGGGTTTTCAATCCAAAAACCTATGCTAAATCTTTCTATTTTACATCACTTTCACAAACTTATACTGATCATTCATATATATAGAGATTTCTGCTGTTAATTACGATATATATTCGAAACATGCAAACTTTTGTGACACTGCGAATGAAAAAACAATTTAAGTATTGAATCTCGATTGTAAATACTAATTTTACCAGAGAATTCATTGAGAATTTACCACAATTCCCCACGAAAGATTATATAATGAGGAAAAACAATATCTTCATTGTACAAGATTTTGGATAATATATGTGAAATACTATAAACAAAGAATCTAAATATAAAGTGATACTAACTTTTTAATAGAAGAGAGAGGAATTATTTACCCAGAGAAGAAGGTTGAAGCTTTCAATGATTAGATTGACCAACAGATCTATGAGACATGCCAAATAAAGAAGCAATCTCAATAAGACAAGAGTTTCATGGTCAGAGATTCCATCTATAGATACATGTGTGAATATAGGTTCTAGGAATTGTAAAAGAAATCTTACCATGAGGAGCGAGAAAGAAGAGTCTCTCTTCCTTTTCTTAGAGAGAGAAACAAGAGGATTAGTGCCGGTTACGGATTAACAGAGGCACATTAGCAATAATATTTTGTTATTTAATGTTCACCTCCTTTTTTGGGTCAAATTATTTTTTTTCTTTCAAAACAAATAAATTTATAGGTTGTTATGATTATTATTAATGTATTGTTTTTTTGTTTTCACAATGATTATGGAATTATGACCAATAAAAGAAATATTTAATTTTGGACTCTAAAACATGATGGGCCATGTCCTAGGCTACCACGTTCCTAACACTTGTGTAGAACCGAATGTGGCTGAAGAAGTCGCAATGAGATTCGAAATCGGACAAGATTTTCGTTAAGCAAGCCAATGTTTTGGACATGAATATGAAATAACAATAGGGATTTTATTGATCACTCGAATGAAATTAATACAAAGTAAAGTGGATTAAGTGTAAATAATTGCGAGCTTATGATCATGAACATACATTTATAACCTTCTCCTCTATTTGTGGTTATATGTGCCCAATTATCTCGGAGAATCTGAACCATGACCTCGAGGTCAACAGACTAAAGTTTACGTTGACTTGGCCTATAGTTTGTAAAAGAAACGTATATATATTCTGATAATTTCAAGGCGTACAAATATACAATAGATATTGAACATGAGTTTCTTTAAGATTCATCATCATATACGTATGATTTGTTTAGTTACGTGAAGTAGTGAACGATTATACCTTTTTTTATTGGAGTCAAAAGTAAAAACCCAATGTCAGATTGTATATCGAACATTTTTTAAGCACAATAGCATCATGCCGTAGTAGTGGACATTTAGTAATTGGGTAGTCACAAAGAGAGGCTAACGGCCCATAATAATATCAGGCCTGAACTACCTCGTTATCATTACATTTTCTTGATTAATTTTGCAAATAGAAAATGCAACCAATGATATCAATGCTCCTCAGGATTTATTCATGGAGATTCCACATGATAAGATAAGGTACAGGTGTAGTAAATGTGTTTATTTTTCTCTAAAAGAAAGATGTGATGGCGGTAGACCATATCAAACCTTTTTTAAAAAAAACTAATCGATTTTAATTTATTTATTCATTACTTAAACATACTTAAGAACCAAAATTCATCCATCCACTTCTTGAAAAAGTTATGAAGATTCTTTTATAATTAAGTACGACATAATAAGTGTAAAATAAAAAAATAATACATTATATAAAGTCTCTAGGGTCAACTTATGTAGCTTCATTTTTAATGACTATATAATCTGTTTCAGATACATGGAAACGTGTATACGAAAACCGAAATGTTTTGGATATTTTTTAAAAAAATAGGAGATAGATTTTTGTTTTTGGTTTTAAAATTTTTAGGAAATGGATACATTTAAAGATTGGTATTACTAAAACTATATTTTTAAAATTATTTATTTGATTATGCTTCCAAAATTAAAATTATAAAACTATAACATTTCTAAAACTAGATTCGACGATTCAAATCACACTTTTTATTTTTATTTAGATTATATATTAAAGTAATTTAAGAAATTTAAAAAAAGTGAAAAGTGTGATTTGAATCGTCTAATTTTTTACTTTACATCACTGCAACTTCAGTTTGGGTTTTCAAAACACTTAAAAAAAAACAAATCTAATTCAAAATTGATTCCAAAGCTAAAAAAGCATATTTATATAGAGTTTGCATGTAATCTATAACTTGTCACAATCTTAAGTCGAATGGTTTTAGCTACGACCACGCATTGTGTATTGATTCCAATGAAAGCAAAATTAGATGAATTGACAACATTGGTTCTCAGATTCTTATTCGCCATATTCTTTTTAACATTGGCTATTCCTTTATTTTTGAGTGGAAAATAGTATGGAGTTGAAAAATATTTGATTGTATAATAGAATGGGACTAGAGATGATATTAATTGTTAGTATCATTTTCTGATATTTCTGTTTACTTTTATTTTTTTGCCAAATACTGTACTTTCTTATTTGTTTAAGCAGATATAATTTAGGTTGTAGATTGACATGGTCTTTCCTAAAAGATAGGTTTGAGGTGGACTCTCCTAAAAAAAAAGAAGAAAGAGATGTAACTCTCCTAAATTCTAATGTTTTATGTTTATATGGAGGCTAAAGTTGAAGAAAAAGAAAACAATTACTAATCAAAAATATAAAAGACTCATAATTCTCAATATACTGTATTGTGGATGGTGACAGGTTTAGTTGTGTTGTGTGGCCACCATGGATTGTTTAGGTGGGTAGCTAAATTGGTGAATGTGTTGTTCACGTGTCAGAATATGTTAATATGAATACTACTACTAGCTGATCTATATATACACACAGAAAACACACAAACGAATCGTACCTAACCAACCGATCCGAGCCTTTCTATTTCTAACTAGTTGAAGAAAAAACCAGGTAGGTTAAATTAAATTAATTGGCAAGCATACTCTGGATGAAAGAGAAGATCTGTGTTTTCACTTCAAGATAAAAATAAATTTACGAGCTTGAAAGAACGTATAGAAGATCCATAATAATATCATACTAGTAATGGATGTTGGATGATCCATAATGACATTGACAAAACATCACCATTTTTCTTGTGAACGATAAAGCATCGTTATATGGTTTACTTTTTTTAAAGGATATACTTGTCCATAAATTAAGATAGTAATTGTAGTCAATTAAATTGTTTCGATTAATTTGTTTGTAAACCAGTTTTAATTTCTGGGTTAAGACGAAATTAATATATAATATAATATTTTAACTAAAAAAAAATTTGTTAAGCAAATATGGCAAAAATTATATTTCGTTTGATTCACTATATTTTTGTTATATTCAAAATTAGGCTCTGTTTTATTTTTATTTTTAGGTCTCTTATAATTAAAGCTTCAAAATTCTGAGACTTTAATTACCCATAATTTGTTTGTTGTCTGAGACTAACTAAAAATCAAAATTAGGGTTTTTCATGTTAAAAACTTTAACATCAATTGTGAATATGATACAAAGATATGAAGAATGTTTTTCTCTTAGTTTTTATCTTATTAATTACAAAACAAGTATTGACTTAGCACTCTGTTTTTAGAGCATTTTCATTGATAATATTATAATGAGGCATCTTAATATTAAATTAATGAAAAAAATAAAAACAAGGAAAAAAAAGTAAGAAGGAGTTTTCAAATGAGAAGCCTTTAGATACTTGAGAACTTATTTATCATATTTATTCCTCATTCATTGGTTCAATATTGTTTAAATTAAAATAATAATAAAAAAATTAATTACATTAAAATATATTTTTGTGTGTTTGAGATACCTAATAAGTATATCATCGATAGAGATGGTCTTAAAAAATTAAATTGACAAATTACGTATTCCATTTTAATATATATAACGTCCGATACAACCAAATATATATATGTCAGTCTTTTTTATAAGAAAAAAATTAAAAAGTCTGTTTTAGTTCCTATATATAAAATCCTTTGCCCCTAGCCGGAGGACAAAATAAAAAAAAAATTGAGTCAGAGATGGCACCAGCTCAAAACACAGTCAACTCGAAACACGTGGCGGTTATCGGAGCTGGAGCATCCGGTTTAATTGCGGCAAGAGAGCTCCATCGTGAAGGTAACACCGTCGTTATCTTTGAACGGGAGAAACAAGTGGGAGGTCTATGGATTTACTCACCTAAAACCGAATCCGACCCGCTTGGTCTCGACCCGACCCGACCCATAGTCCACTCGAGCGTCTACGAGTCTCTCAGAACCAACATCCCGAGAGAATGTATGGGTTTCACGGACTATCCGTTCGTGCCACGTGTCGGTGACGTGTCAAGAGACTCGAGAAGGTATCCGAGCCACAGAGAAGTTCTTGCGTACCTTCAAGACTTTGCTAGAGAGTTTAAATTAGTGGAGATGGTCCGGTTCGAGACGGAGGTGGTTCGGGTTGAGCCGGTTAATGGTAAATGGAAGGTCCGATCCAAAAACTCCGGTGGTTTCTCCGACGATGAGATCTTTGACGCCGTTGTCGTTTGCAGTGGCCACTATACAGAGCCTAACGTTTCTCTTATTTCTGGTAAAGATTAGTTTCTAAATGCGTTTAAATTACAATTGTCGATATAAATTCAATACTGCATATTTTAATGATCAACTTGTGCATTGTCTCGATCCAAAAATATATCTAACTGTACAAAATATGCATATTTAGGGATAAAATCGTGGCCAGGAAAGCAAATCCATAGCCACAACTACAGAGTTCCTGGTCCTTTCAAAAATGAGGTAATCTCAAAATCTATGGCCCCTTAAATTAAACATTTACATTTCTTCTCTCTGCTTTTTCTTTGAATAATTTATGGATAAATGATTAAGACAAAAAGCCTATTATAACTGTAGTTCTACAGTACGGTATCCCACTGAATTATTTAATAAAAGATTAGTTAATGAGAATAATAAATACAATATGGACGGTAGTAACTGGTTGTAACCACCGACAAAAAGATCTGCTTGTAACCGAAGGAGAGGAATCACTAATGACATACTTTCGTATTGTATTGCTTTGAAACATAATAAATTTCTTGTTACTGACTTAATCTACTCATTTTCCAAGCAATTTTTTTTTAACAATTGTTCGTTCTTTCTTTCTTGATAGCACCTTTCGTATTGTATTGCTTTGAAACAGAAAAAACAACATACATATCCATGATCAGTACACTAATATAATTATTAATTAGTACTCTATACATTTTACAAAAGTGTGAAATTTTGCTTCTACAAATAGTATTGTTTTATATTTCTAATGTAAGAATTTGAATAAAAACCCAGTTTTAGTCTTACAATTGTAATGTATTAATTAGAAAAAGAAATTTTACTTAGTATATTAATATACTTATATGGAATACCAAATCAGAGTGATAAGTGATAACAACAAAATAAATTAAGTGACAGAATTACACGATGCGTTTTTTTCTTCGGATAGAGCAAAATATAATGATCTTATGAAAAGCAGAAATAATTTTTTCTTACATCTATTATTACATACTCATATTGCATTTGCAAACAAGTACTTATCTACAAAATCATCCACCAAACAAGTTTATTCTCTCAAATGTTCGGGAAAAATACTCTTGAATTCATTTAAGATATGCATTTTTTTGTGTTGATATGTTGGCAGGTGGTGGTGGTGATCGGAAATTTTGCAAGCGGTACCGATATTAGTAGAGACATTGTTAAGGTCGCGAAAGAAGTCCACATCGCGTCTAGAGCGAGGGAACCCGATACGTATGAGAAGCTTTCGAACAATCTATGGATTCATTCTGAGGTAAATCTATATTCAAAACCCTAATTTTGATTTCATCTTAAAACCAACTATAGACTATAAGTTTTATGTTTTCCTTTTTGATATGTCTTAGATAGAGAAAGCATGTGAGGATGGATCAATTGTTTTTAAAAACGGGAAGGTGGTATATGTTGATACCATCGTGTATTGCACCGGGTAAGTTAACCGTTTTGGTATATATATGCTCGATTTCATATGTAAATATGTGATGCATGGATTTTCGGTATAATATTTATACCTTTTTTGTTTACGTATGTGTCAAGGTACAAGTATAAATTTCCATTTCTTGAAACCAATGGCTATATGAGCATCGATGATAACCGCGTTGATCCTTTATACAAGCATATCTTTCCACCGGCGCTTGCCCCCGGACTCTCTTTTATTGGTTTACCGGGGATGGTTAGTCTCAGTTCGAAATTTCTTCCTTTGGATGATTTTGAATCCACGTTTCACTTGGTCTAATTTTGATATTTTTTTTATTAGGGCTTACAATTCGTTATGTTTGAAATCCAAAGCAAATGGGTTGCTGCTGTTTTGTCTGGACGGGTTACACTTCCCTCACCAGAAAAGATGATGGAAGATGTTCTTGCGTCGTATGAGACGCTTGAAGCGTTAGGTTTTCCCAAGAGATATACACATAAATTGGGTAAAATTCAGGTAAGCTCATTTTCCGAATATGATTACGTGTAGGTCTTGATAGTTCAATTCAAACATTGATTGATGTTTTTGCTCTTACATGTGAAATTGTTTTCTCCTAAAATTACAAAGTTTTATTATAAAATATTTGTTTGCAAAGCAAAAAGATACGTTTGAATAACAAAAGAACTTTGGGTGTGACTAATAAATTAGTGGACTGACAAACAAGAAATATATTTTCCAAGTTAGTGTTTTGGTAAGAAAAAATAGTTCGCTTTTCTATCTAATTTTCTCTTAAATCAGAGGGGAAAAAGTTCACTGATATCTGTTTGATTGGTGGAAAACTAGAATAATCTACAAGAATTCTGTTTTTAGCTGTTTTTTTTACTCTAATGAGTAGAGTTTATACTCTTTGTTTAAATGCTTAACGTTATAGATTAATTTACAAAAACTTAATATACACTCAAACATATTGTAAACAAATAATCAAAAGCATATTAGTTATATCGACACAAGAAGAGCAACATGTCAATGACTTCTCTGAAAAAGCTTAGTATCTCTTTCAGGGTAATTACCTCGATTGGATCGCAGAAGAATGTGGCTGCCCACCTGTTGAACGTTGGAGAGCTCAACAAGTTAACCGTGGTTACGAGGGACTTTTAACTAACCCTGAAAATTACCGCGACGAATGGAAATATCACGATCTCACAGAAGAAGCGTACGAGGATTTTGCTAGGAAGAAGTTGATTAGTTTTCCTCCTTCTCATTACCTCGAATCAGGAAGATGATATGGAACAATGGTGCCTACTTGCTTTTGGGGGTCCACTTGTATTTATAAAAATCAAATATATTGGTTTTTAATAAGAAAGCTGAATAAATGTAAGGGTTTTAAAACATTGATTGATGTTTTTGCATTCACATATGAAATTGTATTTTTTTCTAAAATCACATGCTTTTTCTAAAAGTAAATATTTTTTGCAAAGTAAACAAAAAACTTTTATTATGTGTATTTGATTAACAAAATAAATTAATATACATATCTTATTCTCAAGAATAAGTGGAGTAACAAAACAAGAAAAATAAGGAGAAATACCACTAAAAGGTAATGGATAACTAAAGGGTAATGAATAATTTGAAAATTAGTTCTTATGATAAGTAATTATTAAAAATCTGTTTTAAACTCATCTCTCTGAAATAATTATAATTTTTTCAGATTCTCTTTACGAATAGAAAAATTGGATGATATGAACATATTCATAAACTAAATTCATCAATTAACCATAACAAAATAGATGCTATAATATTTTTTATATATTTTATAATATATACAAAATATCATTTCTCTTTCCCGTCATTTTTCTTTCCTTTTTTTTCATCGCCCCACCTCTTCCTCTCTTCTTCCCCTCTCTTCCCCTCTCTTATCCTCCTCTTATTTCTCATTCTTTCCCGTCTTTTTCTCTCCCTTCTTCGTTCTCTCCTCCCTTCTTTTCATCTTCTAATTTTTTGCTACTATATCAAACGAAACTATTCTATAAAATTGAGATATAATATAGTAGCTATTATAGTATAATACATGAATATTTTGACAAATAATAGTAGATCATAGTTAGTTTGTAAATTATCCATACACTATGGCTATATTCTTTATTTCAACTCTCAATATGGTTATATATGCAAAAAAACTCCAAATAATACCATAAATGAAAAAATAAAAAAATAGATAGCAATAATAATAATGTTATTGACAATATTAAAAGCAACAATGTTGAATGACGATAACAATGATGATGACAATAACTTAGACAGAGATAACAATGTTGATAATAGTGATATTAACAGTGTTGGTCAATAAAGATGGAAATGTTAATAACAATAACACCACAATGATGATGATAATAACAATAATTTTAACGATAACAATAGTGTTAACTGTGTAGTAATTAATAATTAATCAATATAATTTTGCATAATTTTATTATTGTAACGAAGTTAGTTAATTAATAAATTATATTTTTATTATATAATAATTATGTTAACATGATAGTTTTTATATATTTATATTTCAAATTATTTTATAATTTGATAATTTAGTTGACATAATAGTTTATGATATGTTAACAAGTTTGACATGATAATTTCATATTTTATAAAATTATAACTCGTTATTCTATATTTTTTTATAATATGATATATGGTTTAACATGTTAATCAAATGTTTGAAGTTGAAATTTTATACGTTAGCATATTTTTTTGATGAATGTTATTTTTGTAATTAAACTAAATAATAAGAGATTTTGGTATTAAAATTTATTTTTCTTTGTTATTTACCTAACTTTTAGTTATTTATTAGTATCATTTACCAATTTTTTCCTTTTTTTAGTGTGAATTATCATTTACCTAATGTTCAAAATATTTATGTATATTCATTAAAATTATCCAATAATAAATAATATAAATATATTTTCTTGGAAATTAATCTGACCGGAGTTCACTTCATTCACTGGCAAATCTAACAGGAAAGCACTTGATCTAAACTGACGAATCAAACTCAATCATTTTAAAGTAAAAATCAAACTCAATCATTCGTCATAGTTAAATGTCGTTTTTAGTCCAAACTGGCGAAAGTGGAGTTACGTATATTAATGCGTCTTCCTTTTTACTTCTTCCCTTTTTCAAACCAACAAGACAAGATTTTGAGAGGATAAAGCACCGAAAAGCAATGACGAAAAATCACATACGTTACTTTAGGATTTTGTCTTTTATTTCAAATAAGTTTACATGTTATGTATTGAAATATAATACTCTATTAAACCATGGTGCTATTTTGAGCCGTCCGATTTAGTGTATGTGACGTTGAACATGGGCAGCTACATGATCAAATAGGAGTTGCTCACTTCAGTGGAGTTTCTTTTTTTTCATAATTGGCGACTGCGATCATATCATTGATCTCTCTTTTGGGAACTGTCACATTCATTGTTCATTTTTGCCGTCTCGCGAAAATATTTTAATAGTTAAAGTTTAGAAATATCTTTCAATAATTTAAAAGTTATTTTTATACTCAAGGTTCGTTACCGAACCAGTCAGGCTGGGTGATAATGATACCGGTAAAAACTGAAAATCGTATGAAAACAACACAACGTCATGTCAATATGTTAAATGGAACCGCCTCAAACTATTGATTAATTTTATGATTACTTTCTTAGAGAATTGACGTTTCAACAACTAAAGAGTCAATTCATAATAATTAGGGTTAAGGAGTTTGGATTTTCCCTTTTCCACAGCTTCGGTATGAACGAGATTCCTATCAATAAACATTCTTGTAAATGTTATATTGGATTCCGATTGGTATTTCTTGTATTCTTTTCATTTATGTTCGTACTCATACTTGTTCTGTTTTACATTTTTGACTTATTGAGAGTTTTATAAATAAGTAAATTTCAATAACACTGTAGAATTTGAACGTCAAAGTTAAATTTGTATGCTATAATTATAAAATGAAGTGGAGAAATGCTTACACAGTCAAGTGAAAGTGACACGTCATCGTGGACAAGTACTTGTGATCTTTCTTTATATAATGATCAAAAACACTTTATAGAGAGATCACATAATCATATATCAATATATCCACAAAACATTCCATTACTACATATCCTAAACTATGGCACCAGCAGCAAATCGTCCAAACACCTCGCGTCACGTGGCAGTCATCGGCGCGGGAGCAGCCGGACTCGTGGCGGCTCGGGAGCTCCGCCGCGAAGGCCACTCCGTAGTCGTTTTTGAACGTGGGAGCCAAATCGGAGGCGTGTGGGCTTACACACCAAACGTCGAACCCGACCCGCTTAGCATCGATCCGACCCGACCCGTGATCCACTCGAGCCTCTACAGCTCTCTCCGCACCAACATCCCACGAGAATGCATGGGTTTCACCGACTTCCCTTTTTCGACCCGGCCAGAAAACGGGTCAAGAGATCGGAGAAGACATCCGGGTCATAGTGAGGTTCTTGCTTACTTGAGAGACTTTGCGAAGGAGTTTGAGATCGAGGAGATGGTTCGGTTCGAGACGGAGGTTGTGAGGGCTGAGCCGGCGGCGGATGATCGCAAGAAATGGCGAGTCGAGTCAAGAAACTCCGATGGTATCTCTGACGAGTTTTACGACGCCGTCGTCGTTTGTAACGGTCACTATACAGAGCCTCGTCATGCTCAAATCCATGGTAATATCAGTAATCAACTCATTTATCAGTAATCTCCTTAAAATTTTTTTAACTAAACCAAAATAATTAAACTATGAGTTCTTTTTTTTTTCTGACTAACATTAAACTATGAGCTGTCATGCTCATTCCATTGTCTTGAAAATACAGCGTCATTTTATGTAAATAAAAGTAAAAATGTATTTTTCTGATTTATTCTCTAATTTTTTCCTAATTTTGTTTGTTAATATTTTTTTTTGGTTTCTCTACTCAAGACAATTGATCAGCCTTATGAATCTTTTTACTATGTCAATTATTACTCTGCTTTGCTGTAATGGAAAAAAGAGTCTTCTTCTACTATGTTAAAAACAGAGGATTTGCTTCTAATAAAAACAAGAATCATCTCCTTTGCAAAAAAAAAAAAAAAATCAATTATGTTTTTTTTTTCAGGGATAGATTCATGGCCAGGAAAGCAAATTCACAGCCACAACTATCGTGTTCCAGATCAGTTTAAAGATCAGGTAAAAGCTAAAATATAAAGGTGTCACTATCACTATCTAAATTTTTATTATCTTGCATGGATAAATGTATCTTTAAAATGAAATTCGAATTTATAGGTGGTGGTGGTGATTGGAAGCTCAGCGAGCGGAGTAGATATAAGCAGAGACATAGCAAAGGTCGCAAAAGAAGTCCATGTCTCTTCAAGATCGACTAAACCGGAAACATACGAGAAACTTCCCGGTTATGACAATTTATGGCTTCACTCTACAGTAAGAATAAAATCATCAGCCTTATCCAAGTAGTATCAATCCAATTTGTCGATGTTATTACTCCTAATGACTACAACTCTTAACATACACCACATGATTAAATGGAGTTCTGTCCATAAGATTAATTCGTTGTTAATTACATGTATTGCAGATTGAAACTGTCCAAGAAGATGGTTCAGTGCTTTTACAAAACGGAAAAACGGTTTACGCTGATACCATTATGCACTGCACCGGGTGATTATTCGATTAACATTTGAAAAAATTAAAAATATATAAAACATGTAGTGAAATATGTGTTGAAAACATTATATTGATACTTTTCCATATGATTAGGTACAAATATTACTTCCCGTTTCTCGACACAAAAGGCGAAGTTATCGTTGAAGATAATCGTGTTGGACCGTTATATAAACATGTTTTCCCGCCGGCGCTTTCTCCGGGACTTTCCTTCATCGGATTACCATGGCAGGTTAGCGATTTACAAGTGTCCTTAGATTGTTAAGTTTCTTAAGTTTACAACACAAAACAAATTGGCAATGAGTGGATTAGCCCAAATTACTTATATATTAGTCAAAGTGAGACATATCTTACACATATTCTCTAGAGATTAATGTAGCATGATCCATTAACTTCTACTAATCCCAATACCCCATCGAGATAATGGCCTATCTAACTATTAATTTTGCCATGACCATCAATTTTGGATCGAGAGCAAATACTACTCCGGACAACGAAAATGTGTAGATCAGGATCTAATACCATATTAAGTTTATTGAGTTTCGAGTCCAAAACCAATCGGCAATGAATGTATTAGTCAAAGTTAGTATATTAATCAAAGTCCTTTACAACTTCCAAAACATGTATATTATACATACTTTCTAAAGATTAAAGCTTCATGACCTATTAACCTTTACTAATTCCAATATAGATTTATATTGTGTCAATGGACTTATTGATTGGTTAATTTTGTTTTTCCTCTAGATCACTCCTTTTCCGATGTTCGAACTCCAAAGCAAATGGGTCGCAGCGGTTTTGTCCGGTTGGGTTTCACTCCCATCACAAGAAGAGATGATGGAAGATACTAAGATGTTCTACGCGAAGCTTGAAGCCTTAGGTATTCCCAAGAGATACACACATCTTATGGCAAATGACTCTCAGGTACGTAACGTACCCAATCTTTTTTCTTTAATTTTTTTTTGTGACATTTATGCAATCTAGATTGAAGAGTCATATTAAATTGAATATTATGTTTCTTTACAGTTTGAATACGATAATTGGCTTGCTGATCAATGTGACTATCCTCGCATAGAAAAATGGAGAGAGCAAATGTTTTACATCGGTTACAAGAGAATCTACGCCAACTCCGATACATATAGGGATAATTGGGACGATGATCACCTCATCGCAGAAGCATATGAAGATTTCGTCAGATTCACATCTAACAATCCAAGTTCTTTGATCGAATCGTAAAAATAAAATAAAATAAACAAGCTTATAGAAAAAAAAACACTTAGGTTTTGTTCCGCAGAAAAGAAGGCGTGCGTGGGTTTATTACGTGCGGTACAATGTATATTAATGTGTTGTAACGTCTCCCAAATGTTGAAAGTCGAATAATGGACTTGATATGTGTGGATAAACAATAGTGCGGTGGATTTATAGATATGTGATGACGTGAGGACCATTGTGTCAAGCAGCCTTTAATAAAACGCTGCGTTTAAACGATTTCTGAGGATGTTGTATCGAAAAGAGTACTTGTGGTTCATGATGATTTTGTGGGCCAGATCTTTATCAGAGGGCCTAAAATATTCTCCGTCTCTTAGGAATCTTGTAAACACGATGACACCTTCCTTATCACCAATTAGATCTCACCACGTGGCAGTTATCGGAGCTGGAGCCGCCGGTTTAGTAGCCGCGCGAGAGCTTCGACGGGAAGGTCACTCGGTGGTCGTTTTCGAGAGGCAGAATCAGGTCGGAGGAACATGGATCTACACCGATCATGTCGAGCCGGATCCGTTAAGCGTCGACCCGACCCGACCCGTTGTTCACTCGAGCGTCTATGGCTCTCTCCGGACCAACCTTCCGCGTGAGTGTATGGGATACAGAGACTTCCCGTTCGTGATCCGATCCGGCGTCTCGGAATCGAGAGACCCGAGGAGGTTTCCGAGTCATAGTGAAGTTCTGGCGTATCTGCAGGATTTCGCAAAGGAGTTTCGGATCGAGGAGATGATACGGTTCGAGACGGCGGTTGAGCGTGTTGCTCCGGCGGAGGAAAGCGACGGCGAAGCAGGAAAAATGAAATGGAGGATTGAATCTACAGAGAAAGAGGAGAAACTTCGTCGCGATGAGATTTACGATGCCGTTGTCGTCTGTAACGGACATTACATTGAGCCTCGTCTAGCTGAAATTCCTGGTGATTCCCCTTTGATTCTCCTCTTGAAGTTTCAACATCTTGACTTTCGATGGATTCGTGTGTTAATAAGATTACTCTTTTGCTTCATTCAAGAAAATTTAGATAGAATTTGGAAATAGAACTTCATAGGAACAGTGAATCATAAGCTTTTAGTGATAAGTGTGATTATGAATCATCATCATCTGTGAATAGCTTGGCGTGTTACGTGTTTCTGTAGTCCCAGAATCCTTGTTTAATCTCGAAATTGCAGATCGAATGTGGAAACAGAACTTTATAGAATCAGTGAAACTAAAGCTTGGTTTTTTTCTCTCTCGGAAACATATAGGGATAAGTTCTTGGCCAGGGAAAGAGATGCATAGCCATAACTATCGTATTCCTGAACCTTTTAAAGATCAGGTACTCATTCCAATAGTGTCAGATTCTTCAGCGATGTTATGTAAAAGATAACGTAATGCTTAATTTCATGTGAAGATTAGGTTGTCGTGCTTATTGGGAACTCTGCAAGTGCTGTTGATATAAGTAGAGACATTGCTGGATTTGCCAAAGAGGTTCATGTGGCTTGTAGGTCAAATGCAGCGGATACGTTTATTAAACAGTCCAGTTACAGTAACTTGTGGATGCATTCCATGGTGGGTTTAGTTTCTAAGTAATTCATTGATAACGGAACACAATTTTTTTTTTTAATCTCCAAATGATGGACTATGGTTTCTTGACTCTCACGCAGATTGAACGTGTTCATGAGGATGGTTCTGTGGTTTTTCAGAACGGGAAAACGATTTTGGTTGATGTTATTATGCATTGCACTGGGTATAATGATTATTCATTTGTTCTTTATCTTTGAGTTTTAGTGTTTTTCTTTTCAAAATGTGGTAAACCTTAAAAGAAAGCTCTTCCCTTTTTTCAATTTTCGAAGGTATAAGTATCACTTCCCGTTTCTTGAAACCAATGGAAGTGTTACTGTAGAAGATAACCGAGTTGGTCCATTGTACAAAGACGTCTTCCCTCCAGCATTAGCACCGTGGCTCTCCTTCATCGGGATACCATGGAAGGTACACCATCTCTAAGAATCTCTTTAACAGTTTCACTAAACATTTATCGTTTTGTTAACATTCCAACGATCTGTAAGAGTTTCAGGTTGTACCGTTTCCATTGTTTGAGCTGCAAAGCAAGTGGATCGCTGGTGTTTTGTCGGGTCGGATCACGCTTCCTGCAAAGGAAGATATGATGAAGGATATTGAATCTTTCTATTCGACACTTGAAGCTCAAGGGATTCCAAAGCGATATACTCATCAAATGGGTGTTGCTCAAGTACGAATCTCTTTAACTCATGTTTCTTCGCATGAACCAAATCTAAACCGAAACCGAACTTAAACAACTTAACGTCTGTTTTTGTTGTTGGTGTTGTTTTACAGTTTGAGTATAATGATTGGTTGGCTTCACAATGCGGATGCTCAGGAACAGAGGAGTGGAGGAAAGAGATGTATTTGACGACTGGTGTGAGGAAGAGAGAGTATCCAGAGACGTATAGAGACAAATGGGAAGATCATCATTTGGTTTCTCAAGCTTATCAAGACTTCTCTTTATATACACATTAACAAAAGATCTGATAAAGTAAATCAATTACCTAAGATGTTGTGCCAATACTACTGTCATTCGTTAGACTTTGGGATCGTATCACTTAGTTTCTCAAGCTTATCAAATATCTCTCCATCGGAAATGTAGGAAAGTTGCTTCTGCCAAGAAGTTGTAAGATATTCGTTAGAAGAAACGAATATCTCTCTTCTTTATCTCGTCTTTTCTTCTTTCGTAATAATTGAAACTCACTTAATATTTTTCTTAGGCAAAACATTCTTGTTAGACATCGATTCTTGTCATGAAATAGAGAAAACTGTTGTGTAAATTTTATTTAAAAGAATATATTAATTGTGGGAACGAAGCAATAATTATAATTCTCTATATTAATTATTTAAAAATTAAGTCAAAATTGCTCAGCCATGAATTTCATTAGAAGTGAACAAAAGAACAATTTCTGTCTCATTCTCTCTATTATGTCTTTGCCTCTTTCTTAATAACTAACTAATAACCTACATCGCATGCAATGTTAAATAAAAACCTACATCACATATAAAGTAAAATAATTATTATTTATTTAAATTAATATAATTTTAAAATTATATAATATAATATACTTAGTTTTATATTGAATTTGTATAAAATTACATTAGGATCCGTATATATGTAGATTGATAATAAATTATTTTAAAATCCATAAAAACAAATTAAAAACAAAAATGAAAAACAATTTCAACTTAAAATTTGCTATCTATTTCAAAGTAAAATTGGCTATTTTCTTCATTCCGTTTCTATAATTCTAATTGATTTTCATCTTGATTCAAGTTTAAAAAAAGAAAAAATAAGTCTAAAAAAATTATAAGAGATTTAATGTATTAATAAAGACATGAGTAATACTTTCCTTTATTTATTACAATAATTTTACTTTTTAAAAATAAATTTCCTTTACTTAATTAAAAATTTATTTTCTTTTAGATATTGTAATAATAATTATTATTTTTTAAAAAAATAAGAGTTATATTTCCTAAATTTTTTTTTTTAATTTAATCACGACAAATGTCAAAACCTGATCAACTGACTCGACATATGTTGCGATTATTCGTGAGTAAATTACATAATGTTTACATGAGGTGTGTATTAGTTCGGATAACGAAACTGGGTCTCCAAATTTCATTCTGTGAGGGCATGAACAATATGCGGCTCGGGGATGCAAGTCTGACGGGTCCTGCATGTACCAACAAACGAGTAAGTTGGACCTTTGAGAAAACATGAACTTAGGAGGATAGGTTTGGTGAGCTGTTTATGGTTTGAGTATCCTGTCCGAGAATCGTGATACACGTCTGATGTTTAGTAAGGATGAAAGTGGTGTAAAGGGATCATGACGAGAGAGGGGTAGAAATTTTCTCCTCACGGGTCTTATAACGTACGATAGAAGATAGGGAAATCTTATCTCAGCTGGCGCTCCTTACAAGAGATGGTGATAGTACCCCTTTCAGTTTCGCTGTCTGATCGGAACCGGGACAAGCTCTGGTGAGGTGGAGACCGAAAGTCTCTCATTTCACGGTGCATTCTCTTTAGATGTGGTCTCTCTCTCTCTCTCCCTCTCTCTCTTTCTCTCTCTCTCTCTCTCTAATTCTCGGATCATGGGTTGCGGATCCTCCCCCTTTCCTTTAGCCTTGAGCTCCCTTTCATACTTCCTTCTCCTTGACAAGTCCCATCCATGCGGCGCGCAACAGGAGCATGTCGAACAGCACAACACGCATGGCTTGGTAAGCCTGCTACTTAACCGAGACCAGTTCGCTAGGGAGTCGTTGACAGGCCTAGGTGAAGGAGTCAACACTCGGATGAAGCTCAATGGCCACATGTCACCTCAAGAGTGGTTGTGGTGAATATGGACACACCAATAATTATGTGAATTACTAACTTTGATGCATCGAACTTTCTATGTAAAATTGATAATACCATTTTTATTTTATTTTATAAAATATAGGTTAATTTAACTATTTTGTAAATTAATTTATAAATTAAATATTATGTACATGGCGCATGATATGATTTGGTAGGTATAAGAAGTGGTTATATAGATTTTTCATATCCTGATTGACGATATAATTCAGTGTTTCTATTAATGCCCAAGTTTTAGATATACAATAATTATATATATATATATATTTTTTTTGACATTTTCCCAAGTTTTAGATATACAAACCTTTTCATCGAGAAAAACTATTTCAATAGATTTATCAGCACCAGTTACAAAAGAATTTCATAGAATTTGAATATGTGCTTTTATCTTTTGTACCTGAGATGCTGGATCGAGTTTGTTTAACATGATGAAATGTGATTTTGTACTTTTAATGATAGCCATTGTTATGAATGAATGATAGCTAGAGAGAAATACTGTGTTGCCTATTAATATTATGAGATTTATATAGTTGAGTTGAGAATTTTGTTTACTTTATTATATATTTATGTTGGACAATATATTCTCTTTTGATGCCCTAATTATTACAAGTATATTACAGAGTAGATATATGTTAATAAAGTAGCAATTACTAAAGAGTAATAACTCCATGCAAATATTTAGGAAATTAAATGATATGGTTTCTTAAAATACTGCACAAATCTATCTGTAATGATATGTATGAATATATAGTGTTTTACTTATGATTGAAAGGTCAAATATTTCCTAAATATTTGCACGGAGTTATTATTCCTTAGTAATTGCTACTTTATTAATATATATCTATTTTGTAATATATTTGTAATAACTATGACATCTAAAAAAAATATTTTCCGACATAAATATATAATAAAGTAAACGAAATTCTCAACTTAACCATATAAATTCCATTATATTAATAGGTAATACAGTCTTTCTCTCTAGCTATACATTCATTCATAAAATGTCTATCGTTAAAAGTACAAAATCACATTTCATCATGTTAAACAATTTCAATCCAGCATTTAAAGTACAAAAGATAAAAGCACATATCTAAGTTCTACAGAATTTGTTTTATAGCTGGTGCTAGTAAATCTACTGAAACGGTTCTTGTTGATGCAGATGTTTGTTTTTATTTCTATTTTTCCATTATTAAGTTTTAGTTTTCGTTTTCAAAAGTTTTACCATTTAAGTGTAAGCATTTGCAATCTTTTCAGGAACAAGGATTTATGCAACTATGGAAGAAGATTTGATAGAAAAACATCTAAAAGTTTTGAAAGAAGATGAAAATATTAGCATCAACACTTTCATGCTAAAAGAATATTCTAGAGAGTGCAGAACTTCTCTGTTACCAATTAAGTTGGTATTCATTCAGACAAATCTTACTAAACCCGCAGTGAGTTTTCCACCAGAATTATCCAAACGATATTTCATTGATTTTTTTGAGATTTTGGATAGCAAAGTCAACATAAACATCTTATTAATAATATTAAACACTATTTTATGTTAAATTATTATGTTCAATAGATCTGATTTTTGTATCCTATTGAAACTACTAATATTCTTTATTATTATTTGTTCTTTACATTTATTAATTTTAATGTCATTGGACAAGTCCTGAACATGTGTTCAAAAAATAATGTTCTAATAAAAGAAAAGAGTGGATCAAATACAAAATTGGAACCCTTCCTTCAAGATACCAAGATACATATTATGAGAATTTTGTGCTTTTTTCTTTTATTTTAATGAATGGCAAAATGGTAAATAACCAGTCTTTTTCTTGATGTGAAAATTGATTTTTCTGCAATTTTAATTTTCAGCCGCCAACATTGTTTTCACTTGTTTTTTTGTGTAATTTTAAAATCATTTTCAATAGAATGTAAAAGAAAGGTGATAGATCTATCACTAATCATGGTATTTCTAACCAAAAATCATCAGAATTCAAAGTTTTTTTATAAAAAAATCTGATTTTTTTTTTTTTGATTTCGGGGAAATTTGGAGGGAATTTCATCCCTAACGAATTTCGGAAGAGTATTCGCCCTCTATCCCCACCACAAACTTTTATAGAGTACTTGCATACATACTGACTGACTATACAATTAAACATATATTAAATGCAGACTAAATACAAATTAATGGGAGACTGAATACATACTAACCTTTTTATAGGTCATTTTTATTAAAAATCATGTTTTATAATAAAATTGTCAAATTAATCATTAAAAATTTATTTTTTGTAAGTAACTTAAAAAATTAATATTACTTTTTAAGAATATTTTTCAATTAATATATAGAGGACTGAAACTCATTTATAATAGTTTTAATAAATATTAGTTATTTTTATAGCTAACTAATTATAAATTAAATATAAGATTACAATCGATAAAATTCAAAAATAACAAAATAAATTAATTAGAATAATTCTGAAATTAGTATATTTGGAACATAAATGTTTATTTTGCATATTTATTTAAGTACTTTGTGAAATATTAAAATAAAAATTTCATATTATAAAAAAGTTATAAGTACAAAAATATTTATTGTATACCTATTTGTAAATTATAAAAATTATTCAATTAATAACCAATAATTTAATCATGTCATTTAATAAAAATAATAATATTTTAGTGTTTGAAGTGATAAAAAGTACAACACTAAATGTAGTGTGATACTGTTCGTAAAAAGTTAAAATTAAGAATTTGCAGCTTTTTATGGAGTCCGGTTGAAGAGAAAAACACATCAAATTTGATGTTTTGCAGTCCCATTGATGATGTCCTAAGTTGTGTAGTATTTTTCGTAGGCAAAATGTGATTCTTGTCTTTAAAATAGAGAAAACTGTTGTGTAAGTTTTAGATAAAAGAATAATATTATAATTGTGGGAACGAAGCAAGTATAATTCTTTAATTTGGATGTCCCCATCCATAAAGCAAAAGCTTCATGCTCTCTGCAATTATACGTCTTTGTAAGGGAAATTATATTTAGTCCTCTTCCCTTGTGTTGTTCTCTTCTCTCCTAACAATTATCATCTCCTTCTTTGAATTATATTCCTCTTTCTCTGTGTGTCTGTCCAACGATGGGTGGTGTCTTCTCTTTCTCGGTGCCATGTGATCAATTCACGAAATGTTTAGGTGTCAAAGCGAGCTACATCCACAACCTCGAGGAGAATCTCACAGCTTTGGAGACAGCCATGGGAGAGCTGAAGGCGAGGCGAGATGATTTGTCAAGAAAGGTGGAGAGAGAGGAGATGAAGGGGCTACGAAAGCTTTCCCAAGTCCATGTATGGCTTGATAATGTTGAGACCATTGAAAGCAAAGTCAATGCTTTGTTCAATGTTAGAACAACTGAGCTCCAAAGGCTGTGTCTTTGCGGGTTTTGCTCCAAAAGTTTAAAGTTGAGTTATCGTTATGGGAAACGGGTTTACTCAACGTTGGAGGAAGTACAAAAACTCAAGTCAATTGGGGTTTTTGAAGTGGTTGCTGAGAAACCTCAAGCCTCTGAAGTGGTGGAGAGGCCTATTCAACCAACAATAGTTGGTCGGGAAACAATTCTTGAAACCGCATGGAACCGTCTTATGAAAGATGGAGTTGGTGTCATGGGTTTGCACGGTATGGGTGGAGTAGGAAAAACTACACTTCTCGAGCAGATCAATAACAGAATTAATGAAAAAGAAAAAGCTTTTGACGTTGTGATATTTGTTGTGGTATCTAAAGATCTTCAGATCCAGAAGGACCAGAAGATTCAAGAAAAGGTTGCAAAGAAACTAGGCCTGGCTGGAGAAGAATGGAACCAGAAAGATGAAGACCAAAAGGCATGTGACATACACAATGCTCTGAAGAAGAAGAGGTTTGTGCTGTTGCTAGATGACATATGGGCTAAAGTAGAACTGGCTAGGATCGGAGTGCCTTTCCCAAGTAGAGAAAACGGATGTAAAGTAGTTTTCACCACTCGTTCTAAAGAAGTGTGTGGGAGCATGGGAGTTGATGATGAGATGGAGGTCCAGTGCTTGTCACATCAAGATGCATTGGATTTGTTCAAAAAGAAAGTTGGAGAGATCACGTTAAGAAGTGATCCAAAGATACCGAAGCTTGCAGAGGCGGTTGCTAAAAAATGCCATGGTCTACCACTAGCACTTAACGTCATTGGTGAAGCCATGGCAAGCAAACGTACGGTTCAAGAATGGCGGTACGCATATAATGCTCTGACTTCATATGCTGCTCAGTTTTCCGGCATGGAGGATAGGATTCTTCCGATTTTGAAGTACAGCTACGATAATCTTAAGGGAGAGCAGGTCAGGTCGTGTTTCCTATATTGCGCTTTGTTCCCGGAAGATGATAGAATCCCTAAGGATAAACTGATAGAGTATTGGATAGGCGAAGGGATTATAGATGCACGTGAAGGTATAGAAAGAGCAGAGGACAAGGGTTACGAGATAATTGGTAGTCTTGTTCGTGCATCATTGCTGATGGAGGTTGAAGGGGCTGCCATAAGTTACGTGAGTCTGCATGATGTTGTTCGTGACATGGCTCTATGGATCGCATCTGATTTGGGAGGAGAGAAGGATGCTGTCGTTGTGCATGCAAGTGTAGGGTTAAGTGATATCCCAAAGATTGAGAATTGGAGCCTCGTGAAAAGGATGTCACTAATGAATAACAGGATTCACCATCTCGATGGCAGTCCTGAATGTCTCAAACTCACAACGTTGCTGGTGCAAAACAACTTTCTGGAAATGATTTCGAGTGATTTCTCCAAGTCCATGCCAAATCTACTTGTTTTGGATCTATCCGGAAACAGATATCTCTATGCATTGCCTGACAGCATATTGGAACTAGGTAACTTGCAATATCTCAACTTGTCTGAAACTGCTATACCTAATTTGCCTAGGGCTCTGCTTGAGCTGAAAAAACTATTTCACTTGGATTTGTGGGAGACACGTAACCTTTCGAGTATTGATGGGATATCAAACCTGCATAATTTGAAAGTTTTGAAACTATACTACTCTGGTTCATGGCGTCCCGGCACAGTGGAGGAGCTGGAAACTTTGGAGCATTTACAAGTTTTAATCATGGGATTCGAATTTGTTTCTCCTGAAACTTTGGAGCAGTTTTTGAGCTCTCGTAGGTTGACGAGCTGTACACGATCTATAATGATCAAAGGTATGGAGCAAAGTGAAGCATCTGATATAACACTTCCGGTAACTATGAAAAAGCTTCGTTATTTCAGTATTTGTGGCTGCAAAATCTCTGAGATAAAGATGGTAAAGATAAGCAACAAAAGCAAGATGATTTCTCCTCTACACAATCCGAGGAACATAAGGTTCTCCAGCCTCTCCGAGGTGTTTATAAAGGATTGCGAACGCCTGAGAGAATTGACTTGGCTAATGTTCGCTCCAAATCTTAGAAGTCTTCATGTTAGAGGTGCAAATGAACTAGAAGATATTATAAACAAAGAGAAAGCTTCCAAAGAGGATGTTCCCTTTCCAAACCTGATTTCTATGATTTTGGAAAATCTGCCGATGCTGAAGAATATCTATTGGAGACCTCTACCCTTTCCATGTCTAAAGAAAATCTATGTAGAGAGGTGTCCAAATCTGAAAAAGCTTCCACTCGATTCCAAAAGTGGCACGCATGGTGAAGATGGACTCGTCATAACCTACGAAGAGCAAGAATGGATTGATGGTGTGGAATGGGAGGACGAAGCAACCAAAACCCGCTTCATGTCTTCATGCAAAAAAGAGGTATAATTTCTCGTCTTGTCTTATTTGTTTTCTCGGATTATAATCTACTTCCATTTATAATGCCTCTTGTCTCCTTGTGTGTGTGTTAGTTTGGATGGTAGCCACAAGGTTTAATTGGCTTCTTCTAAGGCAGCTAGTTCGAAGTTGATGATACCATTTGGGTTTCTTCCAAAACTCTCTCTCTATCTCTCTCTCTCTCTCCTTGCTGCTTTATGAGTTCTCTATCTCTCTCTTTGTGTGTTTTGTGTTGTTGTTTAACTCTCTATATGTTGCTTTACATCTCTCTCTCTCTCTCTCTCCTTGTTGCTTTATGAGTTCTCTATCTCTCTCTTTGTGTGTTTTGTGTTGTTGTTTAACCCTCTATATGTTGCTTTACATCTCTCTCTCTCTCTCTATGAGTTCTCTATCTCTATCTTTGTGTGTTTTGTGTTGTTATTGTTAAACTTTCTCTATATATGTTGCTTTCGGTGTATTAATTTGTGTCCACACTGTAATGTTTTTAACTGATTAGAATGTCTTCATTTCACATGCCATGCATTTTTTTTTTGTTAAAGGGCTTTCATTAAGATAAATAAGTAAGATAGTCGAAGATTACAGCAGAAACAAAATAGAAGAAACCAAACCTGAAAAACAGAGGAATAGAAGGGGAGGAAGGAAGACATAAATGTCACCAAAGAAAAAAAAAAAAAAAAAAACTTAAAAGCCCGAAGACCAGATTCTAAGAGCACCTCCATCGGTTGGAGACTCAAAGTAGGTATATAAACATTATAAAATCAATATTTTTTTTTCATTTATTTTTAGATTTAAATTATATCTTAAAAGAGAAAGTAAACAAATAACTAAGAGACAAGTGTCTTACAAAGTTAAAAAACGTATCTAAAAATCCCTATATAATATACGTTGCTTCTTTCTCTCTCATGCTAATCAATTTTTTTTAATATTTTAATGTTTAAAAACTCAAGTAGAAACGACCGATGGACATGGTCTAAGTAATGCATCGCTCTTGGACGAGCCAATATTTCTCAAAGCCGTTGCTTTATTTTTGACTACAGTTAAAATCCTGTAAAGAAGAAGATGGGGAGAGAGTTTTTGACCACATGCCATGCATTTATAGTTTTTTTTTCTCTAAAACTTCTCCAATGTTCACATAAACCCGTCTAACAGTATATGTCCAATGGTTTACATACTCTGAGGGCATCTCCAACCACAACACCAAATTTCATACTAAAAATAACATTTTTATTATTATATTATTAAATTTAAATATTATATTATTATAGTAATAAATATTAATTATATTTAAAATTGATATAAATCACATATTTAATTATATTTCAATTAAATCATTTCAAAATTCAATATGAGCTTCACGATCCTTGATTTGCTTGTGTGGAGCTAAATTTATTTTACTGCATTTAGTTTTTATGTTTGTTTGGTTTCAACTTTGTAATTTTGTGTTTCTAGTGTTTTACGTCAATTTTAATATGTATTTTAAATTTTAATCAATTTGTATTTTAATTAAAATATTTTGTAATATAAATATTAAGATAATATTTTTATATTATTTAAAACAAAAAACAAAATTATTCATAGTATATTTATTTTTTATTCCTAAATAATATTTAATTACTAACTAATACTCAAATTATATTATTTAACAAACGGAAAAAATAATATTTTATTGTTTAGTATTGTAAACAGTGTGACACTGTCCTCCAAACATTAAAATTTAGATTTCGTGTTCAAAATACTGTCAGTTGGAGGGGGAAAACGCAAAAAATACTGGTTTGCTGTGTAGCTGGAGATGTTCTAAAAGTATCTCAAACTATATAATATGAGTTCTTCTAAATGATTTTAATTAAAATATTAAATTTAAACTTAAGAATATACTTTTAGCAATAAAAAAATGCTAAACAATAGAAAACTATTTCATATTTTTTTGTTGGTATCTCAAATAAGAATATTCTACATACTCTATTTCTCCCTCTTCTATTTTTTAATTCTATTATTATTTTAAAAGTGAGATACCTCTCTAGATACTACTAATCAGATTGTCCTAATGATTTTTAAAGTTCTTTCCATTTCAAAAGAGACAATATAAGTTTTTTCCTCTATTTTTGCTCTCTAAGACCATCTCCATTGAAAATTTTTTAGAAAAATATTTTCACTTAATAATATAAAAAAAAATCAAAAAGTAAGAGAGAGAAAAAGAGAGGTTCTTAAAGTTTTTCAAAATTTTTCAACTGATTCTAAACATTTGAAAACCCCTATTGGACACTTGTCCTTTTTCAATTGCCTCTCTTTATTTTAAATGTTAAATTTTAATTATATATATTAAGTAATATCAAAATATTATATTAAATGGTTAAGACACCCTTTTTAAATATTATAAGAACATCAACATGGACAAAATATCTCATTACCATATCTTAACTAAATAATATTAATATTCTAATAGAATTTAATAATTTATTAAAATTTTAATAGCTTTGATTTTTTTAGTTAATTAAATATAAATATGTGTGAAAATTTTGAAAATCATATATGAGAGTTTAGACGAGATGTCTATCTCTCTCTTTCTTTTACCTTTTTACTTTTTTTTACTTTTTATATTAATGAGATACTCTTACAAAGTTTACAGATGAAGATGTTCTAAGAAAACTTTCAATAAGAAATTCTCATTAAAATATTTAAAATTTAAAAAGTAGGAAAGATTGAGAACTATATCTTGTTTAAAGGTCTTTCAGTCATTAAATACTTAACTAAAATTAATATTTTATTTTATTTATTTATATAATTAAATTTTATATGTAAAAAATAAACAAATAATTTAATGACAAGTGTTATAAAGATTTTAGATAGGTTCTAAGAGCATCTTTATCAATTAGATACTCTCAAACGTATCTTATTAATATAATAATAATTTGAATATAATTTAGTTTTGTTATCAAATAAAAATCTAACCAAATAAATTTAAGCAAATATAAAAAGAGGTATCTCAAAGTTTCTCAAAATATCTAAAATCAGATATCTTATTTCTTCTCTTTCTTATTTTTCTATTTTTATTACTATTATAATATGAGATCATTTGGTTACTTACCTTTAATGAAAGTGCTTTAAAAGCATTCCCAATGGAAGGTTTTCCAAAGGTATTTCAACAATAATAAAAAAAAAGAAAGTAGGAAAGAGAATAGAGAAGAGTTCTCATATGAGAATATGTTATCATTTTGCAAGATATTCACTTGCCTATTTATCTTTTTTATTAGTTCAATTTATTATACAACAGAAATTCTATAAATTAATAATGTTAGAACAATGATATTTTAAAAATGTATAGAGTTATTAATTATCGGTGTTAGATAAAATAAATTATTTATTAATAATTAATTGAAAATAATATGTTCTTTAAAATCTATAATATTTTTCAAAATTTTCACTATAAAATTAGAGATAGATGATAAAAATGTTTTAATTTTAATATAAAAACAACAATATACTCATATTTTAATAGATTGTCATTATTTCATATTTATATAAAATTATTTTATATGATATTTATTATTTTATGATACTAATTGGACTATATTTTACATAGGTTTTTTTAAAAAAATATTATCTTATTAATTTATCAATTTGTATTAAATTTTGAACCGGCCCAACTCGGGATCGAACAAAATTATTGATTTATTAAGTTTATTAATTTGTTGAATATTAATTTATAGAGTTTCTAGTGTAAATATTAAAATTTAATTATTTGTATTATATTATGTTTAAATAATACCCCCTTTATTTTTTCATATAAAATGTTTTAGAGATTTTTTTGTTCAACAATATTTTAGGTTCTCACATATCTATGCAAAAATTAATTGTATTTTTATTATTTAAACTGTTTAAATTCTGCATGTTCTTTTTCTATTGGTTAAATTATTTTGTAATTGATGATAAAACATATTTTATTTTGGAAAAAATACAAAATTAAATGATTTCTTAATTTGTGTGTAAGAATCTTACTCTTTTTTTATTAGTGAGAGTCTCTTATATGAGAAATATCACTCCTTTCTCTTTCATGCTTTTCAAAAAATTTAATACTTTAGTTAGATGGTTGGTCCACACATATGTGCATGCATAACAGTTTTGATAAAAATTAGTTAATGATAATATTTATTATTTATGATAAGTAAGTGATTGGTCTGTTCAATAATATATTTGTAAAAAAAATAAATTAGTGAAAAATGTTTTAATAAATTTGAGAAAGTATATATAACAAAAAATACAATATACACAAAGCTCAAAATACTTTAAAAAAAACACTTAAATTTTTTTTTCTTTATTCTTAGATTTCTATTTTTTCATCTTAATATAGTTTTTCATCTTACTCAGTCATTTTTATTCCATTTATGGTTCATAGTTCTCGTTATATTATTGGAATGCATTCAAATATAATATAAACTTTTATTTTTTGTTTGCAATAGGACAATATAAGATGATAATAAACTTTAAAAAATACTCTTTTCAAAAATCTGATTATGCAAACTTCATACAAAAACTTGAGTTTGTAAATATTTCACCAAAATAAGATTTCAAAAACTTTTCGTTAAAAATCCAATTTCACAAATTTGTTTTGCCAAAAACATGAATCATTAGCTTCCCCACCAAAACAATTACGTCAAAATATGATTCCAAACATATTTTGACAAAATTATGAATTTGTGAATATTAAGCTAAAAAATAAATTCATAAAAATTGTAAAAAAAATTACATTAAAAATGCGATTCCTAAAACTACTAGTCAAAAAATTAATTTCATGAATTTTCCGCCAAATAAATGAAGTCGTAAATATTTCGCCAAAAAAATTACTTAAAAATATAATTAAAAAAATCTGTTTAACTCGATTCCAAAAAAATTGTCAAAAACATGAATTTTTAATTTTCTCACCAAAATATTTATTTTAGAATATTTTAATTTAATTTTGTGAATTTGTCTAAAAAAAACTTAATTCTACCCCATATTTTTTCTATTGTTACAATCATAACCAATGGGACCACCACCTTAATTTAGGTACAAAAGAATTTCGACTTTATTCGGTTAGATATTTTATTTCTGGTGGGTGAAAATTGAGAATAACATTATTTTTCTTTCTTATTACCAAGAATATAGCAAAACAAAATGTTGAATATCGCCACGTGACAATTAATTAACATAACTAACTTAATAGCCTTTTGACCAAAAAAAAAAACTAACCTAATAGCCAAAATGGCTCTCTCATTCCCCAACTCACTTTCATCTCATCTTGCCACTCAGGTAGACAGGTACCCCCTCTTTCTCTCTCATTTTCCATTGAAAAACAAAACAAATCGATATAAAAAGTCACTAGTACGAGTGCTAACGTTTTCCTTTTATGATAAGAAGAAGAAAACAGAGTTTTCTGTTACTTCTCGTTCCTCTAATTTTCTTTGCATGTGAACTTATGTGGAGTTTGTTTAGTTCAAAAAAACAAAACTTATGTGGAGTTTGAAATAACAAAACACTCTGTTTCTTTTGCCTCTTGACTCAGTCTTTCAAGTTTTTGTAAAGTTAAAAGAAGGAAATGATGTACGAAAAGGTGAGAGCTATTGGTGGTGAGATGGGAGGAGCATTCGACGATGGCGTTTTCGACGGTGTGAAGAAAATAACTGTCGCAAAAGAGGCAGGTCATGAGAGTGTATCATATATCAAAATCGAATATGAAAAGGATGGGAAATTTGAAACTCGTGAACACGGGACGATCCGTGGGGAACTACAAGAGGTAATAACAAAATACCATGACTTCGTTATTATTCTTCAATCTGTTCTGATCAAATTAACCTTTAAAAGTTAATAATTCGAGTGTTTCTAATGGAAAATGAAATTCAGTTTTCGGTGGATGATTATCCAAACGAATATATCACAGCCGTTGGTGGAGGCTACATAAATGTTTCCGGCTATGAAACAGTGCTGATCAAATCGTTGTTCTTCAAAACCAGCTATGGAAGAACATCTCGGGTACTCGGTGGGAAAAATTCTGGAAAACCAGCTGGGAAAGAGTTTATGTTGGAGGGTAAAAATGGAGGAAGGCTTCTTGGATTCCATGGACGCTCTGGTCAAGCTCTTGATGGCATTGGAGCTTACTTCTTCGCTGTAAATCCTCCTCTTAAGCACTTTAACCTTCAAGGTGGGAATGGAGGGAGAGCTTGGGACGATGGTGCTTACGATGGTGTTAGAAAAATACTCGTTGGACGAGGTGGTAAGTTTGTGAGTTACGTTAGGTTTGAGTATGCAAAAGGCAAAAGAATGGTACCACATGATCATGGGATAAGACAAGAGGTTCCACAGGAGGTACTGTTGATATAAATTTTACGTGTAATTTCGTATTTTTTTTCGAGATATTCTGAAAAAAAAAGAAAAAAAAAATTGGTTGCAGTTTCTGGTGAAGTATCCGGTTGAACATATTACGGTAGTGGAGGGAACCATCGATGGTGGTTGCTTAACATCCCTTAGGTTTAAGACATCAAAAGGAAGGACCTCTCCTGCTTTTGGGAATGTTGTTGGTAAGAAATTTGTATTCGAGGAAATAGATTCCAAGCTTGTTGGGTTTTGTGGTCGGTCCGGTTATGCTATTGATGCCCTTGGTGCACATTTCGGCCCTCTTCCGGCTCCAACTCCAGCTCCAACTCCAGCTCCCGCTACCAGAAAGGCGGGATCGCTCGGTGGTATCAAGCAGAGCCAAGCTTCTTGGATTCCATGGACGTGGTGGTAGTACTATTGATGCCATTGGGGATCACTTTGGTGGATCCCAAGATCGTTGAGGTGATGGATGAGCTTGAGGATATAAAGCTGGTGATGTGGTTTATAAGATCAGTTACAAACTTACTCTTTAGTTTCCTTTTTCTCTTTGATTCCGTTAAATAAGGTCACTGAGAGTTCGCTTTTACCATGTTTGTGTGTGTTTTACTACTGTTAATGCTTTATCCCATCATGTGGTGTTCAGATGCCTTGATAAAGGATGATGTGTGTTGTCACTTGTAAGACTGTTTAATAAATGACGTTTTCCTTTCAATCTGTTTTAAGATTTTGGTAAATTTTTGTGTTATGGTATGTCACGTTTTCTTTTTTAAACATGTTTTATTTTTATTTAAAAGAGATATTTTTAGTTCTTGATTACATAATTTTTTTTTCTATAAACGCAAACACCAAACAGAAGAAAATCTTCCTATTTGCATTTAATTAGTGTTTGCGTTTATATACAAATAAAAAACAATTTTTTGGTATAAAAAGTTAAAAATAGTTGGTTCATTTACAAAAAGAATTATAGATATAAAAGTAAACACAAAAACATAAATACAAACAGACAACTTGAGTATAAAAAAAAAAAATTTAGAAAACTCCATTACTCTCAATCTTTGAATATATTTCTTTGATTTAAAATTTATTACACTATGACTATTGTAAATTTATTATGGCTACTACAAGGATATTTTTTAATTTGGATGCTTAAATATGAACGGTTAATAGAAATTTTGACAGAGAGAAATCTCTATCAAGCCATTCCTGATTAGCAATAGTGTGGGACATTTCATATTATTTAAAGGTTACACAAACGTTTAACCGGCGTTTTGTCTTCGTATTCCATTAATTTAGAGATTAACCAGAAGGATTAGAATATACAGACTTTGCATAATTCTTCACAATTCCTTTGTTTAGGAATTATAGAACAAAACTAATTTTTCTTCAGATTTTGGAAGAGTTAGAGAATAAATTACTGAATCCAAATCTTAAGCTCAAGAACCAAACACTAGAGTTTTATGATCCAAAAAAGCAGAAAATATTTTTTTGTAGATAAAAACTTGTTCTTAAAAGTTAGGTATAGGAAACTTAATAGAAAACCAAAAGGGAATCTCGAATCGGAACAAACCGAGTCAGCCATACCATAAACTTGTCATTCTTGTTGGAACAATTTTTATACCAAATGGGAATTTCGAATCGGAACAAACCGAGTCAGCCATACTATACACTTGTCATTCTTCTTAGACTTACATTTTTTTTTTTTGAACTTTTCTTAGACTTAACCTACGTAACCATATACTCTGACATGTAGCAGAGCAAATCGTATTTGAGTTTATAAATCTCATCTTTTGTTTATACGTAAAAAGAGAAATCTCGATAAGCTTGAGAAACCAGGTGATGGTCTTCCATGGGTTTCAAAAAACGGGAAGCGAATCTTATACCATTGAAAATGAAATAGCTTTTTTAAGGTTTACCACAATTTCTAGAAAGAAAAACCGAAAAAAACTCAATGCTAAAGAACGAAATGAATAATAATATCAAGTGCAGTGCATAATAACATCAGCCAAAATCGTTCTGAAAAACCACCGAACCATCCTCATGGAAACTCTTAATCTGACGTGAGACTCAAGAAAACATATAAACTTTTGTTTTAGTTTGCAGCCATACCCACCATTGATCGCATGTTACGCATCCATATGTTAGTGTAACCCGCTTCTTACCTTTATGTGTAAATGTTTAGTTTATCATGTTTTCTTATGTATTTCTACTGGAAGTTTTCAGGTTGTATAGTGTTTTCATGTTTCATGACTCTGTTTATATTCCTCTTTTAAAGGATTGGGTACACTGGCTAATAAGTTTTCAGTTAGATGCAATGTCCCTACTAATTTTGGAGATCGAAAACAGTCTCACACGTTATATCAACGATTCAGGTCGGGTCAACGCTTAACAGATCCGGTTCGACATGATCGGTGTAGGTCCAAGTTCCTCCGACCTGTCTCTGCTTCGCGAAGACGACCACCGAGTGACCTTCCCGTTGAAGAAGCTCTCGCGCCGCCACTAGACCGGCGGCTCCAGCTCCGGAAAGAGCAACATGGTGTAATTTGACTGACGAGGAGGACAGAGCCTCTTGGGCCTTACGATATTCTCAAGTATTATTATTCGGTGAACCATGGATAGACTTTGATTAGTATGTCCCACCAAAGTCAACAACCAAAAGTGTGAACGTGAGTATTTTGAAAATTGAACGAAGCAAAAATTTCCGAGAAAAATCAATGTTTTGGACTCACTCGATGGAAAGAATTATCTTATTTCCTGTGGACGAGAAAGAAAGCCTATCTTCATCCTCATTCCTCACTTGGTTTGCTCAGAATCACTTCAGTGAATTTCAAAACTTCAGATCTCTCCCTCTCTGAAAAAAATGGGCATCCCTTGCTCGATATCTTGTGATCAGCGTGTAGATAAAATATCTCAGTGGCTAGGCGAGAAAGTAGCTTATATACACGATCTCAAGAAGAATCTTGTGGCTCTGAAGGAAACCATGGACGAGCTCAAGGCGAAGCGGGGTGATTTGTTAAGAAGGATCAACAGAGAGGAGGATCGTGGTCGCCAAAGGCTTTCCGTGTTCCAGGTATGGCTTACTAAAACTGAGACTGTAGAGAGAGAAGTCAACGGTCTTCTTAGTGCTAGAGATGATGAACTTCAAAAGCTGTGTCTTTGTAAGTTTTGTTCAAAGAGTTTAATATCGAGCTATCGTTATGGTAGAAGTGTTGTCTTGAAGTTAAGGGAGGTTGAGAATCTCAACAATAAAGAATTTAAAGAGATTTCTGAGCCATCTTTAACATCTGAGGTGGAGGAAATGCCTCTTCAACCGATAATTGTTGGTCAAGAAAGAATGCTGGAAAAGGCATGGAAACATCTCAAGGAAGACGGAGTTGGTATGATGGGTTTGTATGGTATGGGCGGAGTAGGAAAAACTACGCTTCTCACACAGATCAACAATAAGTTCAGTGAAGAAAGGTGTGGGTTTGATTTTGTGATTTGGGTTGTGGTGTCTCAAGAGTTACATGAAGAGAAGATTCAAGATGAAATCGCCCAGAAAGTTGGTCTTGGTGGAGAGGAGTGGAACCAAAAAGATAAAAGTCAAAAGACCAATGTTTTATACAAATTCTTGAAGAAGAAGAAATTTGTGTTGTTTCTAGATGACTTATGGCAGAAGGTAGATTTAACTGATATCGGAGTCCCGGATCCAACACGAGGAAAAAACAGATGCAAAGTGGCATTCACCACTCGTTCCCAGGAAGTGTGTGCACACATGGGGGTCCAAGACCCAATGGAAGTCCAATGCTTGGCGGACAATGAAGCGTTTGATTTGTTTCAAAAGAAGGTTGGAGAAAGAACACTCGGAAGCCATCCGGAGATTCCTGATCTTGCAAGAATAGTTGCTAGAAAATGTGATGGCCTACCATTGGCGCTCAATGTCATAGGCGAGACCATGTCGTGCAAGAGGACAGTGCAAGAATGGCAGCATGCGATTGATGTTTTGACTGAATACGCTATTGAGTTTTCTGGCATGGAAGATAAGATCCTCCTGCTTTTGAAGTACAGCTACGATAACCTAAAAGGGGAGCAGGTCAAATCGTGTTTGCTATATTGCGCTTTATTTCCTGAAGATGATGAAATCGATAAAGAAGAATTGATAGGCTACTGGATAGGCGAAGGGATTATAGATGCAAGTGAAGGTATCGAGAGAGCTGAGAACAAGGGTTATGAGATAATTGGTAGTCTTGTTCGTGCATCATTGCTGATGGAGGTTGAATGGAGTAATCAGGTGCGTATGCATGATGTTGTTCGTGAAATGGGTTTATGGATCGCATCTGATTTGGGAACAGAGAATGATGCTTTCATTGTGCGTGCAGGTGTTGGGTTACGTAAAATACCAAAGGTTAAGAATTGGAACGTTGTGAGAAGAATGTCTCTGATGAAAAACAAGATTCACCGTCTCGCTGGCAGTCCTGAATGTCTCGGACTCAAAACTTTGCTCTTCCAATACAACAAATCTTTGGAAAAGATCTCGAGTGAATTCTTCAAGTCCATGCCAAAGCTGCTTGTTTTGGATCTATCGCACAATAGAGAGCTCTCAGAAGTGCCCGAAGGAATATCACAACTAGTTTCTTTGCAATATCTCGACTTGTCATGGACTAATATACGTCATTTGCCTAAGGGTCTACAAGAGTTGAAAAAACTAATTCACCTGAATTTGATGTTCACAGAGCAGCTTCGGAGTATCGCTGGGATATCAAGGCTCCATAACTTGAAAGTCTTGAAATTGTCTTCGTCTGGTTTCTCATGGGATCTCAGCACAGTGGAGGAGTTGGAAAGCTTGGAACATTTACAAGTTTTAATGGCTTCATTCCACTGTCCTCCTCAAGTTCTGAAGCAATTTTTGAGCTCTCATAAGTTGACGAGTTGTACACGATCTCTAGAGATGGGAGGTAAGGAATCATCTGGATTATTATCAATTCCGGTAACTATGGAAAAGCTTCGTCGATTAAACATTTACAAAGGCACATTCTCTGAGATAAAGATGGTAAATATATGCATCAAAAGCAAGACGGTTTCTCCTCTGCACAATCCGAGTAACGTATGCTTCTCCAGCCTCTCCAAAGTGCTTATATGGGCTTGCAAACGGCTGAGGGAGTTGACTTGGCTAATGTTCTCTCCGAATCTTAGATATCTTGATGTTAGAGATGCAGAAGAACTAAAAGATATAATAAAGAAAGAGAGAGTTTGTGAAGGTGAAGAATCAGGAATTGTTCCTTTTCCAAAGCTGGTTTCTCTTACGTTGGACAATCTACCGATGCTGAAGAATATCTATTGCAGACCTCTACCCCTTCCATGTCTCGAGGAAATCAATGTAACCAAATGTCCAAATCTGAAAAAGGTTCCACTTGATTCCCAAAGTGGTGAAAATGGACTCATCATAAATTACAGAGAGAAAGAATGGATTGAAGGTGTGGAATGGGAGGACGAAGCTACCAGAACCCGCTTCTTATCTTCATGCCAAGAGATCTAATTAAATTTCTCGTCAGATCTTATTTATTTTCAAAGTTTTTTTTCTTTCTTTTTCTTCTTTTTCTTGTTTTGCACTGCTTCCATCTCTAATGCCTCTGTCTCTTTTGATGTATGTTTGGTTTTTAATTACGCAAATATCAAGTGGGCTTCCATCAAGTGATTATTTTTGTGAACTCTCTCTCCCTCTGTTGCTTTCTGTGAATTTGTTTCTTGAAATTGTTATTACTCTACAATGGTTATGTTTGGAATGTTTTCATATACCGTCTATATGTTACCTCGATGAACTTATCTAAAGGCATTTGAATTTTGAAGTGTGTGGATCATACACTTCAAAATCCTTTCTTCCACTTTCACTTCGAATTGTTATTTCCTCTACTTGTTGCTGTCTGCATATTATATATTGATTAATAATCGCATCGAATCTGCTCAACTCCGACATGTATCAAATCTTAATTGATTTTTTTTATAAAATCTCATCATTTATTTGGTATATACATAGAGAAATCTTGGTAAGCTTGAGAAACCAAGTGATGATCTTCCCATTCGTCTCTATACCTCTCAGGGTGTCTCACCTTCCCAATGAAAATACGTAAACACATCTCTTTCCTCCATTCCTCTGTTCCTGAGCACCCAATTCGTGAAGCCAACCAATCATAGTACTCAAACTGTGGAAAAAATATATGGTTGCAATGCAATGTGCCGTCCCGAACAATTCAAAGGCTTAAAGCATTTCGGAAAAATGTGGCTATTATAATAATCAAAACTTATCATTAATAATGTTAAAAATACTTAAAATAACAAAAAAAATTATAAAAGAGTAACTTAATTCTAATTATGAAAAACTGACCTTCCAGCTTTTCTCCCTGCAAATTCATTCACAATTCTTTCATAATCAAATTTATCAACCATATCTTTTTCAATAGATATCATTGATAATCCATTCAACCTCTCTTGAGAGATAGTAGATCTCATATAGTTTTTAATCAGTTTCAACTTGGAAAAACTTCTTTTTGCAGAGGCAACAGAAACAGGAATTGTCAACAAAATCCTATAAGCAATCCATGAATTTGGATAATAATCCTTCATTCCTTTCAAAATGTCCAATACCTATGTTGCTCTTTTGACTTATGTTGGTAAAACCTTTTTAGAAGTTTAAGCTCCAAAAACAAATCTTCTCCGTTTACATCTGAATGTGCACCATGCGTCAAATACTCTTCGAGCCTAACACAACATTTCTTCAACTCATCATCAGCAGCTGCTTTAAGCTTTCTTAAATCAAACAAAAATCCAAAAGTTTTATCGTAACTTTGGAACTGTTCAAATCTTGTTTCAACAGAAACAATAGTTTGATCCATGATGTTTATGAAGTAATCCACCCTAAAGCCATATTCCCCGAGTAATACCATGCCTTCATCATCAATTTGAATATCTTCATCAAAATGTCTTTTCCTTTTTCTAACACGGTTTGGCTTCACATAGAATGTAGGCTCAATCTCCATCTCATTTGCAATTTGTGTAGCTTCAGCTTTTGCTCGCTCGAAACCCGTTTCTCTGTATTCTTTCAGAAATGACACAAGTCCCTTTAGTTGACAAATAGCAACATCAATATCCATGTCCTCTGATTGTAGAATCTTGCTTACTATGTTAAACGCAAAAAGAAGCTCGTGCCAAATAACCATTCCAAATAAGAAATCAAACCCTCCAATTCCATGTATTTCACTCTCAGCAAGAGACTCAGCTTCACTTCTATGCATTGGATTATCAGTGCTTTCAGCCAAGTAAAACAAAGCCTCTCGTATTTGTGGAGCCTGAAATCTTATAGGCTTCACACTATCTATCCGACTCTCCCAACGAGTTTGTGATAATGGCTTGAGTGTTAAGCCATTCACCTTCTCTCTGAATATCTCCCAGTTCTTAGTTGAAGATGAAAATAGACAATAAATACGTTGAACAATCCCAAAAAATGACACCGCCTTTGTAGATGAGGAAGCCATATCACAAAGCGCTAGATTAAGGCTATGACATCCACATGGAGTATAAGATGCTCTTGGATTAATTTCAAGCAATCTGCTTTGCACACCTTTGTATTTTCCTTTCATGTCTGCTCCATTGTCATAACCTTGCCCTCTAACATCATTAATTTTCAACTTGAGATCAAACAGTACCTCTCGTAGGGTGTAAAATAGTCCTTTTCCTGATGTATCTTTTACTTCTAAGAATTGCAGAAAAAACTCTTCAATCTTGGGTGAGTCCCCTGAAGTATCCACACATCGAATAATAAGAGTCATTTGCTCTTTACGACTAATATCAGGAGTGCAATCGAGAATCACGAAAAAATATTTTGCATTCTGAATCTTCTCGATGATCATTAGCTTGATCTCAGATGCAAGGAACTCTATCAACTCATTCTGAATTTTGTGGCTGAGGTAATGATACTGAGTTTCACCTTTATCAAACCGCCCAAGATGTTCTTTCATTACCGGATCAAACTTTGCAATCGCCTTTATCATTCCCAAAAAGTTTCCGTTATTCTCATCACTAATCTTCGCATTTTCTCCACGGAAAGCAATGTTGTTTTTAGCAAAAGCTTCAACCAGTGAAAGAAGCCTCAACAATACATCTCTCCAATGTTTTTTCTCCCTATTCATTGCTTCTTGCGCATGTCTATCAATAGCTTCATTCTTTCGTAGTCTCACTTCCAACTCTGTCCACTTAGTCATGCATAAAATATGATTATGACTAGTTTCATGTCTTTTCAAACGAGACGAGATGTTTCTCCAATCACTAAACCCAGTACTTGCCAGTATAGGAGGATCTAATTCCTGACTGAATAGCTTACAACACCAACAAAAACGAAAATCTTTCGATTTTGAGTAAACTAGCCATCTCCTATCATGATGCTCCCCATTGCTCATTTTTCTTGTATAAGATGAATGAGAAAAACATCTACCAATTTTGTCTCTTGGAAAGTGATAATCAATATGTAATCTGGCCGGAGGACCCTTTCCAACCAAGAGATCTCTCTCTGTTTTCTTAATCCTTTTCCAGTTTCCAGGATCATTAAAATCCACATTTCCTTGTTCATCATTGCTGTCTACGGGATTTCTTTTTCTAGTCTCTTCCATATGCTCAACTTCATCAACGTTTCCTTGTTGCTCATGGGCATGCACCTCTTTCTCACAATTCTTATGAGCATCAGTCTCAATGACATTGTTGTTCATCTCATTCCCAGCAGCCACATCAACCACAGAAGGTCCAGATTTTGTGATTGTAACAAACTGAAGCATAGAGTTAGCTAGAGATTTAAGAAACTTATCTTTTCTCTTTTTTTTTTCCTTCAATTTGACTGATCCAGGAACATGTGTTATAGTGCTTACTGGAGGCATTTTACTGCAAACAATATAATTGCAGAGGTTATTGTCAAGAAAAATAATTAAAAAACTGTGTTTGTCTCATACTCTCGTTTAATCTAAAAGTAGATTAAAAACTGTGTTTGTCTCGTTAGTTGTTTACTTTCGTAAATACACTACTAGCATCCAACAAACCAAACACATAAGTTTATTCTTCTAAATTCTAATTCAATTCAACACCTCTGACCTCTGTATCATTATAATATTGATTATTTATCAACTAATCTAAATACCCAACCACTTATTTCATAGAAAAACACAAAAATTGAGAATTGAAAAATACCTAAACTGTCAAAATCAAAACTCAGACTTTCTGAATCAGATGCAGATGCTGAGATGCAAATCAATGGCGAAATTTTGAGTGATTTAGTAACAAAATTCTGTGTTCATAAATAGAATTTTGAAGCTTTGGTGACCGCGTCGGGAAGAGGAATTTGTTGCATAAAAGGTTAAGAATTTTTCCTTTTAAAAAATTATAATAAAAAGGTGTAGAGATATGTTCGAACCTGCGATGGGAAGAAACTAAATTCTTAATTAACCATCTAAGCTATCAAAAGAGTTTTGTAAATGTGGCCTTAGACTTTTTTTAAAATATGTGACCTAAAGCTGATGCTTTAGCTGCTTTAAAGGAGGGACGGGCTCCGAAGCTGAAGAGACTTCCCCTCAATTCCAAAAGTGGCTTGGAAAGTGGGAAATCACTTATCCTACGATACAGAGAAAAAGAACGGATTGACCTTCCCGTCGAAGCTCTCTCACAGCCACTAGACCGGCGGTTCCAGCTACGTGGCGTGATTTGATTGATGATGCGAGAGTGCCATTTATTCTTGGGTCAGCAGCCATTGTGATTCTTTAATGGCTCACTAGAGTCAACTAATAACTTTGACGGACTTTAATGCATCGGTGACCAATGATTTTCATTTGGATTAATCAAACAAAACCGGGTTTAATAAATAAATTAAACCGGACTTTAACTCCGGTGTAAATGTGAGAATTTTAAACCGTTTTTTTTAATATCTCGAATAGTTTTCTTGACTCTGAAGAAACTTTCACTTGATTCTATTCCAAAAGCCCCCAGAGGTAAAAGAAACGTCATATAAAATCCATGTAAAACCTAAAATATAAAAATCTATACAACAAATTATGGAAACTAATTAGTAATTATAAGATACGATATATCACATTACTAACTCTTGCAGATATGAGAGAACTTCACTATAACTCGGAAACCACAGAGTGGCCTTCCCGTTGAGGAAGCCCTTTCGCCGGCACTAGACCGGCGGCTCCAGCTCCGATAATAGCCATGTGGCGTAATTTGACTGACGAGGAGGACGGATCCACTTGGGCGTTATGACATTCTCAAGTATTATTATTCGGTGAACCATGGATAGACTTTAATTAGTATTTCCCACCAAAGTCAACAACCAAAAGTGTGAACGTAAGTGTTATGAAAATTAAACGAAGCACAATTTTCCGAGAAAAATCAATGTTTTGGACTCACTCGATAGAGAATCATCTTATTTCCTGTGGACGAGAAAGAAAGCCTATCTTCATCCTCATTCCTCTCTGAAAAAAATGGGCAACCCTTTCTCGATACCCTGTGATCCGTGTGTAAATAAAATCTCTCAGTGGCTAGGCGAGAAAGCAGCTTATATACACGACCTCGAGAAGAATCTTGTGGCTGTGGAGACAACCATGGAAGATCTCACGGCTAAGCGAGATACTTTGGCAGGGAGGGTCAAGCGAGAGGAGGATAGAGGTCAACAAAGGACTGCTGAAATCAAGGTATGGCTTACTAGAACTGAGACTGTAGAGAAAGAAGTCAACGAACTTCTTAGTGCTAGTGATGCTGAACTTCAGAAGCTGTGTCTTCATGGGTTTTGTTCTAAGAGTTTTAAATCGAGCTATCGTTATGGTAGAAGTATTGTCTTGAAGTTAAGGGAGGTTGAGAATCTCAAAAATGAAGAATTTAAAGAGATTACTGAGCCATCTCTAACATCTGAGGTGGAGGAAATGCCTCTTCAACCGATAATTGTTGGTCAAGAAACAATGCTGGAGAAGGCATGGAAACATCTCAAGGAAGATGGGGTTGGTATGATGGGTTTGTATGGTATGGGCGGAGTAGGAAAAACTACGCTTCTCACACAGATCTATAATAAGTTCAGTGAAGAAAGGTGTGGGTTTGATTTTGTGATTTGGGTTGTGGTGTCTCAAGAGTTACAAGCAGAGAAGATTCAAGATGAAATCGCTCAGAAAGTTGGTCTTGGTGGAGAGGGGTGGAACGCAAAAGATAAAAGTGGAAAACGCATAAGTTTACACAATTTCTTGTTGAAGAAGAAATTTGTGTTGTTTCTAGATGACTTATGGCAGAAGGTAGAATTATTTGAGATCGGAGTCCCGTTTCCAACAAGAGGAAAAAACAGATGCAAAGTGGCCTTCACCACTCGTTCCCAGGAAGTGTGTGCACGCATGGGGGTCCAAGACCCAATGGAAGTCCAATGCTTGGCGGACAATGAATCGTTTGATTTGTTTCAAAAGAAGGTTGGAGAAAGAACACTCGGAAGCGATCCGGAGATTCCTGATCTTGCAAGAATAGTTGCTAGCAAATGTGATGGCCTACCATTGGCGCTCAATGTCATAGGCGAGACCATGTCGTGCAAGAGGACAGTGCAAGAATGGCAGTATGCGATTGATGTTTTGACTGAATACGCCAACAAGTTTTCTGGCATGGAAGATAAGATCCTTCCGCTTTTGAAGTACAGCTACGATAACCTAAAGGGGGACCAGGTCAAATCGAGTTTGCTATATTGCGCTTTATTCCCGGAAGACGATAAAATCGATAAAGATAAATTGATAGAGTACTGGATAGGCGAAGGGATTATAGATGCAAGTGAAGGTATCGAGAGAGCTGAGAACAAGGGTTATGAGATAATTGGTAGTCTTGTTCGTGCATCATTGCTGATGCAGGTTGAAAGGGTTGACCCAAATTACGTGCGTATGCATGATGTCGTTCGTGAAATGGCTTTATGGATCGCATCTGATTTGGGAACAGAGAAGGATGCTTTCATTGTGCGTGCTGGTGTTGGGTTACGTAAAATACCAAAGGTGAAGAAATGGAACGTTGTGAGAAGAATGTCTCTCATGCATAACGAGATTCGCAGTCTCGATGGAAGTCCTGAATGTCTCGAACTCAAAACTTTGCTCTTGCAAAGAACCTCTTTGGAAAAGATCTCGAGTGAATTCTTCAAGTCCATGCCAAAGCTTGTTGTTTTGGATCTATCGGTTAGTCAAAATCTCTCAGAAGTGCCCGAAGGAATATCACAACTAGTTTCTTTGCAATATCTCGACTTGTCATGGACTAATATATGTCATTTGCCTAAGGGTCTACAAGAGTTGAAAAAACTAATTCACTTGGATTTGGAATACACAAGAGAGCTTCAGAGTATTGCTGGGATATCAAGGCTCCATAACTTGAAAGTCTTGAACGTTTCTTCTTCTGGTTTCTCATGGGATCTCAGCACAGTGGAGGAGTTGGAAACCTTGAAACATTTACAAGTTTTATTGGCTTCATTCCACGGTCCTCCTCAAGTTCTGAAGCAATTTCTGAGCTCTCATAGGTTGACGAGTTGTACACGATCTCTAGAGATGGGAGGTAAGGAATCATCTGGATTATTATCAATTCCGGTAACTATGGAAAAGCTTCGAGAATTAACCATTTACGGAAGCACAATCTCTGAGATAAATATGGTAAATATATGCATCAAAAGCAAGACGGTTTCTCCTCTACACAATCCGAGTAATGTATGCTTCTCCAGCCTCTCCCATGTGTATGTAGTGGATTGCAAAGGCCTGAGGGAACTAACTTGGCTAATGTTCGCTCCGAATCTTAGAAGTCTTGTTGTTACAAATGCAAGTGAACTAGAAGATATAATAAACAAAGAGAAAGCTTCCAAAGAGGATGTTCCTTTTCCAAAGCTGGTTTCTCTTAGGTTGCAAAATCTGCCGATGTTGAAGAATATCTATTGGAGACCTCTACCCCTTCCATGTCTCAAGGAAATCGAAGTAATCAAATGTCCAAATCTGAAAAAGCTTCCACTCGATTCCCAGAGTGGCACGCATGGTGAAAACAGACTCATCATAAAAAACCATGACATTGAATGGATTGAAAGTGTGGAATGGGAGGACAACGCAACCAAAAACCGCTTCTTGTCTGCATCAAAAACGGTATAATTTCTTGTCTTGACTTATTTGTTTTCAAAGGATCCTTTTTCCTTTCCTTTTCTGTCTTTGAACTGCTTCCATCTTTAATGCCTGTCTCTTTTTACAGTATGCTTCTCAGGCAACAATCTAAGTGGGGATTCCATCTGAGTTTATTCCAAAAGGACTCTCTCTCTCTCTTTCTCTATGTGATACTTTCTGTGAACTCTCTCTCTGTTTGTTCTGTTGTTATTGAAGTTTCTCTCCGTCTGTTGCTTTATGTGAATTTGTTTCTTGAAATTGCATCCACATTGATCTCTACAATAGTTACGTTTGGAATAGATTGGCATGTTTTCATATACCGTCTACATTTTTTTCCTTGGTGAACTTATCTAAAGGCATTTGAATTTTGAAGTGTGTAGGTCATACAGTTTCAGAAGAAACAATATATAAGCAAAGAGAAAACAACAATCCCTAATTATTCCCTTTTATAAAACCCTCTTTCTTCCACTTTCACTTCGAATTGTTGTTTCCTCTACTTGTTGCCGTCTGCATATCACCTATACTGATTAATAATCGCATCGACTCTGCTCAACTCCGACATGTATCAAATTTTAATTGATTTTTTTTATAAAATATCATCATTTGTTTGGTATATACAAAGAGAAATCTTGGTAAGCTTGAGAAACCAAGTGATGATCTTCCCATTCGTCTCTATACCTCTCAGGGTGTCTCACCTTCCCCATGAAAATAGGCAAACACATCTCTTTCCTCCATTCCTCTGTTCCTGAGCACCCAATTCGTGAAGCCAGCCAATCATAGTACTCAAACTGTGGAAAAAGTGCAAGAAACAACACAAATACATTTAACGCGTGTTCGTTTGCCTTTGGTCTCACAGGAGAAGCATGACTTCAAAGAGACTCTTACTTGGTCAATCCCCAAATAGTGAGTATACCGCTTAGGAATCCCTAGGGCTTCAAATGTGGCATACATGGTTTTGATTTCCACCATCATATCTTCCTTCGAAGGAAGCGTGATCCGACCCGACAAAACACCTGCGATCCACTTGCTTTGCAGCTCAAACATAGGGAATGGTAAAACCTGAAAATCCAATCCATTGAGATGTAACAACAGATTAAAACACTCCGACTCCGATTTAGAGCTTTGTACCTTCCATGCTATCCCGATGAAGGAGAGCGACGGTGCTAACGTTGGAGGGAAGATGTGTTTGTACAATGGGACACGGTTATCATCTACGGTAACAATTCCATTGGTATCAAGAAACGGGAAGTGATACTTATACCCAGTGCAATGCATAATAACATCCGCCAAAATCGTTTTCCCGTTCTGAAAAACCACTGAACCATCCTCATGAACACGCTCAATCTGCATGCGTGTGATACAAGAAAGCGTCAAAAACGTTTTCTCCTCAATTTACGGTAAGTATTGATTAGCAGCTAACTCACCATTGAATGCATCCACATGTTACTGTGACCGCTCTGCTTGATGAAAGTATCAGCTGCATCTGACCAAGAAGCCACATGGACCTCTTTGGCAAATCCAGCAACGTCTCTACTTATATCAACAGCACTTGAAGAGCTTCCAATAACCACCACAACCTAATTAGATGTATAGCACAATCTCGACATCAAACTTAGCATTATACGTTAATATGATCTTATTGGAAAAATGAGTTACCTGATCTTTGAATGTAAAACTAAGGATTATATGCTAAATGTAGCACAATCTTCACATGAAACTAAGCATTATACGTTAATATGAACTTATGAAAAAAATGAGTTACCTGATCTTTGAATTGTTCGGGAATACGATAATTATGGCTATGCATCTCCTTCCCCGGCCAAGAACTTATCCCTGAAACGTTTCTCGAGTGAATCTCACAACCATCTTCTTCATAGTTTCAATGTTCCTATGAAAGTTTCTATTTTTTCAAATTGTCTAATGGAGCAAGGATTAAGCCTTTTACTAGCGAAACTATGGAAAATCAAGATGTTGAAATTACCAGGAACTTCAGCTAGACGAGGTTCAATGTAGTGTCCATTACAAACAACAACAGCATCGTAAATCTCATCACGATGAACTTTCTTCTCTTTCTCTGTAGATTCAATCCTCCATTTACCGATTCCTTCTACGCCGCCGCTTTCCGCCGCCGGAGAAACTCGCACAACCGCCGTCTCGAACCGTATCATCTCCTCGATCCTAAACTCCTTAGCGAAACTTTGCAGATACGCCAGAACTTCGCCGTGACTCGGAAACCTCCTCGGATCTATTGAATCGGATCGGCTCACGAACGGGAAATCTCTGAATCCCATACACTCCCGGGGAAGGTTAGTTCGGAGAGAGCCATAGACGCTCGAGTAGACAATGGGCCGGGTCGGGTCAACGCTTAAAGGATCCGATTCGACATGATCGGTGTAGTTCCAAGTTCCTCCGACCTGATTTTGCCTCTCGAAGACGACCACCGAGTGACCTTCCCGTCGAAGCTCTCTCGCCGCCACTAGACCGGCGGCTCCAGCTCCGATAACAGCGACGTGGCGTGATTTGATTGATGACGAAGCCGCTGCCATTTGGGTCTTTACGAGAGTCTCTTGGGTCAGCCGAAGATATTCTGTAGTTAAATTGGCCCACCAAAGCCGGAACAATTTCAATCAAAACCGGAAATAAACCGGGTTTAATGTCTGGAAAAATAAGAGCATTTAAGAAGTGTAATAATGTTGTTGTATAGTATTTTTCATATCTGTTGTCAATTCATACATGTTTGATTGTGTTTCAACTTTCAAATGTCAAGTGTGCTTTGTGACTACTATGTTTCAATCTATGATTTTAATATATCTACCCACATTTTTTTGGTTTACATCCAAATTTATATGCTATGCATTGCTTCTGCTGGCATTTGAATTAGAATGTATATTGAATTTTTCAACCAAATCCAACATTAAAAGTTTCTCTGGTGTCTCTGTCTCATCCACCAAACTATGAAGCTTCTTAATATTAAGACCTGTCCACAAACCAACTATAAATGACAACATTTGCATCTTTCTTTCACATTTTTTGTTTGTTTTTTTTATCTGGCAATAACTTTCCCTTGAAATTTATCATTTCGATTAAATTTTAAAAGTGGATTTGGTTAATCTCTCTCTTACTCTTCTTCAAGTTGCTCACCAAACCCCTACTTATATATGACCGGTACACAACCACCTTTTCCTCTTTGTCCCATTTACATTATATATCAACCAATTTATTTGCCCAAAAAAAAATATCACCAATTTTTGTTCTTTAAACCAATGGAACTTAAGGATTTAATCTACTTGATGAAATTGCTTATTCAAAATCTTAAAAATCTTTTAAACATATTAGCGAGAGGGTAAGAAACTAATGCAAATAAAATTGTTAGTTGGCGCTAAAGGATGTGCAAATGGAAATTTTAGGAGGAGACAAAAATTTTCCATTTCTCCCATTTGATACAAGACTTCATATTTAAATTATCAAATAATATATATTAAATTAAATAAATATACCGGACTATATGTAAACTAAAATAAGTTTAGAAACCATTCCGAAAATTACATAGATTTAAGAAAAGAAAAACTAAAAAGACAGTATTTTGGAAATTTTTTTTGTAATTTCAAAAAAATTAGATTTATTTTACAAATATTTCGTTATATCTTATTTTAGTTTTTACAATTTTTACAAATATTTGGTTATATCTTATTTTAGTTTTTACAATTTCTTGTGATATTGTTTAAATTATAGTAAATGTTATGATATTTTTGAGAATAATATTTTTTTTAAAAAAACTAATGGTGGTGTAGTGGACTTTATTTACAATTCATTAACTTCAGTGCCAATTTTGTGAATAATTTGTAAATTACTTCACCAGTCAGTGGAACCAATGGTTGTTTTCAATAGCATTGGAATCTCCTCAAAATCGAGCTGCCACACTCTCACCCTTCTCTGTCTCCTCTTCGCTTCGGAACTTCCGAAGATTTGATTTTTACTCACTCCACACAGAAAAACCAATAAACAAATTAAAAAGATTTCGAAAAGACCCCATTCTCGTAATCACTCGGAGAATCTTGTCTCGCCAAATTCATCCGTTTGATTCAATCTCTGTCACCTGTGGCATTACTCTAAATTCGAGCTGAGAGAGACAGAGAGATAGAGAGAGATCCTTGATTCGCTGTAATCCGAAATTTGAAACAATCTTTGTCTCTTTCTCTTTCTTCGGCTCCTCTATCAAATGGCGAATGCATCTGGGTTCTTCACTCATCCTTCGATTTCTTCCATGCGAAGCAGAACCCACCTCCCGATTAGAGTTTCTGGATCTGGGTTTTGCGTCTCGAAAGGATTCTCTAAAAGGGTTTTTTGCTCCAGCGTCAGCTCCATCGATAAGGATGCTTCGCCATCTCCTTCTGAATATCGACGACCCAGGTGGAAAAAAAAAACTCAATCTTTGTTGTTTCGAAAATCCATTGTTTTGAGATTCGTTTCTTGATATTAGGCTAAAGAAACTGAGATTAGGAAGATTGGATGCAAAAGCTGATTGTTGTTACAAGTCTTTAGCTTCAGAACAGATTTTTTTTTGCTTCTGTACAATGCATTTAATTAGTCTCTGATATAGCTTAGCTTTAAGATGATCTTTAAGCCAAAATCATCGCCATGTAATGATTCTTTTTCGAGTTTGAATTACTCAGGATTTGGTTTTGTGGAATGCATTTAAGTTAGTCTCTGATTCATGATTCCTTTTGTCCTGTCTACTTAAAGGCTAGTGCCGACTGGGTGCAAATTGATTGGATCTGGTTCAGCAGTCCCAAGTCTTCTGATTTCTAATGATGATCTCGCCAAAATAGTCGATACTAATGATGAATGGATAGCTACTCGCACGGGTATACGAAACCGTCGAGTTGTATCAGGTAAACATCATATTCATTCTGCTGTATGATCATTTAGAGAAGACTTGTTGTTAAACATAAGAGAGACATTAATTTTGTGAAACTACAATTGAAGGCAAAGATAGCTTGATTGGCTTAGCAGTAGAAGCAGCAACCAAAGCCCTTGAAATGGCAGAGGTTGCTCCTGAGGATATTGACTTAGTCTTGATGTGCACTTCCACTCCTGATGATCTATTTGGTGCTGCTCCACAGGTATTCACTAACCCTTAAATCTCAATTTTCTTTTGATGGAGTAACTATTCCCGTTTTTCTGATTTGTGATAGTTCTCTATTGTTGGCAGATTCAAAAGGCACTTGGTTGCACAAAGAACCCGTTGGCTTATGATATCACAGCCGCTTGTAGTGGATTTGTTTTGGGTCTAGTCTCTGCTGCTTGTCATATAAGGGGTAAGAGTCAAACTAAGATGCAGAATTGATTAGTAATTAATAAGATACGTCTGTAATAATTATCATTTGTTTTTGCAGGAGGCGGTTTTAAGAATGTTTTAGTGATTGGAGCTGATTCTTTGTCTCGGTTCGTTGATTGGACGGATAGAGGAACTTGCATTCTCTTTGGGGATGCTGCTGGTGCTGTGGTTGTTCAGGTACTGTACTCTGTGAAGTTTTGAACAATCTTGAACCGACTTTAAGTCTTTTGTATATATATAAGTTTCATTGAATTGGTGAAACAGAGTATAGTCCTAAGTCAAACTATCACAAGAAAGACGATTTCTTGCCACATTACAAATCAATAATGATCTAAAGCATCAGTCTTTGTTCTTTAAACTCTTCTGACAAGTGTACTTTCATTTTTTTCTTTTGCAGGCTTGTGATGTTGAGGATGATGGGTTGTTTAGTTTCGATGTGCACAGCGATGGAGATGGTCGTAGGTATTTAGATTCACATTTCATTTTCTTGGCCTCTTTTAAGATTCAATCTTCTCCTTCCTTTCCTTTATATAAGATCACTCTGTTTTTGCAGACATTTGAATGCTTCTATTAAAGAATCCCAAACTGATGGCTCCAACGGCTCTGTATTCGGAGACTTCCCTCCGAAACAGTCTTCGTATTCTTGCATTCAGATGAATGGCAAAGAAGTTTTTCGCTTTGCTGTCAAATGCGTTCCCCAATCTATTGAGTCTGCTCTACAAAAAGCTGGTCTTCCTGCTTCTTCCATTGATTGGCTCCTCCTCCATCAGGTTATCTTCTTAACCATTTATTCAAATCTTCATTGATGAACAAGATCTGAAGTTTGAGTTGAAATGGCCAAAGTTTAGAGCTTTTGATTCGGTTAAGTGGAAATTTTTGTAAATGATTTGCAGGCGAACCAGAGAATAATAGACTCTGTAGCTACAAGACTAAAGTTTCCACAGGAAAGAGTGATTTCGAACTTGGCTAATTACGGTAACACAAGCGCTGCTTCGATTCCTCTAGCTCTTGATGAGGCGGTGAGAAGCGGGAAAGTTAAACCGGGACATACCATAGCCACTTCCGGTTTCGGAGCCGGTTTAACTTGGGGTTCGGCAATTATCAGGTGGAGATGAATGGCTACGTTCGACATGTAAACACTTCAGAGCCCAAAGTTTTTTTTTCTCTCTTCCACAGAGTAGAGGAAGCACCTGGAATTTGGTTTAACCGGGCTGGTTTAGTCCGGTTAAATTAGAAGTAAAGCGCATTTTGTTTGATTTCGTTATTTTTTATTTCACTGTTTTTTGGAGGTTCCATTGTTGTTACTTGTTAGTAGTTTTATCTTGAATGCTAATAATTTGAAAGAAAAAAAAAAAGAGCGTTCGTCCATCATTTCTCGTTTGTAGGTGTTGTCTTAATCCTTTTTTTTCTGTTCTTGAAAACACTTTTTTTAGTGATAAAATTAAGATTCGTTCAAATCATGTTTGATCAGATCCGAACCTTGTCCAGAATATTTAGAACCTTAATCACTTTTAAAGAAGCCTAAAATGTAGTCAACAACATCATAAGTGGATAGAGGATGCTCCAGAGAAGTCAGTGTCCAAGAGAGGGATTTGATCAGTGCTATAGAAAAATGCTCCATTAATTTAATTTGAATGATTGCTCGGAGTTGTTAAGTGCAATTGTTAGAAGAGACAAGGTCGTAATTGCCTGTGTGTAGTAGACTCAAGAGCATTATTCGAGATAAAATTTAGATTTTTTTATTAATTCACAAAATGTGTTTTGGATAATTGCAGGAGGTGCTAATTAGAGTCAAATGATCATTTTATGATGGCACTAGCCACTTGAGTGAGCATGATAATGTGTTAGATGAATCGAATGTTGAAAGTTTGAATGTTCATGACCAACCAAGTTCTTTCGTTGATATTTATGTTCATACTCGGACAATGTTGATAATATATAAATGAAAGATCTATTGGTTGAGAAAGGGTTAAAAGAGAAATGAATGTTGTGTTTCTTTTAGATAAGTGCTCTAAGCGTTTTTCATATGATTATTGTTCTAGAAATTGAGTAATGGGGAAAATAGTGATAGAAATTGCCATGTTTACTTGAAACATGTGAACAAATGTTATTATGTTTGGTGCAAATTATTCAAATTGGGTGGTTGCTTAAGTTTGTTAGCTAATGATGCATTAAGATATTGTAAACATCTTATCAAGAGGATTAAACAACCTAAGAGTTCATATGTCTAGAATGTAGTTAACAACATCATAAATGGATAGATAAGCCAGTGTCTAAGAGATTTGATAAATCCATATGAGTTTTTATGATCCGTTTTAATTACCGTTTTGCGAGCCGATCCAAAACCAATGTTTTCTTTGGTTTTACAGAAATCGCCTTCACTTTGTTAACTATCACTGAAGACCACACAATTTTCCATTTCTAAACTCTTAGTACCATTGTTTGCAGCTGGACGAAATGTTAATTAAGAACGTACATAATAATAAATATAGGGTTACAATGAATATACAAAACATATCGAGCAAATGAAAGGTGAAAATACATGAATTCTTTATAAAAGAAGGACCCATTATATTCATATAATTTGAAAGATTGCTCGGATTTGTTACGTTGGGTGCAATATTTTGAAGAGGTCGAAGAATGTGTTTACAGTACGATCTGTCCCCGGAGCATTCGAAAAAATAAATAAATAATATTGTGGTTTGACATTGTAGAACAACTAGTATTAATTTAAGTAAGTCTAGATTCATCACCATTTTATCTATACAAGCTTAAATATACTCGTTTGGTGCAATAGTTTGAAGAGGTCGAAGCATGTGTTTACAGTACACCTCTAGAGCATTCTAAAAATAAAAAAAATTATGGTTTGACGTTGTAGAACAACTAGTATTTGAGTAAGTATAATTTCATCACCATCGTATCGATACAATCTTAAATATAAGTATTTAATTTGATTTGAAAGATTGCTCGGGTTTGACATTATAGAACAGCAAGTATTTGAGAAAGTCTAGTTTCATCACCATCTTATCGATACATTCTTAGATAAAAGTATTTAATTTAATTTGAAAGATTGCTTGGATTTATTAAGTTTGGTGCAATAGTTTGAAGAGGTCAGGGTGGTTTGTGAATCATGTGTTTACAGTACTTTTAGATCATCTTAAAAAAAAAAAATGTGGTTTTGACATTGTACATCAACTAGTATATAAGTCTTGTTTCATCACCACTTTATCGATGTGTACAAACATAAATATAAGTATTTCCTCTACCTAAAATTTTGTGATCAAACAAGAATCAAGCAAAAAAAAAATAATGATGGAAGGCAGGGCTGTGATTTTAAGTGTGGTCATAATGACTCTCCTCATGGGTCAAATTCAAGCAGAACCAACGCTCTGCTGCCCGAACCTGAGTGCCAGAACTGCCTATATAACATGTCGTATGGGTGGAGCCTCGGATGCAACTTGCCTAACACGGACAGGATGCATTGGTGTTTCTGGAGATACTTGTCCTCCAGGATATCCTGATGACATTCTCAAAAACCCTGGTATATTAAACTCGCTATTATAGTGTATTAATTGTGCTTTATCATTTTAGTTGTTACAAGAACGATGGAGATTTCATATTTTTAATGTAAGTTTTGAGTTTTTTTGTTTTGTTTTTATTGTTATTATTACTCAAGGTGATGCTGTCAATGAGTACTGCAAGTTGGGGTGTGCATTCTCTGTGTGCGGTGCCATGACCGCTCTCAAGAACTCAGGTTAAGCAAGCTCACTAATAACACTTTTGTTAGTATAATATATTCTGATTTTTGTTTCGATTAGTAGACGCAAATGGAATTTGGAATGGAGCGGCCGAACAATGCACCAATGCATGTTCTACTTTGTGCAACAAGGGCTCTCTTACAACAGTTAAAAGTGCCTAAACAAGCATATCCAAATATATATTACACCTATGTGTTTGTTTCCCTTGTTTTTAATGTTGTCGTGTACGCGACAAAAATGCTAAGACACTCGTCCTAATATTTGAATAAGTTGTTGCTGGTTTATGTGTGTGTTGTAGAAGGATGTCGAACCCAGATTGTATATGCCTTCTATTTCCTCTTAATAATGATGTGTTTTTTTTAATAATCTTCTTCTCTCGGCTATTTTAATTTGCTTTCTATTTATATTATTCCACACTTGCTACAAATTCTTCCTTTGAACGTAATTATCTTATAAGCAGCTCATATCATGACAGCATATGCGACTTAGCAGCATGTATAGTGTTAAGACTGACGATAATAAGTAATCTGACATGCTAATACTATAACTATATTATATGAACCTCAAGATATTTTTGTTGTTCTGATTTATCTCTCCCATCTTAGAATATATCCTGTTTTCAGTATAGACAATATCAAATATGTTACAATCGGATTTGTAACACCTCGACCGCTCCTACCGGTGACACACGCGTACAATCTAGTAACCGTATATGGTGATAGGATTGGCCGCTGGTTGTTCAACTCTTTCGGCTTGCAATCGATGGATGGGCTATGGAAGGAAGTGGATCGAGATGGAGACCTAGCAAAGAGCCGTACAACTCTATTTGCAAGATCTAAGTCATGACATGAGTAGAATGATGGATCGATAGTCGCCACAAGGTTTTATGATGAGAAACCTTGATAAGACAAAGAACTCTCAAGCAAAAAATCGCTCAAAGCTTTAGAGAACAAAGGTTTTGTACTTAGACAAGAAGTGCTTTCTTTATTGATATTGGTAAATGATACACGGCTGTGAGGGGACTTTATAAACAGTCCGAACAGCTTTGCCCTTCTAGGGGACTTGAAGCAAATAACAAACCATTAGGTTAAACAACTCGGCTAACAATGCCTTACAACGAAAATGTATATAAAATGTGGCCAACATGCCTTATACTAAGTTTAAATGAAATAAAACTGAAACAAAACAACCAAAGGAAGAGGTTTATTAGTTGAATAAACCATATTGAAATAAGAACTCGGACTTACCTCGGTTTAGGTGGTTTAGAAGCAATTCACTTAAGTAGCATAATGCTAAATAAGAAAACTCCTTTGCTAGCATGAATCATTGGCTATCCGTGTGTATAAGCTATGTTTTTGATGTGAGGACCGTTGATGATGCTTAAACATTCTTCTTGACTAGCTTGGGAGTCTTCTTGCACGTTGAGAATGCCTTGCTCTTCTAGGCTTGCTTTCACCATGGCTGCTTCTTTGGAGATGCTGAGTTGGTTGAGCTGAGTAGTGACATCTTCTAAGTGTTGAGTACTGCTTGGTTGAAGTTCTCGGCTAAGTCCTTAGTTCCTGATCTTGTTCTTGGAGCTTGTCTCATGGTAGAAACATTCGCTTCAGCCTCTAAGTTTGTATCAACCGGTGAGCACATCCACATCCTTTCTCGGGTTCATAGACCCACCCCTGTCCGACGGCCGGTGGATTATTTTTTTCGGAGGCCCGACCGACTTATTTACTGACCCTGCAATCACCACATAATCTTTTCCCGTGTTTTGGCCTCACTCACACGGTTTCAGGAATCACTTCCCGAAAGTTCATCCATCCTAGTCCTGCTTCAGCTCAAGCACGCTTAACTCTGGAGTTCTCTCGGGCACACTAACCAAAAAGATAAGTACACTTTTGATAACATATGTAGCCAAATCAATTCATTTAAACTTATTCAAATAGACCGGGCCCGAATCATTACAATTCTCCTCTACTAAACAGGAATTCGTCCCTGAATTCTGATCCGGGCGGTGTGAGCCCTAACCCCCAAACCCTAAGACAGTCTTATGGGACATAACCAGTTTGACTTCCCAGACTCTGATACCACTTGTAACACACCGGCCGCCCCTATCGGTGAACACACCCACGTTCTCTCTCGGGCCCATAGGTCCCACCCCTATCCGATGACCGGTGCATTTTTTTTAAAGGCCTGACCGACTTATTACTGACCCTGCAATCATCCCATGATCTTTTCTCGTGTTTTAGTCTCACTCACACGGTTTCGGGAATCACTTCCCGAAAAGTCACCCATCATAATCCTGTTTCAGCTCAAACACGCTTAACTCTACAGTTCTTCGGAATCCACTAACTAAAAAGATAAATGTATTTTTGGTAATATAGTAGCCAAATCAATCCATTTAAATTTATTCAAATGGACTGGACCAAATTGTTACAGGATTCTATTTTGTGCCCCCGATGAGATGGAAAAAAACATTCACGCAATTTCCCACGGTGAAAGTTTGCGTGTTTCATTTTATAGGTATTTCATGACTCATGAGTGAATATTTTTACCAGTCAGTTGTCTCAGTTATTATATTTCTTTTGATCAACTTGTGCATCAAATGAAACAATCGGAATACGTGTGGTTAGTACGGAAAGAGCAGAGAACAAGTAATGTAAAACTTAGTCGTAAAAAAGTTGGATAGTGACCATTATTTATAACGCATGTTCAAAAAATCGGATGTCTAACCATTAATTAATGGCCTTCTATCTTGTTATAGCAATAAAACACTAACAGGAAAATCACATAGAACGAGTGATTTTGAACTTGGCTAATTACAGTATCTGTACCATAGTTTCTCATAATATCTAATAAATAATAGTATTATATATTTGATGGGTCTCTTAAAGGTTAAAAAGCATTCTCAAAATATCTTTAAGCATGCTCATCGGTTCAAATACTCTTTAGATTATCTCACAAATATAGAATTGATAATTTTAATATAATTTAATTTAATTTTTAAATTTTAACATAAAAAAATCGGACCAATCATAAAGTGACACACAGGATCAGCTTAATATTATTAAGGCCCCTAAACAGATAAATTTTAGGCTTCTACAATTATCTAAAAGGAAAATATATTAAAAATTGTGTTTAAAAATAGTAATTATCTATGTTTTTTAATATATATATATATAATTTAATTATTTACAATATGATTTTGTTTAGTTACTATCCAAATCTATATCTGATAAAATATGTATATAGTTAAAAAGAAAAATTAGACCCTTTATATTAGTAATTTTGAAGTCGGATCCATAGCGAACGCCTCTTTTGTTCCTCTCACTAAGCCATCCATGTTGACACATATTAAAAAAGTATCTCAATTTTTTTTGTTAGAATTTTAAAAAATACATTTCTCATTCTCTTTCCCCTTTTTCGACGAACATATTTTGACAATAATCACCATTGGAAAAGTTGAAAGATAGAAGCTGCTAAACCAGAAAGGTTGTGTGGTAGTAATAGGCCTAAGCGGCTCAGGTCAATCTTCTAAACAATCTTAAATCTTTTATCATAAAGTGTTTAGACTTTGGTTTGCCGATTGTCTCATCTGTTCTCCTTCAATTTTGAAAGGTTATCTAACAGATGTATCGTTATCATCTATCTGCATAATCTTCACATAGAGCATAGTCTAATGTAATTTTGTATAGAGCATAATTCTGGATGCCCTCTATATATTTCTTATTCACCATAATACTGCTGCCAATATAATTTTTGGAATTTGAATTCAAACATACTAAAATCACTTTTTTGGGAAGTGAAGGAAGGTAAGTGCAATTCTAAATACAGCGAATAAGACAACAAGGATAGGACAAGCAACCATGGAAAATTAGAGCTATATACCTACAATAACCTTACTAAATATGGTATTTACTAGAATACCATCATTTTACAACTGACTAACTAAAATAATCTTACAAAGTTGTGTAGAGACATTAAAATCTAAATTTTCGATATAACGAAAAATGGCATTTTCGTTATAAAATAATTTAAAAAATGTTATTTTCGTAATAAAATAAAGAAAATACACAAAAATATTTATTATTTAAAATTTAAAATAAAAATAATATTTTTTTAATTATTATAGAAATATATATATATATATATATATATTAAATCTATTTTTTTTCTTTCTCATTTCTTTTCCTTCTCTTTTATTTTTTTTTTCTCTCTTTCTCTCTCTCTTTCTCTTTCTCTCTTTTCTCTTCTTCTCTCCGGCCAGATTTGGTTTTTCCGACCAGATCTGGTTTTTCTGATCATCTTTTTTATTTCTCTCTTCATTCTCTTCCTCTCTCTCTTTTTCCATTCTCTCTTCCGTCAAATCTGTTTTTTTACTCATTTGTTTTCTTTCTCTTCTCTTTCTATATTTTTTTTCTTCTCTCCAGCCAGATCTGCGACGGTTGATCCATGGCCGATAGAACTTGTCTTCGGATCGACTTTTTCATCTTCTCTTATGTTTGGTTGCTTTTTCTCCGGCGGAATTGCCTATGGAGGCTTCAAAAAGTATATGAATCTCTTCTCCGAGAGAGTGGTTTCAGATGGGTGAATGGTCCTCGCATTCTATAGTGGCCGATCTTCTCAGAGATGGATGTAGCGGCGGCTTGCAACAGTTTTTGTTCCTAGGATTTTTGTTTTCCCGTTTTAATAGGTTTTGGATCATTAAAATTTTGGTTTCCCTTGATGGTAGATTTGATGTATAAATTTTATTAGTAGTTAAGCATTATGGTAGATTTAATTATGGTATGAGATATGTTTCATTATGGTGGTAGATTTTTAATATATGTAACTTATTTGGTATACTAGATTTGATAATGATGTACTTCGTTTAGTGAACATCTCTAAGTACTTTCTATATGTACTTTCTTTAACTTGTGTGTCCAGTAAGATCATCAAATTTTCCAATGCAGTGAACGAGTGTTTAACAGTCGAAATACAGGTTTTTCGAACCAAGATGGGAATGCAGAGTCCTACTGCAGATCTGTTGCCTAATGTTTTCAAAGTAGAAGAATTTTCAAGCTGCAGGTTCAAACACCCATTAATATGTTGCCACGAGTGCTACCTTTTTCTTCAGTACCAACTGCTTAGATTTCAATTTTAATAGCGTCTATTTTCTACTGTGTAATATGGATCGCTGCATCTATCTCTCTGCACTTCGTTCGTTGAACATCTCTAAGTACTTTCTTTAAGAAATGCTTCTCTATGTACTTTCTATAAATTTTCAAATGTAATGAACGAGTCTTCAATCGCTATAGAGGTTGAATCTCTTCACTGCAATATTCGCATTCTTATCACGTCCAAAATCAACATCCCACTGATCAACATTTGATTTCAACATTCTTTACCGTCCAATACCACATGAAAAGTCTACCACTACACAATCACGATCTGTTAAAAAGTCAACTATCTACCATCACATAAGAAGTCTACCACCACGTAACACGATAAATCTACCAATGATGTTATTCTGGTAATTATGGAAAATATAACTCTACCACTACGAAAATGAAGTAAATCTACCACAACAGCAAAATAACTCTACCAGGATTCGTTGGCACTAAAAACTCTACCATCAACAAAATAACTCTACCAAAAAGTAAATACAAAATAAATCTACTAGGATTAACAAAAATCTACCACCCCAAATACTAAGTCTATCAAATGAAAATAAATCTACCAAGTCCAAAAACAAATCTACCGCCATTCAAAGTCAATGAACGTAAAAAATCAACTAATCACCCTCTGGTAGGGTCGAAAACCAAAAATCTTCCACAACATATTTTTAAGTCTATCAAGTTCCCCAACAAATCTACCGTTCAAGAAACAACTCTACCGTTCCCAAAAAAATCTACTGCATCATAAGCACTTCAGCGTCAACAACAAGTCTTTCACACGAAACAAATCTAACGGCGAAAAAAAATCTACCAGCCGTTGACCAAACGAAACAAGTCTACCATCAAACAACTCGCTGACGTGGCAAATGAAAAGTAATGGCACAATCATAAATACCGTTTTTGTTATCAAAGACTCAAAGGGTATAATCGGTATGCTAGGTTAGTTCAGTAATAAAAAAAAAATTTAGCTATTCTAGCAAATACCTCTATTTAAAAGAGTATTCTAGTAATCCTCTCTGGAAAATTATGCAAGGATTTATGTCAACTGCAACACACAAGGTCGATCAGTATATTATATAAGGAATAACAAGACTAAAATATAAAAGCAGAGGTTACTACCAAAACTTTGAAAACGGGAATAAAGCGAATTCATCTGTCGAAGGAGGAAGGTGATAGGTATTAAGACATCCACAATGGTGGAGCTTTTAAAACAAGTATCTTAATTATTATTTTATTAAAATTTAATATATATAATTAAATTTTAATATTTTAATAAAAATGAACTAATAAAAACAAAACAACTATATTAATGAGTATCTTAAAGCTTTAGAATAGTTTCTTATTTAGTATATTTGAGAAACTTCTCTCTCTTGTTTCTTCTACTGTTTGATTTTTTTTCTGTTTTTTTAATACTAAGAATTTTTCTAAGATCCTCCCATTGGAGGTTACACCTATTCTCCTAAGTCAGCTTCTTGAGACGATTAGGGAGCGAATGAGAATTAAAAAAAAAAAAAAAAAAGCAGCAGCAGCAACTTCAACGATGATGGGTTTCTATTGAAGTTGATGGCAAGGATGATCACGGCGCCAAAGATGATGGGTTTAATTTTATTACTAAAGTGCAGACAATAATAAATTAAAGTCTCCTTTGATGGAGGTTTCTTTAAGAGTACGTAGCTTTTATTCTTGGTATTGCAGTAAAACTAGGTACAATGTTTTGGAATTCTGGTGTAAGTGTATAGTGAATTATGGCTGAGACAATTATCATCATTATAAGTTATATCATCGTGACAGGTTTGTCTTCTTCAAATTTTAATTTTATTTTTGGGATCAAAAGTTGTACTTTTCTTTATTTTCTATAAGCTGAAAGTTCCTAGAAATTATTGTTGGGTTTAGTTTTTTTTTAAAAAAATATGAAATCAAATTTATAGGAGAGTAAAGGAAAATGGAAAACAAATCAATTCTCTAGAAAAAGGCTCATTAATTGAATTTGAAAGATTGCTCGGATTTGTTAGCTGCAATAGTTTGAGGACACAAGGTAGTCGTGAAGCATGTGTGTTGACTCTAGAGCATTCTAAAGATGAAATTTTCGGTCTGAAACTGTTGAAATGTAGTACTTAAGTAAGTCTAGTTTCATCACCATTTTATCGATACAAGCTTAATAATAAGTGTTTCCTCCCGTAAAATTTTGTGATAAAAACAAGAATCAAGCAAAAGATGGAAGGAAAAACTGTGATTTTAAGTGTGCTCATAATGACTCTCATCATGGCGCAAATTCAAGTAGACGCAAAGATCTGCTGCCCGAGCGAGAGTGCCAGAATTGCCTATGAACTATGTCTTGGTGCTTATGGAGGCTCGTCGATGACTTGTCTACCGATGATTGGATGCAAAGATGTTGCTGAAAATACTTGCCCTCCAGGATATCCTAATGGCATTCTCAAAAACTCTGGTAAATTAAACTCGCTATTATAGAGTAATAATTGTGGTTTATAATTTATAATTATAGTTGTTACAATATCGGTGGAGATTTCATTTTTAATGCGAGTTTTTATTTTTTGTTTAGCTCAAGGTGATGCTGTCAATGAATACTGCAAGTTGGGGTGTGCATTCTCTGTGTGCGGTGCCGTGACCACCCTCCAGAATTCCGGTAAAGCAAGCTCTCTAAGCTCACTATTATCACTTTTGTTAGAATAATATATTCTGATTTTGCTTCGATTATTAGACGCAAATGAAATTTGGGATGGAGCGGTTGAACAATGCACCAATGCATGTTCTACTATATGCAACAAGGGCTTTCTTACAGCAGTTAAAAGTGCCTAAACAAGCATATCCAAAAAGATGTGTTGTTGACTTGTTGTTCTCAAAATTGTCGTGTATTTGAATAAGTTGTTGCTGGTTTATGTGTGTCGTAGAAGGTTTTCTATCCTCGATTATGTACGCCTTATCTATCCTATCATCTAAATAAAGAATAATGTGTCTTTATTAATCTTCTTCTCTAGACTATATTACTTTTCTTTCCATTTATATTATTCCACACTTTATACATTTTCTTCCTTTGAACGTCATTAATCTCCCCCTGAGGATATATCCTGTCCTCAGTAAAGACAAACTCAAATGCATCACAATCAGATTCTACTGAAAAAAAAAACATTCATCCCCCGGTGAATGTTTCCTTGTTTGATCAGCCAGTTGATTCCGAAAATTCTTTTCTCATAGATCGATCAAAACAAAGTTGAATACAAGATTTAAGAAAACAGATTAACTATTAACATGAATAATGTATGTTAAATTATATGGGCTTCCAATTCAAACCAACTAGCAATGAATAGATTGGCCAATTGCTAACCCGATCCATGCAGTGGAAAACCAGAATTACCAGTAGTATCAGAGCCTGTTCCACGCAATCTGGTCCATAATCGATAGGTAACAAAGAGACAGTCTGCCGATCTTTACCCAAATATTACCAAAATCAATGGCTAAAGTAGTCATTGTCTCGAATGGGCATATAAGGGAACATAACCTACATAAAAAGTTGAAAGAGATCTTAAATAATATAAAGGACATGGCAATACACTCAATACCAATTGGTTTTGGGTTTGCAGCTCATGTAACTTAATAGTGTCCTCTTTTGATTCACATTTCGTTTTTCTGGCCTCTTTAAGATTCATCTTCTCCTTCGTGCTTCTTCCATTATTGGCTCCTCCTCCATCATGTTATCTTCTTATCAATTTATTCAAACTTCATTGATTAAATAGATCTGAAATTTGAGTTTAGATGGCCAAAGTTTAGAGCTTTTGATTTAGTTAAGTGGAAAGTTTTGTAAATCATTTGCAGGCAAACTAGAGAATAATAGACTATGTGGCTACAAGACTTCTGTTTCCACAGGAAAGAGTGATTTTGAACTTGGCTAATTACGGTAACACAAGCGCTGCTTCGATTCCTCTAGCTCTTGATGAGGCGGTGAGAAGCGGGAAAGTTAAACCAGGTCATACCATTCCTACTTCTGGTTTTGGAGCCGGTTCGACTTGGGGTTCGGCATTTATCAGGTGGAGATGAATGGCTACATTCGACATTTAAGTTCTTACTTCAGAACCAAAGATTTTTTTTTCTCTCTCTCTCCACAGAGTAGAGGAAGCACTGGAAATTGGTGTAACGGTATGGATAAGTCCGGTTGAACTGGAAGTAAAGCGCATTTGTCTGATTTCGTTATTTTTTCACTGTTTTTTGGAGGTTTCGTTGTTGTTACTTATTAGTAATTTTATCTTGAATGCTAATAACTTGAAGGAAAAAAGAGCGTTATTCCATCATTTCTCGTTTGTATGTGAAGACGATGTTTCTTGTTGTCTTAAATCCTGTTTTCTGTTCTTAAAAATACTTTTTCAGTGATAAAATTAAGTTTCTTCAAATCAATGTATCAGATGATTTAGATCTGAACCATTTTCAGAATATTTAGAAACTTTGATCACATTTAAATGTAATAAACAACATCATGTGGATATAGGATGCCCAAGAGAAGCCAGTGTCCAAGAGACAGATTTAATCAATTCATATGAGGTTTCGCGATCCGTTTTAACCATTCATATAAGAGAGGTCTGATCAATGCTATAGAAAAAGGCCCCATTAATTTAATTTGAAAGCTTGCTCGTAGTTGTTAGGTTCAATAGTTTGAAGATACAAGGTCGTAATTGTAAAGAAAACACCGATAGTGCCAAGCACTAGCCCAAGACCGTAATACCCGAGAGATCCGAAAGAAACAAAGACCCTCTAAGTATGAATAATAAGATGAAAGAATACTTAGAGAAAACTTGAAGGAACTTTAGAGAGAATAAGAGAACTTATGAAGAACACTCTTTCTTTATTTGTTCAACTTCTCTTGTTTACAAATGATGGAGTAGTGGGCTATTTATAGGCTCCACTTATTACAAAATATCTTACAAACATTCTCCTAATCTCTAGAATTTTCTACAATAATATCTAGAATTTTAACTACAACATCTAGAATTATCTATAGAATTATCTAGATATTTAACTAATAGAATTCTCTAGAACATTTAAGAAAGATGATGATTTTTAGTGATGTTTCTAGAGATTCTAGAACTTGAGCTTAATTTTGGGCCTAATCTAATAACTAATAATTATTTTATAAACCCAAAATTAAGCTTAACCCAAAATCAAGTTTAACTTCAATAGTAATTACCTGTGTGTAGACTCAAGAGCATTATTCTGGATAATTTTGAATTTGAATTGTTTATTAAATCACAAAAAGTGTTTTGGATAAACTTGTGACTAAAGAAGGTGCTAATTAAAGTCAAAGTTCTTTCGTTGATATTATTGATCATACTGGGGCAATCTTGATAATAAAATGAAAAATCTATTGGCTAAGAAAGTGTTAAAAGAGAAATGAATCTTGTGTTTTAGATAAGTGCTCTAAGTGTTTTTCATATGATTAGTGTTCTAGAAAACTAAGTAATGGGGGGGGGGGGGGGAGGACAAGTGATAGAAATTGCCATGTGAACAAATGTTATTATTTTTGGTGCAAATTATTCAAATGGGTGGGTGCTTAGGTTTGTTAGCTAATGATGGATTAAGATATTGTGAACATCTTATCAAGAAAAGTGTAGATCATATGACTAGAATGTAGTAAACAACATCAGAAAATGGATAGAGAAGCCCGTGTCTAAGAAAGAGATTTGATCAATCCATGAGGTTTTACGATCCGTTTTAACCCCTTTTGCGGACTGATCGAAAACCAATGTTTTCTTTCGTTTTACGGAAATCGCCATCTCGAGGCCAGTGACAAAATAAACTAAGTCTTTGTTAACTATGAATCACTTAAGCTGGACGAAATGTTAAGAACGTACATAATAATAAATATAGAACCACAATTTTCCATTTATAAACTCTCAATGCTCCAGATTGTTTCCAGCTAAAATGGTGATGAAACTAGACTTACTTAAATAGTAGTTTGCCTTCCATCTTTTGCTTGATTCTTGTTTGATCACGAAATTTTGCGTAGAGGAAACACTTATTAATTAAGCTTTGTATGATGAAACTAGACTTACTTAAATAGTAGTTGTTCTACAATTGAAATGGCTAGAAAAAGCAGGACCCATTCATTTAATTTGAATTAAAGATTGCTCGGATTTGTTAGGTGCAATGGTTTGAAGAGACAAGGTGGTCCTGAAGCATGTGTAGACTCTACAGCATTCTAAAAATAGAAATTACAGTTTAATATTTTAGAACAACTAGTATTTAAGTAAGTCTAGTTTCATCACCATTTCATCGATTAAAAGCTTAAATATACGTTTCCTCTACGTAAATTTTGTGATCAAACAAGAATCAAGCAAAGGATGGAAGGCAGAACTGTGATTCTAAGTGCGCTTATAATGACTTTAGTCATGGCGCGAATTCAAGTAGAAGCAAAGATCTGCTGCCCGAGCGCGAGTGCGAAAGCTCTCTATGATATATGTATTAGAGCTTTCTATGGCAGGACTTGTCTACCAAAGTCTGGATGCAAAGATGAAGATCCTTGCCCTCCAGGATATCCTTATGACATTCTCAAAAGCTCTGGTAACTATTCTAACTATTATAGTCTACTAGTTGTTATAATAATAGATGGAGATTTCATTTTTGATGCAATTTTTGATTTTATATATATATATATATATATATATGTTTTTTTAGCTCAAGGTGATGCAGTTAATGAATACTGCAAGTTAGGATGTGATTTCTCTATGTGCGGTGTAATGACCACTCTCCAGAACTCCGGTAAAAGAATCTCCCAAGCTCACTATTATCATTTTTGTTAGAATAATAGAAAGATAATTAATCTATTTGAGTTTTGTTTCGGTAACTAGGCGCAAATGAAATTGTTAATGGAGCGGTTGTACAATGCACCAAGGCATGTTCTACTATATGCAACAAGGGCTCTCTCACAGCAGTTAAGAGTGCCTAAACAATCATATCCAATAAAATCTCAGACATATGAACTGTTTTTCCTTTTTTAGTATCATCGTGTATGTGGCGAAAATGCTAGACTCTCATGCTAGTATTTAAATAAGTTGTTGCTAGTTTTTTCGTGTGTCATAGACAGTTGTCAGTTCTCGATTGTATACGCCTTCTATATCCCATTATTGTCTTCATAAATCTTCTTCTCTCGATTACTTTAATCTGCTTTTCATTTATTATTCCACACTTTATACAAATTCTTCCTTTGAAAGTAATACAGTTTTAAGCATATACTATAACTATATTATATGAACTAAGGAAATCTCAACACATTTTTGCTGTAATAGTTTAGAGAAAATGATCCAAAATAACTCATATTAGAATTATAATATGAAACAGACCTTTTTTGAAAAAATGTAAAAATAAATTTTTTAATTATAAATATTAGTACTACCTTTCTAATTATTTTGTCATACAAACTAATGACAAAATAAATGCAAACTACTAGCAAATTAGTACTAGACTAATTAGTCATACATTTGAATTAGATTAAATGCAGGCTAATGTTATACTAAATACAAATTAATAGCATAAAGAGGAGCTAGAACTTATTTAATAGAGAAAAAATTATATGGAAAACATAATTTATAATTTGTAAAAAGACAAAATTCGTCTGATAAAAAACATAAATAAAAAGTTCAGAAAATATGTATAGATTCTAAAAAAAAATTAAAATTTTTTAAGTTGATAATTACAAAAAGAAGTACAAAAACCAAAGAAAAAATAAGTTTTTTTTTTAAATTGATTTTTTCATATTTTATTAACTAATAACTAAAATCCATAATTATTTAATATAAAGTAAGTTTAGAATAAAAATTAGTCTGAAACTAAAGTAAAACAGTGAGTACAAATTAAGTTTTTGATTTTCATATTTTAAGCTATTTTTATGGGATCAAACAATAAAAATTAGTGTATTTATAATATTTTTAATTGAAAAAACAGATTTTCAAAAATGATGTAGGGTCGGCTGACCTCTTTCTTCTCCACATGGCTCTACCTTTGCTAATAGCAGACTGTTGACACAACAGTAGACGATTCTTATAATTTTTCTGATGAGAAATCTTCTTTTTATAATAAAATTGCCAAATAGACTATTTAAATAAAATGGCCTGATAATTTATCTTTCTCACCTGTTGAAACAAAATTAATATAGACATTGTTGAATCAATACAACAATAACATTCAAGTCTCTCCATAAGTTGACATATCAGATTCTTTAATTTTTCAAAAGCTGACACTTCAGCTATTTTACAAACCAGTCAAATTAAAACATTAATAAAACTCATCTACTTATTTTAATTTTTAAATTTAAATGCATTAAAAATCCAAATACATTTTTTGTTAATAATTTATTTTATTTTTTAACAAATCAAAGTCCAAATAATAAATAACAGTAAATAATTTATTGTCTTATTGTTTGCCAAATCCAAGCCCAAATAATAAATAACAGCAAATAAAAAAAAATAAATCTTTGTTTTATTTTTTGCCAAACTCAAACCCAAATAACAATTAACAGAAAATAAATAAATTTTTTTTTAGCTATTTGTTTGTTCGACAGAGACGTATATGATTGAAAAAGTGTATGCTCATCATCAACTATGTATCCATAACAACAACACAAAAAGCCTTATGTTATAAGAAGCTTACACATCAACAAAAATTTGAATCAATAAAAATATAACAATAATACATATCATTAACACACTAATAAAATCAGTTTACTATTTTACAGACCCATTAAAAAGCCCAAAAGTTTACAAAAAAATGGAAGTCGAAAGCAAATAAGAAAAAGCTCAGGCCACCATAACTTAGAGATTCGCATTTCCAGTGGTTACTCATAACAAATTTTCATGGGTTTAGTGGGAATAGAGAATTTCTTAGTTTCAGTAGGAAAATGTGATTTTCAGTTTTGGTAGGAAAACATAATTTCTTGGTTATAGCAGAAAAAATGAATTATCGGGTTTGGCGGAAAAATGTGAATTTTTGGTTTTGGTGAGAAAAAAAAAATTGATTTTGACGCGAAAACAAAATATCTTAATTTTGACGAGAAAATGCGAGGGAAATGCAACTTTTCGATTAACAAAAGATATAACTTCTTGAATTTTTGCGGGAAAATGTGATTTCTTAGTTTTCGTGAAAAATTGTAATTTGACGATTTTGACGGAAAAATGCAATTTATCAGTTTGATGGAAAACATTTTTTTCGATTTTGGAAAGAATAAGCAATTTCTCGGTTTTGATGTGAAATGCAAATTTTCAGTTTTTGACATATAATGTGATTTCTTGGTTTTCGAGGTAAAATACGATTTCTTAGTTTTTGCAGAAAACACAATTTCTCAGGAGATAATGCAATTTTTGGTTTTCACGGGAAATTATAGTTAATCAGTTTTAGTAGGAAGGCCTGATTTTTGGTTTGGTGATTTTTTTTTTTTTTTGCGGGAATTGACGATTTCTCAGTTTTCATGGAAAAATGAATTTTTTTTTGTCTTGGTGAACAAACTTGATTTCTTTGTTTTGACGGAAAAACACAGGTTCTCGCAGGAAAATGTGGTTTTTTTTTGTTCTGTCGAAAAGTGCGATTCTCAGTTTTTTTAAAAATGGCAATTTGCTTTATCTAATTTCAAAGATGGATCAAGTGGCAATTTAGTAGAGATAACAAATTCCATTTGTCATTAGCAGAAAAGTACTTAAAAAGTATTGTTTTATTCTTACATATATATTTATAGATAGTTAGCTAAACAAATTTGATAGTAGATTATAATTTTAAAAAAAAAAAATTAAAAATATATAATATTTATTCAGATTTAAAACATATAAATACATAATTTAAGCTAATAAAAAATATAATATTCATTTACATCATAAAAATAATTTTATTATATTAAAAGAATATATAAAATCTAGAAATATATCTCGCAGCGTAGCACATGTATATACCTAGAAATAAAATTATGTTAGTGTGTAATTCATTATTATAATCAAATTCCTTTAACGATAAGCATTAAATGAATCGAGAAGAGCAACACAAATGTTCTAAGTTCAATCTCTCTTTCCATCGTTTACAGCATGACTAATTATTTAGGCGGGAACTGTAGACACACTATCACTAAAGTACTATGCTGCGAAACTTTTTCACAATATAATTTCAACAGAATTTGAACTAATACAATAATAACACTCAAGTCTCTCCATAAATGACATATCAGAATTTTTAATCTTTGAGAAGCTGACACCTCAGCTATTTTATAAACCAATCAAATTAAAACATTAATACAACTCATCTACTTATTTTAATTTTTAAACTTAAACCCATTAAAAACTCAAATACATTTTTGTTAATAATTTGTTTTATTTTTTAACAAATCAAAGCCCAAATAATAAATAACAGCAAAAAAAAAATATTTGTTTTATTGTTTGCCAAATCCAAACCCAAATAATAAATAACAACAAATAAAAAAAATTAAATCTTTGTTTTTTTTTGCCAAACCCAAATAATAATTAACAGCAAATAAATAAATTTTTTTAGCTATTTATTTGTTTGACAGAGACGTATATGATTGGAAAAGTGTAGGCTCATCATCAACTATGTTTTCATAACAACAACACAAAAAGCTTTACGTTATAAGAAGTTCACACATCAACAAAAATTTGAACCACTAAAAACATAACAATAATACATATCATTAACACACTAATAAAATCAGTTTACTATTTTACAAACCCATTAAAAAGCCAAAAAGTTTACAAAAAAGTAGAAGTTGAAAGCAAATGAGGAGAAACTCACACCACCATGACTTGGAGATTCGCATTTCCAGTGGTTACTCAGAACAAATTTTCATGGGTTTAGCGGGAATAGGAAATTTCTTGGTTTCGGTAGAAAAATGTGATTTTCAGTTTTGCTAAGAAAACATAATTTTTTGGTTATGGCAGAAAAAATAAATTATCAGATTTGGCGAAAAATGTGAATTTTTGGTTTTGATGAGAAAACAAAAAAAAATAATTGATTTTGACGCGAAAACAAAATATCTTAGTTTTGACGAGAAAATGCGAGGAAATGCAACTTTTCAATTAACAGAAAATACGATTTCTTGATTTTGATAGGAAATGCAAATTTTCGGCTTTTGATGGATAATGTGATTTCTTAGTTTTTTTGCGGGATAATGTGATTTTTTAGTTTTCGTGGAAAGTTGTAATTTGACGATTTTGGCGGAAAATCCAATTTCTCAATTTGATGGAAAAACAAAATTTCTCGATTTTGGAAGGAATAAGCAATTTCTCGGTTGATGGGAAATGCAAATTTTCAGTTTTTGACATATAATATGATTTTTTTTGGTTTTCGCCGTAAAATGCGATTTCTTAGTTTTCGCGGAAAACACAATTTCTATTGAGATAATGCAATTTTTTTTTCGTGCAAAATTATAGTTTATTAGTTTTGGTAGGAAGGCCTGATTTTTGGTTTGACGAGAAAAATGATTTTTTTTTTTGCGGGAATTGACGATTTCTCGGTTTTCATGGGGAAATGAATATTTTGGTTTTGGTGAAAAAATTTGATTTTTCTGTTTTGACGAGAAAACACAGGTTCTCACAGGAAAATGTGATTTTTTTTTTGTTTTTGCGAGAAAATGCAATTTCTCTGTTTTGGTGGGAAAATGAAATTTCAGGTTTGACGAAAAAATGAATATTTTTGGTTTTGGTAGGAATAAGTGAAATAAATTTTTTTTTGTTTTGTCGGAAAGTGTGATTTCTCAGTTTTTATAAGTAGATTAAATTTCTTTGTGCTAAATTTTCAAGTTACAATATGTTTACAGTAACCAAAATTTAATTATTTAACTTCAACTAAATTGATATTTCAACAGTCCAAACATATTTTTCTATTTAGTTCTAAAACAATAACAATGGTTTTGAAATGAATGTTATTGATTATAGTTTGATAGTTTTATAAACATATATTTATAATAAATATTTGATAAATAAATAAATTTTATAATTTAAAATAATCATATTAATTAATAATTGTTTTGAAAATGGCAATTTGCTTTATATAATATTAAAGGAGGATCAAGTGGCAATTTAATAGAGATAACAAATTACATTTGTCATTAGCATAAATGTACTAAAAAATGTATTGTTTTATTCTTACATATACATTTATAGATAGTTAGCTAACAAATTTGATAGTAGATTATAATTTTGAAAAATAAAAATTTTAAGAATATATAATGTTTATTCAGATTTAAAACATATAAATACATAATTTAAGCTAATAAAAAATAAATATAATACTTATTTATATTATAAAAATAATTTTATTATATTAAAAATATATAAAAAATCTAGAAATATCTTCCGCAGCGTAGCGCGGGTATATACCTAGTTTGATCAATTTATATGTGTGTGAATAAAGAATATGTTGTAGCCCATAGCTATAACTTTTTATGGGAAGTTAATTTGTCTTACATTGGAAACTTGAAATTTTTTGGCTAGTATTTATAAAGACCATTATATGTATTGATTTAAATGGTTAAGAAAAGAGGATACACACGTGCTTGCCGCCACCGTTGGGCCGGGGCCCGTGGTCCGTGGTCTATAGTCATTTTTTAGATTAGCTCTTAGGATTCTTAGACAGTTAGGTATTAATTAACATACTTTGTTAATTACACCCTAAACATGTCGCTCTAGTTTTTGTGGGTTCACTTAAAAACTCTACTTCTCTCTCTATCTTATATATACAAGTCAGAAGCCTTTCTTTTTGATAATCCGAATGCAAAATCAAATATACAGATTAAAAACAAACACATGTTTCCTTCAGTCTACCATTGCATCAGGTTAGTTATTTTGAAAGTATTGTAGAGTTAATTTCGCCAGACCCGATATCAAATGTTGCGATTTAGGATTAAACGGTTGTTTCCTGAGACTCATCAATTATAAATATCTATCATAGGGCGAATTTTTGAGTTAAGGAAAAAGATTTCAATTTTGATTCAAAATAAATATTTACGGAAAGATCAAAACAACCAATGTAACACTAGCTGTAACAGTTGCATACTAGCCATTAATTATAACTGTGGCGCGGATATAAAATTTTGACTGATTTGTTTTCTAAGAGTTTCTTGGAAGAAGAATTTGAATCTGTGTGGGATATTTAACTTGGATGCTTAGAGATACATATAGTGAAGTAAAGTTTCATGACAATGTTCATGTTCGGAACTTTCATTGTGGGAAATCGAAAGATTAAGCGATACGAGACAATATTACATTGTCTTCATGACAAAATATATCGCTCTAGGAGTTGCATATCTAGTGTCACAAGATATGGTAGGCATCAATTATACAACCCAAGACGAGGACTGAGGAAGATGCGTCATTTAATTAGTTCTTCCCCTCCCCCCACCCTTGCCCTCATTTCATCTGTTTTCAAGTACTATTTTGACTTTGTTTTGTTTTAATATTTCAGCTTCATCAAAGAGAGCTTAGGGTTTAGAAATTCGAATACAGTAAAACCTCTATAAATTAATAATGTTGGAACTATCAAATTTTATTAATTTATAGAGTTATTAATTAATCGATAAATTAATAATTATTTATTTATTGATTAATTGATATCTTATTAATTTATAGAGATATTTTCGGTTTGAATTCTTAATATCCATTAAAAAAATAAAAAAATAATATTTTCAACAATATAAAAATTATTCAAAAAATATCATAATAACGAATTTAGAAGATAAATCAAACAAAAATTATAAACTTGAAACAATAATATTATCATATTTTACTATATTATATTATTTATATATGCCTAAATGTATAATTATTAATTTATATCATGCATTATTTTAAGCATGTTTTTGTTGTTGTTTTATCACTGTATACAATTAGTATATATATTTACAAAAAAGTATTATCTTATTATCTAATCGAATTTTATTAATTTTACATTGGCCTGATTTGGAACCGACAAAAATTATTAATTTATAATGATTATTAATTTATCGAGTATTAATTTATAATGGTTTTTTAGAAAAATTGTGATATCTAACTATATTGTTTTTGAGCTAATATGCGGATATATTTTTTTTTCTAAAATGCTATTTTTTTTGTTAAAATGTTTTCATAAAATATATCGACAAAAAAAAGTTGATATATTCTGTTACTACGGAGATACAATATATATCGGACATCACATAATAATAAATACATGGTTACTACGAATATACAAAATAAAAAGATAAAACCAACTGAATTCTGTAGAAAAAGGCCCCATTCATTTAAGTTGAAAGATTGCTCGGAGTCGTGAAACATGGGGTTGTCTGTGTGTTGACTAGTAGAACAATAAAATTTGCGGTTTGAAATTGTAGAACAACTAGTATTTAAGTAAGTCTATTCGCATCACCATTTCATCGATACAAGCTTACTAATAAGTGTTTCCTCTAAGTATATTTTCTGATCAAACAAGTAATCAATCAAAAGATGGAAGACAGAACTGTGATCTTAAGTGTGCTCATAATGACTCTCGTCATGGCGCAAACTCAAGTAGAAGCAGAGGTTTGCTGCCCGAACCTGAATGCTGGATATAACCTGATTAGTTGCTTGGCTTCAGGAGGCTATGGGGAACAATGTACAGCAGTGTGTGGATGCAAATACTTTTCAGAGAGTAGTTGCCCTCCGGAGTATCCTATTGACATTCTCGGAAACTCTGGTAAATTGAGCTCACTGTTATAGTGAATTACTAATTGTGCTTTATTATGTTAATTGTTACAAGATCGACAGAGATTTTTTTAATGCAACATTTTTTGTTTGTTTTTTGTTTTTGTTTTTAACTCAAGCTGATGCTGTCAATAAATACTGCAAGTTGGGGTGTGCATTCTCTGTGTGCGGTGCCATGACCACTTTCCAGAACTCCAGTAAAGAAAACTTCCTAATCTCACTAGTATCACTTTTGTTAGTATAATATGACACGAGAATTAATCTATTTGAGTTATGTTTTGGTGACTAGACGCAAATGAAATTTGGAATGCAGCGGCCGAACAATGCACCAAGGCATGTTCTACTATATGCAACAAGGGCTCTCTTACAGCAGTTAAAAACGCCTAAACAAGCAAGCATATCCCAAAAGATATCACACCTAAGTGTTGGTTTCCATCTTATCAATATTGTGATGTATGTGACAAATATGCTAGACTCTGGTTCTAATATTTGAATAAGTTTGTTGCTGGTTTATGTATGTATCGTACAAGGTTGTCGATCTTCGATTGTATATGCCTTAATTATATATCCTATCATCTAAATAAACAATAATGTGCTTTATAAATAGTTTGCTTTCCATTGATATTATTCCACACTTGCTACAAATTCTTCCATTTAACATAATTGTCGTTTTATAAGCAGCTTATATCATGACAGCATGCATTTTGCGACTTAACAGTAGTGTTAAGACTGACAAATGACAATAACAAGTAATCTTGCCTGCTGGTTATATACAATTTTAAGCATAGACTATAACTATATGAACGTCAAGATATTTTTAGCTGTGACGATTTATCTCTCCCACCTTAGTGTATATCCTATTTTCAGTAAAGACAGTCTCAAATGTAACACAATCGGATTCTATCTTCTGCCTCAATGAAATCGGATTCTATTTTATGGTACCAATTTTAGCCTAGTGTTTGATTTTAATAATAAGAGTATAGCTATTAAAATTTCGAATCTACTGTTGAAATTCAAACTATTTTTTGTTAAAAATATAAACTGTGTTTTTAATTTCTGTATAAAATACACGCTATTCTATTGCATTACAGCTACTAACAAGTTTTTTTTTTGGGGCTGAATTATGCATTAAATTTAAAAGCTGGCAAGAAGGTGTAGTTGTTGCACACAAGTAGCCCATTCTAATATGGGCGCCCCATTACACAAGTTATTGTGGTTTTAGTATCAAAGATATAGGCATGTTCGTTTGACTGACGTGGAGGCTGCAGCAACGACATGCGGCTAAACAATGTTTGTTAACTTTACTCAGCATCTTGCAACCAAACGCAGCATCCAGATGCAATGAAGAACTTTTTTACCACAAAAATAACGTTTTGTTGCGATTTAACGCTGTAATCAGACGATTTAACGCTGTGATCAGACGCACATTTACTAAACAAACAACAATTGCAGCATTTGGATGCAATGTGACGTAGGTCGCAGTCGCAGCTGCTGGCCGCAGGCCACATGCGGCAAGCAAACGAACATGACTAATATTAAAAAAATGATGTATCATGTAGGATTTCAACAGAATTTGTGGACAAATTTGAATCTGTTCATAAAGTCTAATGATATTCAAAACACCTATAAATATTCACACATGCATAGATTTTTTTTTACTAAGGTATGTAATTTAATAAACATACAAAATATAATAGAAAAATACATGAAAAATGACACAATAAACTTAGACCACAATTTTTTTTATTTCTAGACTCGCAGTACTCCTAATTGTTGCAGATGGACAAAATATTAAGAACGCTGAGCGTACATAATTAGAAATATACTGTTACTACGAACATACAAAACATATTGACCAAAACAAAAGTTTAATAGTGACTTGAAGAAAACATCCGTCATGACTATTAACATGGGTGACACAGTTTCTCGAACAAAAAAAAGGGGGAAAAACAAATTTGTTCTCTAGAAAAAGGCCCTATTCATTTAGTTTGAAAGATTGCTCGGATTTGTTAGGTGCAATAGTTTGAGGAGACAAGGTAGTCGTGAAGCATGTGTAAACACTCTAGAGCATTCTCAAAAATAAAAAATTGCGGTTTGAAATTGTAGAACAACTAGTATAAGTCTATTTTCATCACCATTTCATCGATACAAGCTTGCGTTTAAGTGTTTCCTCTACATAAGTTTTGTAATAAAACAAGAATCAATCAAAAGATGGAAGGCAGAACTGTGGTTTTTAGTGTGGTCATAATGACTCTCGTCCTGGTGCAAATTCAAGTAGACGCAAAGCTCTGCTGCCCGAGCGAGAGTGCCCAAAATCACTTTAAATCATGTGCTCTTGTTGGAATCCCGTATACAACTTGTCTAGTAATGAGTGGATGCAAATCTGTTTCTGGAGATATTTGCCCTCCAGGATATCCTAATGGCATTCTCAAACACTCTGGTAAATCGAACTCAGTATTATAATGTATTAAATGTGCTTTATTATTTTAGTTGTTACAAAATCGATGGATATTTTCATTTTTGATGCAAGTTTTATTTTATTTTTAGCTCAAGGTGATGCTGTCAATGAATACTGCAAGTTAGGTTGTGCATTCTCTGTGTGCGGTGCTATGAACACTCTCCAGAACTCCGGTAAAGAAAACTTCCCAAGCTCACTATTATCATTTTTGTTGGAATATTAGTCAAGAGAACTAATATGTTTAAAATTTGTTCGGTGACTAGATGCAAATGAATTTGTGAATGGAGCCGTTGAACAATGCACCAAGGCATGTTCTACTTTATGCAACAAGGGCTCTCTTACAGCAGTTAAAAGTGCCTAAACAAGTATATCAAATAAGATGTCACACCTATATAAATGTGTTGTTGTTTTCAAAATTCTCGTGTACTATGTGACAACAATGTTATAATCTAAATAGATTATAATGTGTCCTTATACTAAAATCCAATATAAATGATAATAAACGAATGTCGATAAGTAAACTTATTATTTTTTAATGATGAAAGATCTGCAATTTGAGTTAAGAATGTTGGAAAGTAAGACCTTTTATACCAGAAAATGTTTAACTGGAAAGTTTGGGCTGGTACACTTACGAGTTACGCCCATGTTTAAATTGAAAGTTTAGCTAAACACATGGCTAATAACTCTATAATCGTATTTGATCGAGTACACTTACGCACATGTTCAAATTGTCCAACTAAGCTAGCAACTGCAGCCCATGTAGGAGTTACCTATACCCGACAATATGCTTACACGTTACACAGTTACACCTTACACCTCATCCAATACTTACTGCAATAGCAGTCAACAAAGTTTTTTCTTGAAAACTTTCATCATTTCTAGTTTGCAATGTTAAGACAACATTCCTTTAATTTAAAAATTTTTAATTTCTTTGTTCTTGAAAACTTTCATCATTTCTAGTTTGCAATGTTAAGACAACATTCCTTTAATTTTAAAATTTTTAATTTCTTTGTTCTTGAAAACTTTTTTTGTTAATGCCAAAATTAGAATTTTGCAAACCTATCGTTTGATCAGATCTGAACCAAAAGAAAAAAAAATTGTGATCACAAAAACCAAATTAGATTTTGTTATATAGGGCCAAAAATGGTTAATAGTTTTTCAATCAAACTCAAAGTGAGTCAAACTTCATTTTCTTTTGAAAAAAGTAGTAAATAACTTTTACTACTAAGTAAGTCTAGTAAATAACTAATACTAAAACCAAAGAAATATTAAAAACACATGTATCATGTGGGATTTCAAAATGTTATTAGCTGTTATCACTTAAAAGAAACCAATGAAATCGACTCTACGGAGATATACACCAATTACACTAAGAGTACCACTATCCATAATTTGTTTTTTTTTTCTATCATATCTAACTATTAAAAATAAAAAAATAGAAAATAATGTAAAATGAAGAAATAGAATAAGAAAAAGTGAAAACATATTTAAAAATATTTTATTTAGGAAACGTATCAAAATATGAAATGTACAAAAAGTATATATTATTATTTAATTGGTTTAATTTTATTTTTATTTAAAACTAGGTTACTATCCGCATGTTCGTGCAGAGTAATATTTATCATAAAAATAATTATCAAATACTGTGAATAAGAATATTAATAAAAAATTAATTTTTATTTATATATATATTAATTTTATATAATATATTTGTAACTATTTTGTTCATACGCGTTTTTGATCATTTTGACTTTTATAACTAAATTTAAATTTTATTTTGTCATGGAAAACATTTTGCCATCTATAATTGGTAGTCAAATATAATACAATAAAGCTTGGTTTTAAGAAATTATATATTATTAAGTTTGTAACAAACTTTTTTATATATAATTTAGGATCTAAATGTTAATTAGTGGATATTAGAGAAATAAGTATTTTTGAAATTGTAAGAAAATAAGATTTTATTTAAGTAAATATTGTAGTGTATCTAGCGATTTTATTGTTCTATTAATATTCTTTGTTAAATCTTAAAATTTTCAAATTTCATTAAGTTTATATTGATGTAGATATTTCTTTTTTCTAATATTATATATCTTGTATTTAGTGAATTATAAATTCTTAGTTATTCATTTGGTAAAATCCATAACACAGAAATGCTATCCTAAACTAAAAGTATTCTTAAAGATTTGTCATTAATTTGATTGGTTAAGATATTATAAAATATATTTTTACATTTAATAGAAAAAATATTGTAGGATCCGGTTATTTTTATGAAAACTATTGATGTAATTTGTTTTTAATTTTTATTTAAATAAATAATGTGTTTTTAATTAATAAATTAAATAAAAATTAATTCTCAAAAAAATTCTGGTGCTGACACCTCAGCAAAAATAGCTAGAAATGTTTCTACTTTAGTGTGTAGTAGATTTAGTTAAGATTATATTAGCGACGTCTCTACATCTCTAACTAACCATCCATGTTCAAATTATTTTTTCTTAACTGCAATTTGATTAATTAGGCTTGTCTTTATTACCAGCAAAATAGATTTTTTTTTCTTGGTTTCTTGGCTTATATCTATTATAGTCTTGGACTCTTTTGAAGCTTAAGAAAATCTTTTGGTTACAATTTTTTTGCAAAACAAATGGATCTAAATGAGCGTCCTTCGGGCGATAAGATAACCGAAGAAACCAAGATTTTGATCTCTTCGCTTCCTTCAGACGCAGATGGCGTAGGAGAGAAGCTTTGTAATTATCAAGGATGTTGGTATTACTACAACACTCTCCAAGGCGTTCTTAATTTCCAGAGCGGATTTCAACCGCAAGACACCGACATAATCCTTGCCTCTTTCCCCAAATCAGGCACTACATGGCTCAAAGCCCTCACAGTTGCCCTTCTGGAGAGGTCTAAGAACCACTCTTCTGATGACGATCATCTTCTTCTGTCTGATAATCCTCATGGCATTGTACCATTCTTCGAGATCGATGTGTTTCACGAAAGCTCAAGTCCTGACCTAAGCAAGTTCTCATCATTTCCGAGGCTGTTCTCCACTCACATGCCACTACACACAATGAAACTGACCCTCAAGGACTCTCCTTGCAAGATTGTATACATTTGTAGGGACGTGAAGGACACATTGATCTCGTGGTGGTTTTTCGTGTGCGCTATGCTTAAAGTAGAACCAAAGACAAGTATTCTCGAGTCTATATACAAATCTTTCTGTAGCGGAACTATCTACTATGGACCCATCTGGGAACATGTTCTGAGTTATTGGAAAAGAAGCATGTCCTTTTCATGAGGTATGAGGAGATAAAAGCTGAGCCTTGTGATCAGATCAAGAGACTTGCAGATTTCTTGGGTTATCCTTTTACTAAGGAGGAAGAGGAGAATAGATTGGTGGAAAAGATCTTAGACCTTTGCTCTCTGCGTAGTTTAAGCGGTATGGAGGTTAACAAAACTGGGAAAAGAAACAATTTGGATTACAAGGATTTTTTCCGTAAAGGGGAAGTTGGTGACTGGAAGAACTATCTTACTCCTGAAATGGAGAACAAGATAGACATGATCATCCAAGAGAAATTCCAAGGTTCTAGTTTGAAATTCTAGAGTTAGGTATATGGTTTGTGTCTTCTTTGATGTTCCAAAATAAGAGTATCCTCCGTTGTTTTTTAACAGCATATGTTTCGTTGTTATATTCGTTTACAATGCCTTTCAATTGTTGCTTTCATGTGTTTAAAATTGATATTGTCCAACAATAGCCAATTTGGTGCTATCCGAGCCATGCAAGACTATGTTTAAAAGTACAACTAAAATGATTTATAGCATATATAATGTTGAAGTAGTTGAAAAGAAAAGTTAATCTACTAATGTGGAAGACTATATCGATATAAATTTTGTATGATTAAAAATTAAAAGTTAAAAATAATGTAACTTGAGTTTAGACCTTTTTTAGTAAAACAAAAAAAAAGTCTAGAACTGTGTTTTATTTCACCAAGACAGGCTAAACTCTCCACTTCTGTTATGGAACCAAGTTAAGCCTGTGTTTTATTCTAGTGTTTCGATTTCAGTAATAAGAATTTAGTGTTTAAAATTTCGAATATAGGGTTCAAATTTAAGCTATTTTGTATAAGAATGTACACTATTCTATACAGCTAACAACAAGTTATTGTAATTTTAAAATCGTTATTTTATTACATCTAATAACAAATTAGTGAGATATTGAAATCAAAGATTAAAAATAAAATTGATGTATCATGTGGGATTTCAAATAGTTACATATTAGCTGCAATGCACTAAAAAAGATTCAATGGATCCACTCTACGATGATACACCAACTAACCCATCCATATTTAAATATATTTTCTTACCAGCAATTTTAAAAGGTTTGTCTTGATTACCAGCAAATTGAAATAGGTTTTGTCTTTACTACCACCAATATTTGTTTTTCTTGATTTCTTGGCTCAAGTATCTATAATGTTTTTGTTCAAAGCTTAATTAAGCACATCTTTTTGTATCATGTGGGATTTCAAATAGTTATTAGCTGCAATCCACTAAAAAGGATTCAATGGATCCACTCTACGATGATACACCAACTAACCCATCCATATTTAAATATATTTTCTTACCAGCGATTTAAAAAGGTTTGTCTTGACTTACCAGCAATTGAAATAGGTTTTGTCTTTACTACCACCAATATATGTTTTTCTTGATTTCTTGGCTCAAGTTTATATAATGTTTTCGTTTGAAGCTTAAATATTAAGCACATCTTTTTGTATAAAAACATCAAAACAAACAAAGCAAATGGATCGGAATGAACTTCCGTCCGCCGTGAGAGACACAAGATAACCGATGAAACCAAGATTTTGATCTCTTCGCTTCCTTTAGACGCAGATGGCGAAGGAAAGAAGCTTTGTAAGTATCAAGGATGTTGGTATTACTACAACGCTCTCCAGGGCGTTCTTAATTTCCAGAGAGGTTTTCAACCGCAAGACACCGATATAATCCTTGCTTCTTACCCCAAATCAGGCACTACGTGGCTCAAGGCTCTCACAGTTTCCCTCCTCGAGAGATCAAAGAACCATTCTTCTGATGATCAACATCCTCTACTATCTGATAATCCTCATGGAATCGTACCATTCTTGGAGAGCAATCTTTATGAAAGTTCAAGTCCTAACCTTGCCAAGTTCTCATCAGTTCCGAGGCTGTTCTCGACTCACTTGCCACTGGACGCAATGCAAGAGACTCTCAAGGACTCTCCATGCAAGATTGTGTACGTGTGCAGAAACGTGAAGGACACATTGGTCTCGTGGTGGTTTTTCGTGTGCGCTATTCATAAAATAGAACCAGATAGAAGCATTCTCGAGTCTCTGTTCAAATCGTTCTGCAACGGAACTATCTATTATGGACCTTTTTGGGACCACCTCTTGAGCTACTGGAGAGGAAGCTTAGAAGACCCTAAGCATGTTCTTTTCATGAGGTATGAGGAGTTGAAAGCTGAGCCTCGTGATCAGATTAAGAGACTTGCGGATTTCTTGGGTTGTCCTTTTACTAAGGAAGAAGAGGAGAATGGATTGGTGCAAAAGATCTTAGACCTTTGCTCTCTGCGTAACTTAATTAGCGGTTTGGAGGTTAACAAAACTGGGAAAAGAAACAATTTGGATCACAAGGATTATTTCCGTAAAGGGGAAGTTGGTGACTGGAAGAACCATCTTACTCCCGAAATGGAGAACAAGCTAGACATGATCATCCAAGAGAAACTCAAAGGTTCTGGTTTGAAATTCTAGAGTTTTTTTTTTTTTTTGGGGGTAAAAGAAATTGTACAGTTATACATATGCGGTTTGTGTTTTCTTTGATGTTGCAAAATTAGAGTACTTCCCGTTGTTGTGTTTCTTTTACAGCAGTAACTTCCTTCCGTTGTTATATTCGTTTGAAACGCCTGCCTTTAAGTTGTTGCTTTAATTTAAAATTAAAATTGTCAAATAATAGCCAATAAGGTGCTATCCGAGCCATGCATGACTATAATATATTTACAGAAAAAAATAATTTATAAGATGTATAATATTGAAGTAGCTGAATACAGATAAAACATATGAGAGCACTCAGACATTAAAAAACAAACTTTTCTAATCATAAAATAAAAGATGACACAACAAAGACACTCAGACACGATAACATATCCTCTGCTGCTCTCCAATAGGATATGTGAGAGCTTTCCTAAAAAAACATAATCAGTTAAAAGAGACACTACATGAAAATAGCAAATTAACGATTGCATGTGGCTACTGATTATGTATTCGTAAAATATCGCTACTGCGGCAATTTTGCTATTAATTTACAACCAGACCATATTATCGCAAATCAGTCGCTAATTTAATTTACGACTAATACAAATAATCGTAATATAGTTATAAATTTGCGACAGTTTTACTACTAATTTGTGATCAAACAATTATCGTTGCACACCACTTGCTAATTTACAATTAATATAAATAGTTGTAAATCTACGACTGTTTTGCGACTAAAACATAATTGTCAATTAGCAGTTACCAAACAGTTGCAAATTGGCGACTATATTATCACTATTTTCGTAGTCACGAATTACCTATTCTCTTATAGTGAAACACAAATCCTAAACTCTAAATTTTTAATCTATAATCATACTCTAAATATTTAATCATAATTTTTTGTTTTACATCGGACTGTATACTCTGTTTTAAAAGGGGTGATAAGTAGCCGTTTATCATTTTTTGTACTCATTTTTTTTTTTTGCTGTATTTTGTGTTTCTGTTTATTTTATTCTCTTTCATATTTATTTATTTGATTTATTTATCTCTCTTGAAACTGTTTTGAGTTTCTTAAAGAGTTTTGGTTTGTCACTTTTAATATTCTCTTTTTTTAAAAAAAAAAAATATATATTTTGTACCCAACCTCTGACAAAAGTGTACTGTTAGTTGGATTTTTCTTTGTAAATTAAAGTTGTACTATTTTCTCGTCTTCTTTTTATCTTATTCGGTTAAGGATTTGGTTCGGATTCAATTCAACTCTAGCGATGATAAGCATTGTGATTTACAAGAATGGACTCTCTCTAACTAAGACGGTTATTGCCGTTAAAGTCAACAAGCTCTCTGGCTATCATCTTCAGTTTTTATTCTCTTATTAACAACATGAAGCCTTATTAACAACATATACAATGAAGTGAAAAATGAACAATCATAAATTCAGGATCAAACGCACGTGTAGGTCACATAAACTGATGAAAAAAATTTGGAAGATAACACAAGACTTCGAGACGGCAGCTTTGGAGGCAGGGCCGCTGATGCAGCGCATCTTCTCCTCTTATGCATTCCGTTCCTTAACATATACAAGTTCTTTTAGTTTTATGTGAGCTTTACTTTTAATTAGGCTTTCTAATGTTTATCAATCTTTGTCACCAACATTAGCACAATGTTTCAGTTTCTTCTTTACTATTTAAGCATTCAGATGATGTAAAGTTAAGGCAGCTTTTGATTAATAAAATAAACTCTAGAACTTTTCCATTCATCTTTTCTTGTTGTCTGATTCTTTGTAAATCAACAATTATCAAGAACCCTCGTTTGAACGGCTATTCTTTGGAATCAACGATCATCGAATCCTGTTTGGTATCAACGATCTTCAAGCTTATCTAGCTTGACACTGTGCCAGTTTGGTATCAGAGTAAACACGTTCCTGTTTGAATTTTTTTTTTCACAAAAAAAGTTATCATGGCAGTGGACAGTTTTATCTTTCTTGTAACAACGGATCATAGCAGCTATGAACCGATGAATAATTGGCCAGAGTTGCGTTGCACACTTCTTGTGATGCAGGAAAACACACAGATTGCTATTGGTAAATCGATTCATGATTTGTTTGGGGTTCCTCTGGTACGTGGAGAGCAACATCACAGATCAGACGAACCTAAACCAGGGAGAGGAAAATTTCATAAAAAAAGTAGGTTTTCCAAAAGTATATAAAAGGCCAGAATAGTGTTGATGGGCTTATCTTCACTAACGATTTAGAGGATTATTACGATGAAGTCAACGAATTTGTTGGTGAACCTATGTATGATGTTTATGATGATGGTTTTCCGTCTACGGAGCTCGATTACTCTGGGGATGCAATATGAGATCTCTACCACTCTATGATAGTGAAAATCATCTCCAAAAGGAATATCTCCAAGTTGATGTTCAAATGGTGAAAGAGGTGGAAGCTGTGGTCGATTACCATGTTCAAGTCATCGAGAACATGATGTATTTGGGGGGTCTTGTATTCCAAAGAGTTATTCTAGCGATATATGTCCACTAATTATCTTTCCTCATGGAAGGGCTCGAGAGAAATTCGTGAGCCGCAAGATGGTGATTGGAGAGCTAATCCGTTGTGTGGCGGTGAGGAAGATCTGTACAGGGAAATCTATAACAATACAGAGTTTGACAGAGAATTTCATGTAAGTTACAAGACAAATCAAACAGATGAAAACTTCAACGTGTGTACTTCAAAGAGGGAGTTTACGAATAGGGCCGGCCCATAGGCTAAGCCACCCAAGCAAAGGATTAGGACAGCAATATTTTAAGGGCATCATTTTAAAATATGTTCATTATTAAGACTAGTTACTTAGAGACATTTTCTTTAAATATTTTATTTATTAGGATGAGTTCTCTATTAATGTGATAATATATAAATAACAAATTTAATTTTCTTATAATAGTAATGTTTATTAAGTTTTTGTTAGCAATTTATGGGTTTTTATTAATAAACATACTAATTAAGTTTAGTATAGTGTTTATAATTAAATTCTGAAAATAAAAGATTATTATATAAACATGAGTATCAATACCAAATATTAATACCAGAAAAAATGAAGGATTGGTATACAAACACCTAAATTGCTTGTTGCATTTATTGACTATTTTGGTATTGGTTTCCACTATTGAAAGAAGTTTTTTTAAAACAGAACTTAATTAAAAATTATTTCTGATGTGCGGTATCAGAAAGAAATTGAATGAATTAGTTTGTTATTGATTAAGATAAATATGATTGAAAAACTCGATTATGTGAGTTCAACTAATGATTTTGCAAGAAAAAATGTAAATAATACTATTTTTTTTATCAACATAATTTTTTTACTGTTTTTATTTTATTTTTTTATAAATCATTTATGAATTAAGATTGTTTGTTTGGAATGAAGTTTTAACTATAGTTTTTTTTTCTAGTTTTCGTAATATAAAATATAATATATGAAAATGTATATTTTTAAATTTGCATAGGACATAAAAATTCATTGGACCGATACTATTTGCGAATCAGGCTTTTGAAAAAGAAGATCCAATGAGATTTTTATCTTATTGTCAAGGTATATCAATCTGCACGGATCATTCTAATACACTTTGTTTTGCATTTTATTGTGACGAAGGCAATTGTGACGACGTGAAGTTGGATGATGCAATTTTTAAGCACGAGAGGAATTCTGATGATACTTCAATAGTACGATATTATAAAGAAGTGACACGCAATCGAAAGAGTAGCATTAATACATTTACTTGTGATACAAGAAAGATCATGTTGGTGCATGATTTCCGCCAGTGATCAATGTACTAGAAATTCTATAAATTAATAATGTTGGGACTTTAATATTTTATTAATTTATAGAGTTACTAATTTATCAGTTTTAAATAAAATTAATTAAAAATAATATTTTCTTTAAAATTTATAATATTTTTAAAATTTTCATTATAAAATTAGAGATAAATAATAAAAATATTTCAACTTTAATATGAAAACAATAATATACTCATATTTTAATAGATTATCATAATAATATACTTATATAAAATTATTTTATATAATAGTTATTAATTTATGATATTAATGGGACAATATTTTATATAGGATTTTAAAAAAAAATTATTATCTTATTAATTTACCGATTTGTATTAAATTTTGAACCGGTCTAACTCAAAACTGAGTAAAATTATTGATTTATCAAGTTTATTAATTTATCGAATATTAAATTATAGAGTTTATATTGTATGTGTCTTGAAATACTCGGCTCTCTTTCGATTCTCCGTCCAAGTTATACTATGACTTTCACCATGTGAGTGAAGTGTTCGAACTGTATTACAATTGTGTTTCTCCCCCACCATCATTTACTTGGTTCTCAATTTTCGTATGGGTTGTGGGAGAAGAGGATGTTGTTTGTCAAAACAAACCACACGACAATAGTACTAAGTGGTTTTATCGAATAGGAGTACAATTTCTGCCTTTTGTAGAGTTTGATCATTCATGGTTTGTTCTTCTATATTGGTTATTCCATGGACTTGATCAAAGTGGAACTTGTGCGAATATAAAGAACTTGACTGTCTTTATGGGCATCGAGGAATATAAATTTGTGTGGCCTACTCAATGAAAATAGAAACATTGGTGTAGAGCATATGATTTCATACAAAATTTAGAAAGCATAATTTACAAATATTGTTTAATTTTATATGGTATAAATTTGTTTTCTCCTTATAAATGACCACTAAAAACCAAAAATTAAACTCTGTTATCTAAGTCTGTTGCTGATTATATATGCCTTCTATATCCTATAATCTACACAAATAATAAGGTGTCTTTCTTTATTTACTAGGGATTGACTACATTATTTTTTTATATATTTATAAGATATTAATTGTTATGGTTTAATTTCATAATATGTATAGTCCTTCTAATATTGTAGTCGTACATCTTTCCATGTATGTTCAAGTTGCTTTCGTGGTTTCAATTTTTT